GGTGTGGGGAGGTTGGATGGGTTGCTGGGGGTAGGGCGTGTAAGATGTTTTGGTTGTGGGGGGGTTGATGGCGTGGGGCGTTGATGGGGAGGAGGGGGGTGGAAGTGCGAATGGGGATAGGAATGCGGGGTGGGAGGGAGCTTGGGGGTTGAAGGAGAGAGATTCAGTGGGTGGGTTTTCATTGGGCAGGGAATGGGGAATGAGGGATATAGGGATTGTGGTGGGATGTTATACGGCGGTTTTGGTGTTGTTTTTGGGGGTGGCTGTTGTTTAGTTTGTTTGTTTGTTGGTTGGTTATGAGTTGATTAGATCAGGGGTAAGGGGGAGAAGAAGGGAAGAGGGGAAATATGGAAAGGAGAAAAGTAGTAGAAAATAAAATATCAATTTATAAGTTTAAAGTTTTCAAAGATGATATTTAGGTATAAAAGTCCTTGAATCCATAATACTCATTATATATTCAAAGGAATTTAAATATTTTTAATTCTAACCTCGTGTTACGAGGTTTGCCGTCTAGATCACGTGGAAGTGCTCTAGGCTCTCGAGGTGGTTTATAACTAGGCGTCAAGCAGGGACTTAAAGTAATGACAATAATGATATGCAATTCGTAACTAATAGTAGAGTATACTAAATGATTGATCTTGAGCACGAAGCTCTATACAAAGGAAATCCATCTTGATTATATAGACTTTCATGCCTATCGTTCCTTCGGTCCCTTCGATCCCTTTACCGAAGGGATCACATGACATCGTGCGTGGTCATATGATACGAGGCCAGAAGCCGTCGTAACACCTCGTCATCTATTATATATTTTAAAATAAATTTGTATAACATATAATTGTCACGATTCACCATTAGGATTAGTGTCCTGAGGCAAATAGGAGTATCACGTGATGGATAGACTGGTCTATCCAGTCTATCCAGGCTATCCAATAGCATTCAGAAGTATATAGTCAGAGTAGTTTCATAGTATATGAGCTTCGTGCTCAACTTATTTATCAATTAGTTTACCTACATTCTACTTGATCTAGTAACGACTTCACTTCCAAGTGAATACCAATGATAAAGCCTTAACCCATAACTACCAACCAGACGAAACCTCAGGCAGCCGCTGCCTCCAGTACAGAATCGTTACAATAATACCTAGCGTCTGATATAGTAGATATATAGAATTAAAATATCTATATTAATTAATCTTTACAATTCACTCTTATAAAATCATTCGATTATTAAAAAAATAAGTAAATATACAAACTTTACTTAGTTTATCTTTCATATATCAAAAGTATATTGTTACGTTGTAACATTATAACTATTATCACGTGTTATAGGATCACATGAATAGTCTTGTGAGGGAGCGAGGGAGCTGGGGAGCGAGATTCGAATCTCGCTCCCCAGCTCCATCGCTCCAATGCTGGAATACGAAGGTCTATATAATCAAGATGGATTCCCTTTGTATAGAGCTTCGTGCTCAAGATCAATCATTTAGTATACTGTACTATTAGTTACGAATTGCATTATTGTCATTACTTTAAGTCCCTGCTTGACGCCTAGTTATAAACCTACCTCGAGAGCCTAGAGCACTTCCACGTGATCTAGACGGCAAACCTCGTAACACATAAGAGGATAGAAATATATACGCATAAATTCTCAAGTAAATGAATAAATCCAAAAAAAATAAAAAAATAGTAATAGATTAGCATGTAATAAAAAATACACAGTGTAGATTCAGGTCTTGATTTTTTTTTTAATAAATCCCCTTTCGGTCAAAATCAGCATCATGTCACGTAGTAATATATATTCAGTAATTAAAGTTCATAAGTGTTTAGTTTTGTTAAGTATATTTGAAATTGTAAGATATAAAGAAATCGCGTGTTCTAAAACAGTGACAGTAGTACTAGCTACAGTAAGATCCAAAGAAATTGCATGTTCGAAAACCGTGAAAATAGTACCAGCCATTGTCTAGTAAGGAAATCAAACAAGAAAGGGTGACGAAAGAATGAAATAGGAAAATCCAAGACTATTGACAATGTGCTAGATTGACTAATTATCCATCATCGCACGTTCGCCTGAGTCAGAATCGTCACGATCATCTAGTGACTCCTCAGGTTCCGCAACTTATTGTTGTTCTCGTTATGCTCATACAGCCACCCGGTCATCTCTATGAGCAACTCTGTCATTATCCAATTTGCTTGTTCTGCTCGAATTGCTAGTTCCTGTCTTGCTCGGTTTCGTGCTTCGACAGCCACTTTGCAATCTGTTTGAGCCCATGCTTTAATCGCTTCCATCATTACTCTTCGTCTAAGCAACATCATAGCACCCGCGTCAATGATTTCTTCGCCTGGGGCATACGACATCATGCAACTAAGGTGGACGCAATCAATCACTCCCTGGGCATTGCGTGTCATTTTCACGCGGGTTCCTGCAGGTCGTCCGAGAAGTTCAACCTGCTGTACTTCTTCTATCTCTCTCTCGATGGCTCTGACATCTCCATCAGCCTCTCGAACCCTTGCAATAGCTTCTCCAACGTCAGCATCCAACTGATCAAGGTACTGCTCCGTAATAGGTTGTTCAGAAGGGAAAGACTGTGGCTCAGGCGTCATGAAAGATGTAAGAAATTCTGAGATTTGGTCGGGCCCTTGAATATCTTGAGGTGCTTGATTGTGCCCACGAAGTTCTGCTTTGCAAGCTGGACAATCGACGTTAGGTGACACTTTAAGAGATTCTTCAAGGCACTTCTGATGAAACACATGGTTGCAGTGGGTAATCACTAGCACTCCTTGCTCTTCTACGTCTCTGAGGGGCTCACGGCAGAGACCGCAGTCTTCATCATCACCAAGTGTGTGTGCGACTGGATCAAATGCTTCGGCTGCAATAAACCTCATGTGTTGTTGACCCATACCAGCCTCCCATTGATTTCCAATCATGACATCTCTCAAAAGACAAAGTGCCATATGAACCGCCAAGACTTGCTGAAGACATAAAATCGATTCCCTTTCGGCAGGTGATGGATTTTCGCCCCGGATTACGCGAAGCCAGAAATCAGGAATGAGTCGCCGATCGAGGATTTTAACTAACAAAATCACGCTTTCTTTAGGAAGTAAACCGAAAGGTATGCGGTTAGACAAGGGAAAATTGGGATTATGTCCATGGCCAGGTAGGTGTGGCAAATTTTGGGCTCGAATGCGTAATTCCTGGGTCTCAGCTTCAATATCCCAACTTCGATAACGTTCGGCCATCCAGTCAAGCATTGATTTCTCAGACCGATATTCAAGAGGCCAAGCGACTCTGGGATCAGGTAGCATGAAGCACTCACGACAAAAGCCGTTGATACTGAACGCACGCCTGTCAACTACCATGAACCCGCAGCGAGAACCATCTCCCTGACATGGACGGATGTGTGAAACTTGGTGGACACACTCTGTGTACCCAAAGGTTAGAGTGATACACATCTTGCAATAGGTATCCCTTGAGGCTTAAATAGATATTAAGTGTAGTAGTGTGTTAGGTTTCTGAAATCGTGATGAATGATTTAGGGGAGATCCTGGGAAAATTCTCGACTAGTTAAGCCAATTGCATGTTTACTGTTCACAACCTGAATTATGAACAGCTCCATCAATATTACAGAGAACATTGCTGCTATGGGGTTTCGGATGTTGCATTGATCCAATACATCAACGTGAGCCCAGACAAGGTCATTGTTCTCTCTAATGAGGAGAACAAAGATGACTCGATAGACCTCGATACTCGAGCTAAACCCATTTCAGAATTGAATTAAGTAAATAACGCCTTTGTTCTTTCTAAACCAAGAGAGGCCGCTGTAACTGCGCATTACCTTGAAGAAGAACCAGAAACAAAAGCTGATGCTTAACTTATCCTCCGATTCTTTTTACCCCTCTGATTCAGTCCAAGACCTGCTCCGTTGGCTGGCTAACTGTTAAAGGTACTCAGTAACCCTATATCCCGCAACTAGATCCGTATTAGGAATGGTGCTATTTCAACCCACCAAGACAGATACGGTACATCTCTTAATAGTGTCCAGCCGGATTTTATCTCCTAATCAAGGAACACCACAAAGAAATGTCCATTTCAGGAACTGAACTCAGTTCAATCCATGAGATTCTACTAATGATCAATCTCCTTAACGTTAATTAAAGGATCAATTTAATCGGATGAAATACGAGAAGTCACGCTTATGAGCCATTGCATTGAAGATAGGTAGGTTCCTGAATGAAGTAGATACGGAAGTCAGGAGTATCGCTGATTAATTTCATATCCCCTGCAATGCCAAAAAAAAACGGCTCCATCGCTTAACAGGATCTTATTGACCAATCGAAACATTAGGATTCCTTGAGTATTATCGAATATTTAATTTCAATTTAAAATATAAATTCTATTTAATATTATTTTCACTTTCAAATTGGAGTAGTATCAAGACATACTGATTGCAAATCAAATCTTTTTTTGGTATTCAAGGGGATACAACTATCCGCTAGCCACCTAGAAATTACAACAGGATTTAAAATATTTCCCACGTCTCAATCTAGTGCGACCAATAGTTTTGATGAAAATATGTATATAAATTAATTGTATATACAAAAGCCCGACAGGACATTTGAACTGTTCCGAACATATGAATCAATCCAAATATATAGAAAGCAAAAATGAACAGCATGCAGGATCTGCTTTCACTTAAAGTGCATGAACTACACTTTCGGCCACATACTACCGAGAAACTCAGGTGTTGCACGATGCAGAATCCATTATTTTGAAACATTTCATAGAACGTATGGATTAAACTGAAATCAGGCAGAGCAGCTGCAACGAACCAAAGTTAAAGAGACTAAACGGTCGCAGTAAGCCAGAATCATAACAGAAGATAATCAGTCATAAGAATGAATGAGGCACTTGCCGTCTTGAACTGCCACTAGATTGTCTCAACAAAATCAGAACGTTTAGGTGGCTCACGTGATGGCGATTATCGAAATTCAGGGGCAAAAACTTGACTTTTGTGGTAGATTAGTATGATACAATTCCCCTATCGTCCAGGTTTTCGTCTTCCTTGAGCCCCTTTCAGGAAAGGAAGGGGAGTGAAAGAGATAACTATTATCTAAGATAATTCATTTTACTCATCCTATCCGCCCATGTATGTTCGCAACCCAGTGCGCTCGCTATTCCTGGCCACTAAACGTGGTTCATTATCATCTTAGCCATCCCATCATAGTGATATCACGCAGTTGACAAATTGGTTAGTCAACAAAAAGCCCGTCATAAAGTGGGATATAAACTATCCATCCATCCGCTAATCTGCGATAAGAAACCATGCCGGGAAGAATTATGGACGCCGACCCAATGCAAATGCTGAGACTTTCCCCCAAATTTTAACCGGAACTCCTCCGGTTTTATCGTATCTTTATGTTTTGCAAACTGTAACGTTGACAGCTTTTCTCGGTTATAATCTTTCTAGAGATATTCCGTTGTGGCGTGAGTAGTGAAGTTGAAATGATGAAAGCATCTGTGATTAGAAGGTCGTTGAATGGTTTGAAGTAATAATACGTCGATAACTAATGGGTATCTCTGAAAAGCCGATTCGAAACGCAACGCGAAAACAAGAAAGGCGTCGTGACTCGCAGTGAAAATTTTGTGGTCGAATTTGAAAATAATGATCATTCAAATTACCCCATCATGCTGGTTTCATCATCTTCATCGTCGTCCCCTTGCTCTAAACTTTCGATGGCTTCTTTTATTTGTTGACTGGCCTATTTCTCGTCAGTAAAAGGTTTTGAGGTGAATATAATGGAATATACCTTAGGGTCTAGGTTTAGAGCGATGGTAAAATGTCGAACTGAAGCACCCTTCTGTTTGATACTCTTATACAGTCTACCCAGTAAGAAATGAACCATCGCCTCATCAGGAGCCAAATCTTTCAGGATCTTTAATTCCTCCAAAGCATCTTCCATGTTCCCCATTGTCATTAAGCATCGAGCTTTCTTGAAACGGGTCAAGGCCGATTTAGGATCCAACTCAATCGCCTTTTTGAAGTATGCTAGTGCCAGTGCCTTGTTCCCCTTCTTATCAACAACACTTCCCATAAGACCCAATAGCACGGCATTCGTTGGGTTGATTTTGGAAGCGGCTTCGAAGTGTATGAAAGCTTTATCGTAATTACCCATCTTCTCATATACTTTACCAACACCATAGTAGGCGTTATAGTGTCTCCTATCAACAGCCATTGCATGTCTGTATGAAGTAAGTGCCTTGTCATATTCTTCATTCATAACATGCTCATGACCCTGAAGAGTAAACGCATAAGCAAACTTAGGATTAAGTTGGGTAGCCCGCTTGAAACAACGTAAAGCTTGCTCATGATCTCGCATAAGTGACCAGGAATTTCCCAGCGCACACCAAGCCTCTGGTGATTGCCACGAAGAATCGACCAACTCATGCGCAAGAAAGGCTAGATCAGTCTCTTTTTTCAAATGCCAAAGAACGGTAGAATATATTTCCATATCCTGGAAGCGTGTTGGTGCTATTTGTCGAATCCGCCTGTATAAGAATTCTGCTTCAGCATATGATGCTTGTTCGTAATTAGCACGCCCCATCTGTGACAATACCCAAGGCGTGTCTTGCTGCTGAGTAGATAATGTAGAGAACGCTTCCAAAGCTTGACGAGACTGAAACCTGGCAAGTAAATAATAGCCAGTGCCGAACTTCTTAAACAAGTCGAGGAGCCATCTTATAGCCTCCTCCCGAGTTCCAGAGTCTGATTCGGATGACCTAGCACCAGAAGATTTTGTAGATACCGGCGCTCGGGATCTTATCTCTCCTTCCCGTTGGTCTAATTCCATGGATTCTTCCACTGGTTTTCGATTACCGCTGACCTGTCTGCCGGCGGTCGATGCTCCAACCGGTCGCATGATTTTTGATATCGGAGGTCGAGCCTTCTTTAATTCTCGCCCGGGCGCTGGCCCCACAGTCGCAAGGTTACTGGAAGGTTTGTTGCTTGTGGGGCGGAACTGGTTGATCAATCTGACACTCCTTCTCTGAGGTGCTCCAGGGTCTTCTGAGGGCTGTCGAGGTACTACCTGTCCCGATATGGTTCGCTTCCTTTCTCCACCCGGTGCCGTAACAGAGTTGTGGCGAGAATTGTGTCCTGCGCTACTGTCCTCTGAAATTTCAGCTGCCGCCTTTTGAAGTCGTTTCGATGTCATGGATCGACCCATCTTCGGAACGTCCATGCTAAAGTCCATACCGAGCCCCTGTAGGGTTCGGTTCCTGCGAGCTGGGGCTTGTGGAGGTTCCATGTTAATAGGAAAAGCTGATATCACACCAGGTTCTTTTCGACTGGGCACAATAGAATAATCGGGAGGGACACTAGGACCAGTCGGTGTTTCCATTGTATCAGAGCTGATGCTGCCATTTCCAGTCGCGGGAAGATTTGTAAGACTGGGATTGCTCTCAGCGAGCTTCGAGGATGCAGAGGTAGTAAGTGATCCAAAAAGGCCACCGGCGAATGATCGAGACGTGGAATTATTATTGAAAGGATCCACGGGTTCACTCTGGTAAGTTCGCGCGCTGGGACGGATCAGTTTGGGTTCCTCCACGAACATGGGTTCCATTGGCGCCTCTCTTTCTTGTGAATTCGTTTTCAGTATTGCCTCCATCTCTACACTCATCCTAAAAGTACTCGAAGCTCTAACGCTAGTGCCCATATCGCAAAGATTAGTAAAAGCATCCCACATGAATGGATTCAATTTCAGCGCATCTTCGAAATAGCTAATCGACTGTTTTTTGTCATCAAAAGCGCGATATAGCTTCCCCAGTAGACAACAGACTGCAGATGCGTCAGGATATGGATGTCGCGAGTATTCTGAATGTTTGCCAAATGAGTTTTGTGCCCCCCAGCAGCCTCTATTCTTTTCCAACGCCACGATCCCTTCTTTCAATTTTCCCAGTGCAAGGCATGCTTGTGCATAGATGTATGCACATCCAAGATTTCCCATCTTATTCCCTGGGCTCTTTACCACCTCGAAGGCGGAAGCATAATCGCCAAGTCGTAAATGGCATAATGACAGGAGGTAGGAGGATTCGGGGCCTTTGGGGGTATAAGCATGCAGCCGCTCTGCGAAGAACAGGGCATTATTGAGCAGGTTATTGTCAAGGTGATAGTAAATGAGTTGACACAGTTGGGTCGTGATACAAGGATTGATTGTTTCCTTCCTTGAGGGAGGCATTGTGCAGAGTCGTGAAGAGAGGAAGTAGATTGAAGTCACAGATTGTGTATTTGTTATGATATTCTCGCCATGAAGAAAACAGAGCCTCGAATAGTCCTTCAACTGTTACTGTTGCAAAATCGGTCCGTCGAAAAGGTTCCCTTTGTTAATCGTCTCGAGTTTGAACAAAAGAGGAAAATAAATAGCTCTCACGCGCGTTGCGTTATTTGCTTGATTTGATGAATGTAAGCTTTTTGTAGCTCCACGAAAGCTATCTTAGGATTGATGACATTAAAACTATCTCGTTGTATTGTTGTTGGAAAAGGCAGGTGGCAAAGAAGCAGATAGGAACTTTCGTGAATACGATCGTAAGGTCGTAATAAACAGAGTTGTTGCTGGTTACTATTTGCCAATGTAACGATGAAGGCGGCGAGACAAGGCAAGGCAGGTAGGAAAAAAGCTAACCAGGCGTTACTTGTAAAAAAGCAAAGGCTGAAAGAAAGCCTAATGACTTCGAATATCAAGTGAATAAGCTGGAGGAAGGAGAAGGAGGAAGCAGAATTGTACGAATTTTTGTCAAATAGAGAATAGAAGGAGGGGAAGGCTGAATACGGTCGCGAATGCAAATCTAAATGTGAATCCAGAATCCAAAGGTTTATTCTGGTAAAATAGTGATAGTCAAGTTATTCCTTGTGATTTGGCTTAATTTGGATAACATCAAACCCTTGCGCGCCCTCGACCTCTTCTATTTTCGTTCTGTTGTTGTCTGCTCGCAGCGGGAATGATTGGTTGCAGAGCATTCACCCAGCAACAATCGGATGGTTGGTGACATTTTGAATTAGTAAGCAAGGTACACAACAGAACACCGCTTCACAATATATTTTGTTCCTTGCAGACTCAGCCTTGTGAGGAAACTCAATCACTGCGCAAGACTCAACAACATCTCTTCTCAACTTTGTCACCTTCACCCGAATTGTTCTTTTCGAAGATCCAATCGTTGCAAAGATTCTCGTCAGGAAAACAGAACGATACTTAGTTTGCATTTTTATTCAGCGAGCATTACATTTAAGCAATCCTATTTTCCACTCATATAGAAGAAGCCAGATCCTAAAAGCATCAACTTATTCTTCTTTCTCAAGTTCGACGTCATCCTTTTACCTCACATATAATGGCACAGAAAGCAAAAAAGGACCGAGCCAAGGCCAATATCCAAGCCCTAAACTACCTTCACTATGGGACATTTCTCGTAAATGCCCTATTCTGCCTCTTCCATTTTCTGATCCGATCCCGAAATATGTGGGCATATGTGCTTCTCTCGCTTGCGCCATGGATTATCGAATGGTTCCTCGAACAAAATAGTCGTCCCAAGTTCGATCAAGCTGGCAAGATGGTGTCTGCAGGTGAAGATCTTGCCGCACCAGGATTGACAGAATATATGTTCGACATTATATGGATGCATTGGTTGTCATTGTTCGCCGTTATTATATTCGGCAATTGGGGATGGCTCATATTCTCAGTGGTGCCAATTTATGGACTTTACAAGGTGTTTGGTCTATGGTCTGGAGCCAAAGGCATGATGGGTGGTGGGCAGGGAGCACAAGCACCTGAAGAACAAATGCCCGCTGCGGGTAATAGAAGACAGAGAAGACAGTAAGATTTGCAAATTTGATGGTTTATGGCTCCAACCGAGGTCACACGAAATAGGAACTTTGTCATACTGGGTGGTATGAGTGTCGTACGTGAGTTCCATACAGATACATTTCCGTGTATATACATGATTCTATACCTTGTTTCCCGTCCAAAACTCAACATCATCCTTTTGGACATCTTTGATTAGGACATGAATATGCTCAAGGGCTCTTACACTCTGCAATGCGACCCAATTCTTGAACCACATTACTCTGTCATTGCCATCCAACCTATCAGCAAATGTTCTCTTCACAAAATCGCCGATGATTTTCCTGCTCTCATCCGTCACGTCTCCATTCTCATCGTCGGTGGCGATCGGTGTTTTTGACCACACTACGAAATGAGTAATATCCTTCGAGAGACCATATGGCCAATCATTTAGTAAAATCTTATAATCCGAGGGATTCTCAAAGGGAATTGGGGACACGTAGGTAAATGGCGGGGAACCCCATGGAAGTCGATGCTGGAGGATATAATTCATCATACTTCCATACTCCGCTTTAGTAGCTGCGGACCAGGACATATAGCGACGAAGATCAGAGGGCTTTCGTTTGAGGATTGACAGATTATTTGTAGCTTAATGGCAATTAGAAATATGATGAGCAGAATGTACAATGCCAGTGTTGAAACTCTCGAGAACCAATTCTCATCACACTAGTGATCCTTCGCATGTTCTCTGCTCTTGCAACCATATACTGTATAAAAGTGTAGCTCATTTAATCAACACAATCAGAAGTAGCTCACCTATGATCTCTTTCAACTCTTCCCAGTCGTGTAGATGAAATTCTTCATCTGTTTGTGACAAGACCCATCTATCTGTATCGGTAAGAGGGAATGGTGAATCCTCATGTTTACCGTCTATCTTGTCTCCATTCCGACAGACAGATTCCCCCATTGCTCAAAGTGGCTGAATCTTACTTTATGGAGTAATGGGTATTTGTTCAGCCCTGCCAATCTGATGAGGTTGTTGACAAGTTTCATCTACCGAAAAGGCTCACTGATGGCTTGGTGCTCTTAGCCCAGGATAACTTATCCTCATCGGGATAAAGTGTGAAGCGAGCTCCGACCTCCAGCAAAAAAATCAGATGACCTTGAGTTGTCAGCAACGAAGAACCCACAACACGGCACTTTATATTTCAATTGTCACCACCAATACCTTATCCTCTTAAGTTGGGTCTTCCGTAAGCAATATTCGACACCTCTCCGGACTCACGAGAAGTGTAACTCACAACTTCATAGCGTATATCGGGGTCTTCATTCAATTGAAATATTGAAGGAGCAACAAGTGCAAGGATCACAAACAAAGGCCCAACAATTTCTCGAGGTCTCACCAAATCTACCAAAATGAGTACAGCACCGGCAAATAAGTTCATGTCAAAAGCATATATTGATGGAATCTATATTCCATCTGGTCTTTTAATATTTGGATGCTTAATTGTCAAAAAAGATTGGCTTCCTTTTGCCGTTGCTCTTGCTGCTCTTCTTGGGGGATATAAGATTTGGGCAAGTCGTGAGTTTATTCTTACACACACCCCATTGATGAAATATTGAACTTACACTTCCTCTAGAAGAAATTCCAGTTCTCAAGCCAACTGTCTTTCAAGATTTCGAACTCAAGGAGAAGACTATCATTTCACACAATGTAGCAATGTCAGTTTCATTCTATCCCGCGTTAACTGCAGTTCCTAACATCCGCATAGCTACCGATTCAGTCTGCCAAAGCCTACCTCCATTCTCGGTCTTCCTATCGGTCAACACATCTCCATCTCCGCCGTCCTTCCTCAACCCGAAGGGGGAAACAAGGAAATCGTTCGATCCTACACGCCCGTCTCTGGCGATCACCAACCCGGATACTTCGACCTTCTCATTAAGTCCTACCCTACCGGAAACATTTCCAAATATATGGCTTCGCTCACTGTTGGTCAAACTATTAAAGTTCGTGGCCCAAAGGGTGCAATGGTATATACTCCCAATATGGTTCGTCATTTTGGTATGATTGCTGGTGGAACTGGTATCACGCCCATGTTACAGATTATCCGCGCGGTTATTAGAGGTAGAGCAACTGGAGATAAGACTGAAATCGATTTAATTTTCGCAAATGTTAACCCTGAGGATATCTTATTGAAAGATGATTTGGATGGTTTGGCCGCTCAGGACAAGGGATTCCGAGTTCACTACGTTTTGAACAATCCACCAGAGAAATGGGATGGAGGCGTTGGCTTTGTCACTCCTGAAATGATTACCGTAAGTCTTTAAGATTTGACCCACCAATGATATCAGAGCTAATGGCATACAGAATTGGCTTCCTAAGCCAGCGGACGATGTTAAGCTTTTGCTCTGCGGACCACCACCTATGATCAGTGCCATGAAGAAAGCCTCTGAAGGATTGGGCTTCAAAAAGGCAAAGCCAGTCAGCAAACTGGAAGATCAAGTCTTTGCTTTTTAAAGAATCCTTTCATCAATGTCTAGACGGAGATAGGACAGTCAAAATCGAATCCTGCGCGAACGTCTGCTAATGCAAGCAGAAATGGCAAGGTTTGAAAGATGAATAGCAAACTTAAAGCAAGATTGAGAAGAGAAATTATACATAGATCCCTTTATGACAAATTTTTTTTCTAAAAAAAAACTCTTCCCAGCTTCCAAGCTCCTACTGTTTACTCACCGACATGCAATATTATGGCTCATGTTAAGTGCCGTTGAAGAGACCACAGGCAGTACATGGTCTTGCTTACAAAATTGAAGCATGTACTCTGTGGTTTTGCTACAGGAGCAAGCCATGAGGGTACTCGCCCCTTCTTTTTGATTCTGTTACTCTATTTAGGCACCTCTACATACTATTGATAGCCTACCGGTGATTCTGGTCATATAGACCTGCATCCTCATTCCTATGTTCGCCTCAAGCGCACAAGTTAAAGCTGTTTCTATACATATCCCCTTCAAGTTGTTGGGGTGGCTTATTCCTGTTCCAATATAACTCCTCAGCGCCGAGGATACGGTCGTGGTCAAAAGTTACATGGCCTTGTCTTACCACGTGGGAAGAGCATGCCGGATTTGCCGCTCTAGGACTATAGGATGTTGCTATTACTGTAATTCTCCCAACTATTAAACGCTTGCTCCATAAATTGAGGCTATTTGTAGCAAACGTCAATCCTCCTTGTGGTGGGCCACTCTACTGCTTAGTGCCTGGTCAGTGCGAGGAACCGCATTCGCTTAGTCCCCACGCTCACGAAACCCCATCCTCATGCATGCAAGACATTTCCTGAGTGACGCAAACCTTTGATTTTTGCGGCATTGCATTTAACCCTAAAAACACGCCTTGTGACAAATGTTTCCTTACTTCCGCCGTCAAAAGAACCCCCTCTTGCTCAATAGTTGATATTTGGATGCTTCCACCTACATCCCACCTCTGAACACAGGTCAAATCGTCAAATCCTTAAGCGGTCGCTTACCTGGTGTCAGATTCCCCACTAAACCCTAAGAATGACCGGATTTTAAATATTACTTCCTGCTATAGTAAGCCGAGTTTAATTTTTGTATGGGATGGATCACTATGAAATTTCCAAGAAATAACACTACTGGAAACCTCGAGTTTGTCCGAAGGCCGACTATACTCACAAGCGCCTTATGAAGCCAAGGTCTCATGTCCATTTTCATTTCTTCTAGGTAGCAACAAAGATATAAAGGTCATCAAGCCACCTTGCAGATAACTCATATCGACAGTCATTTCCGCATCAGAACAACCAGCAATTAGCAGTGCCATCAATCAATCTTTCAATCTTTCCTTTGTTAAATCAATCATTTTTCAAGCCTTATAGCAAATCATACATTTACAATCATTTATAATATAAACTCTTACTTTTGTCAATCACTATCATAGTATCATCAATTTCAACATGCAATTCTCTACCCTTCTCATTTCAACTGCAGCCCTTCTCCCATCTGCCCTCGCTTGTTTAAACGTCAACATAACCTATACTCTCCAAACCGCCAGCAGCGAAAGCAACATCTATGCACAATTCCTAGACAACGGACGAGTAACCTGCTACTACAACCAACCCAACCCAGCCACCGGAGCTAAGATAGTTTACGCTCTCAACAACAACCCTAACAATGTCGCCGTCGTCAACGACACATATCAACAATGTGTAGCAGGATACTGGGCCACTTTCCAGGTCGATCTCTCGGATACTAAGGATAAGAAGGGCAATAATAAGATTGAGAGTTATAGCTATTTGGATCAACATGGTCAGGCTCAATCGTATACGGGAATTAGTCTCGGCTCGAGAATTACAACTGCGGCTGCGGGGAATAATCCTGAGGTTTGGACTTGGTTGGCTAATCCTTTTTGTTAAGTGTGGTTGGTGGTTGAGTGCCGGGGTGTGCAGCACCTTGGGGATAATTGTCTCTTGATGGGTGACGTTCGAGTGTCTAATTATTGGCGTGTTAGATTTTTAGAATGAAGGATATTGGGATCAAATGTGGGATGGGAGTTGTTGGAATGGGGAACAGTAGATGCGGTGCTCATGGGAAAGAATAGGAGCAGGTCTCAAAAGATCGAGAGTTGATTTCTTGTCTTTACTTTTTCCTTTGTTGGTCATTTTTGTGTTGTCTTGTCTTTTGCTTTTTGGTTGGGCTGTATGGGATGGATAGATAGATAGAAACATAGATAGAATGACAATAGAGATATGGGCACACACTTATCTTTTTATTTATGGTTATGTTTTGGTATATTGTAGGAATTAGTTGGAAATCAATCAATTGGTTTTGTCTCTTGGTTTTGACTTTTTACTTTCGGTTGGTGATGATAATATATTGGTGATTGTGGTGATTTTGTAGGAGGGTTTGATGTGGGGTTATCGTGATGGATGAGTTGATGAATTGTTGAAGTGTGGAAATTGTAACTTACAATGTAAGATTACTTCTCACCGTGGAATTTATTAGCTATATTTGTCTCTTTCGTGAAAGACATACATTGTGTTGGAGCGAACTCACTGTTATCGATCAAATATCTCAATAATTTTCTCTATCCCACAGATGCTTCAAATACCCCAGAGAAACTAATAGATGGGCCATCTAGAAGTTTTCTTGGCTTTTATCGATTTCCGCCGTTCATGAATTCAATATCCATCCAATTAATATCATCCAATAATTACTATTTCTCTCCATTATATTTTTACAAAAGTGTTTTTCTTTCGGTTTGATATATCACTTCTCGCGCCATATATACTCCATCGCTTCCATTGATCACGAACTTTCTATATATATATACAGGTATATTGTAAACATAAACGACCAAACATAACGTTGAATGTACTCATGCATTGATTAATACTTTCGTGTAAACGTGTTTAGAGAGCAACATGAGTTGGGAAGAATTAGATCACAAAAAGATTGACCACGCTGGTAGTAAGTTGTGGATAAAAAATGAGGTACTACTAGATGAAGGTTATATTTATAATTGACGTCATCCACGTTCGGCAACACTAAATAAGCTAAGACCACATCTAGTGCTAGGCTAGTGCGAGGGTCACTTTCGAATAAAATCTGTCAATCTGCCAAACTATAAAAAAAAACCTTTGCACTTCTTTAATCTCTACTTCTTCATCAAATATCCATAATTTTTCGAAAGCTAAAACATATTATTCGCAGATGCTCGGTCTGTTCCTGGTAAGAATATCGCTATCCCATGATTAGCTGACGATTCCAATAATACGAAGTCTGCTATTCCAGGCGAAGAATGGCTATTTCTCAGGTAATCAAAAGGTGGAGTTCATGTCTATTCCTGTGTTTACATTGATTGTCACTAGATAGGATATTGTTTCTATAGCTTGGTTCTGTAAGATGGAAACTTTCATGCGCAGGATCTATGTACTTGTGAGCAAAATAGTTGAAGTGAATGAGAGTAACGGTCGACTCTAAGTCGTAGTATAATCAAAAGTAGGAAACAGAAATCGCATAAATGCAGTGTTACCGTATGGTTGAGACTATTGGGATAAGAAAGAATTTAAGGACTAACTGGCGTATGATGACTGCAAAATCCTAGATTTCTCCACGAATATTCAAATAACAACTAGCAATTAAAAGACAGGAAATCTCAGGAATTATTTAAACATTCACAGATAAATTAAAATTACTTTTTCTGAACAGTAATCCACATCTAGACGTCTAATCCTACACGGACATTCAATTTTAGACAAATTTCACAGCTACTTGAGAATACTCAATCCGTTTTACATGATAATTACTTGAGCAAGTAAGGAATCTAACATCCTCGATCTATTCGCCCGAAATTAGGTCTTCTCAGCATGCGATTAAACATATCCATACCCAGTTCATCAATTTCCAACTTCGCTCAGATGAACATAGGGTCTTTTCTTTTTGAACCGCTTTCCTATCAGAAGAAATGATCATTAAGAACCCGAAATAAACCATCCTCGGGTCAATTATTTATAATTTGAGCCAATAGAAGAACTCTGGAGTTTATTTATTACATATTGTAAAAAATATAGATCGAGATATAGATATGCGCTTCACGCGTAACAAGAAAACACTCACGTGCTACCAATATCATATGACTGACTAGTGAGGATTAGCAAGCTCAGTACTGATCCTACTGATCAGCTAGAACACGAAGGTCTTATATTATCAAGATGGATTTCCTTTGTATAGAGCTTCGTGCTCAAGATCAATCATTTAGTATACTCTACTATTAGTTACGAATTGCATTATTGTCATTACTTTAAGTCCCTGCTTGACGCCTAGTTATAAACCACCTCGAGAGCCTAGAGCACTTCCACGTGATCTAGACGGCAAACTTCGTAACACTTTATACAAATACGAATTTGGATGAATTACTTTGATTTTCTATAGAAATAATAAAGATCTGAAAAAGTGAAAAATTATCAATTTTGATGTGATTTCGCTTATTGTACTATGAGTAGTTTTCAGGACTCCTAGATAGAAAAAGGCAATGGTTGTAAAATGTCGGCACTAATTGCTCAACGAAAAGTGTTAAATAATACGACTGATGGCACTTCAGGTAGAAGTTGTGGATCCTAGAGAATGCATAATCTCTTTCCGATCAATCTCCGCCAATAAAAAGTTTCCGCCGCCGGCGTAAGATACTTCTCTCCAGAACCTTGACACTTCTCTCCGCAATATCTTCCAGCTGATCCTTCCCCATCGTTTTAAGTGTTGCGCGAGTGTCTGAGGAAGGGGATTGATGGACTATACAGAGAAAGGAAGCCAGAAGGGTGGTATCTAAAATAGAGTGTGGATTTGACAGAATAGAATGTTATGACTGTTCGTTAAGTTGTAAATTATATTATTATTTGGAAATAAGGTATTTCAATCTCTAGGGAGTTTATGTTTGTATTTATGTTGTGTATAGAAAATAGAGGAATGGTAATAAATTGGAATTAATGAAAAGTAGCATGTGACAAATTACATAAGATAAGATTTTGACGAACTGTGTAATATTAGTGATCTCCCTCTATAATCAGGTTCTTAAAATCCTTGGTGAAGTTATCGGATGTTTTCGTTCGTTTTGGTTATGATATAGAGAGAACGGGGGTTAAATTTGGTGAATCGCCTGTAGAATCATTATGGAATGTTACAGCTAAATTTGAGGCTATGTTGGCATCAATTGCCGCGCATGAATCAGCAAGTCATCGGGTTGAATTACTTGAAGCTGTTGAGATTTTTCTGGAAAGGCAGAAGCACTCCTCGGCTTGGAATTGAGCATTCCCCCCAGCTCTCCTCACAAGAAAATCCCCAGGTACATATGCAAGAGAGAAAGTTGCAGCTGCCACTCGTGTATGGGTTATAGACTGTGTAAATCTCGGAAAATATCTCAGTATCCCAGGGTGTATATCATGAAAGTGGGAATATATGCATTCCAAGAGTTCGTGGCTTTTCTTGGTGCTACACATAAATGTGCTACAACTTGACGGAAAGCCCCCCGCGGCCTTAGTTATTGTAGGCATGTCTATACCTATTAGTTGCGGATTCGGAAAACGACCCAGTCATTCCCAATGAAACTATTGGCATTTCCCTGCAATGCGAGCTTGCCGCTTTATGGTACCGTTTTCCCCTCGAAATGGGGTTACTAGAAAATATTGATTGACTACCAAAACAGTGCCCTGAAAGACGCCGTTATAAGAAGAAAGAATCACTGCAATAGAAACAACATCTAACACATTGTTCAAGACCCAAACTTTAATTTTTTCTAGTTCCTCAGCTCAGTCATGAGTAGGTAAAAAGTTCAAAATGATCTTGATTATGATTCAATGCATTGTACTAATAATTCTCATCTACTAGATTTGGACCAAACTCTAACCGTGATTTTCGGAATCGCATCTCTCGTTGTACTCATCATCACCGCAATACTTTTGCGTCAGCGCTACTCAATTGAAGACCCAGGGCGTAAGTAGTTGCATTTATATGTTTTTGAATTCTCCATCTTCTGGAGAGTCTAAATCTGTGAATTTCATGTTCCCCAAAATTTTCTACCCCATATTTCGTGTCTTGGTACAAGCAAGCTGTTGCGCGGAAAATTATTGATTCTTCAGCAAAATCAAAATTAGTGGAAACAATGCTAACCTACCTTTATTAGGAGACCTTGAGAAACGTGCACATCCTGCCCTCCACGAATACATAATGATGGGTGAGATTCACTCGGTGCACCGCTGGCATACACAATGAGAATAAACTGAGCGGCCGGGGCCAAGGACGAAGACGAGGAGGACCTGGAGTTTGACGAATGGCATGCGAATTTTGGCATGGAGTTGGAATATATAAAGGGCGCAAGGATATCTGTGGGTTTGAATACTGAAGTCCATGCTATAATATACTGCAATTTTATCGAATACAGCATTTTAGCCATTGTCGTAATGAGAATGAAGTGCCATTGTACCATCACGTGATTTATACGGATGTCTCCAGGCTGAAGTTGATCAAAGAGTGCAACGAAGTCCAAACGATGATATATAGTTAGATCAAAAAAAAGTTGTTTTAAACTAAAAAGTCCATTACAACGCAAAGTTGCTTAGACTTATTGGCGTACGGAATACGGCGTGCTTATCGATGACCAACCTCCAAGCATGGCCACGGCCATGAAGCTGGCGAGCATCTTTTGCGTCTCTCTAACCCGTGTTGAAAAGAATGCTAATCATATAGTTAGCCCCATTCATCCTAGAAGCAATACACTTGTACTGTTGAAGTCTAAACCGTCGCACATAAGAACGCCGTCAGGGCCAGCCGGGGTGGCACAGAACATATTGCGGGGCAGTAGAATGCTGCAGAACTTGAGAGGTCGTGCCCTCACGACCCCGCCTTATTATAGTCGAATATGTTGAATGAGATTGAAGAACATAGGATATATGTTACCCTTGAGATGAAAACGATAGCTCGTCGGTGTTTTGGTGACGATGTGGCCTGCATCGCGTCTCCTTCTCTCGCATGGTACTTTCGAATAACATCCATCGAAACCATGTTCAAGACAGCTAGTGCCAACTTCCAAGTCCAACGATTGTTCAGAGATATACTAGAAAACTCACCTTTGCAAGTTTTGAAGCTCTCGGCTTTGTGTTGTTGTGTCGTCGTAGAGAATTGTTGTGGTGAAGTCACAAAATGAAGTGGAGAAACTAAGAAATTGAAGTTTTGAAGCGAGGTTTAGCCACATGTGGCTAATGAGCAGCCACTTTTGAGCTTCGCCAATTTTCTAGACATACAAGTAGCGGACTTCAAAACGGGGAAGTATTACAGTAATATGTCTGGAATTTTGGAGATATACTCATATACGAAGTTAGTTTGGCATTATAAGTTCAGAACGAATACAGCCTGCTCAGACAGTCCATTTTCAGTCCGTACAATTTGTCTCTCGGATTGTTCCTGGTCGCCTGTGCACGTGCACACGATGAAGATTAGTCGCATACATCAAGGATTACGTATTACGTAGTAACAGTCAACCTGTCCATATGAGCTCAGACCCCGTGGAAAAGCAAACCGATTCGCATACAAAATTGTATGGTAATTGGTTCGTAGAGTCTCTCCACCTTCAGCAAGCACAGACATATGTTCTGATTGAAATCACGTGATGGATCTAAGGATCTAGAGGATCTAGGGGATCTAGATAATTAAACTCTAGATCCAGTAGATCCAAGGGATCCAAAGGAATACAGTAGAATATGAAGTTCTATATAAGGGATAGGTTTTCATTTGTAGAGCTTCGTGCTCAAGATCAATCATTTAGTATACTCTACTATTAGTTACGAATTGCATTATTGTCACACTCAAGAATACTGGGTAAAGTATCTTGTATTAGAAAATACTAAGCTAAGGAGAAAAGAAGAAGGAAAACAAGAGTAGCGAGTTTTCCTGTGATTAAATACAAACGGGGCATGCCACGTGACCCGAAGGTGTGAGGCGTCACAATTATTGTCATTACTTTAAAGTCCCTGCTTGACGCCTAGTTATAAACAAACCACCTCGAGAGCCTAGAGCACTTCCACGTGATCTAGACGGCAAACCTCGTAACATGAAATTATAAAAGATTTATTTAATTTATTTAAAATATTCAAGGTTTTATTAAAAGTCACCTGATATCGAAATGATATTTATATAAATTATAGAAATGTTTTATAAAATTATAAATACTAATTGAGAAGAAGGATTAATTAAAGAGAGCTACTATCTTTCGATGGGTGGTGGTAGGTTGTAGGTGGCTCGGTGTCGAGTGGGCGGATTTGATAGTATGATTAATATCAAAAATAGAACCCTTCATCTAGACTTGTAGCCAGGAATACCAAGAATCTGTAACGAGCGGAAGATGAAACGAAGAAGTATGTTGTGACTGGAATCTCGGTGTCCCGCGTACCTTTTTCATCAGCCTTACTCTGTATAGCGGTGTGGAAATTTCGATGCTAGTATATATTACTTACTTACCTACCTACAAATAATAGGAGTACCCCTGAACCAAAGATCACAATCCTCCAAGCTTTTTCCGAAAAGGTTTTAGACTTTTCAATAAAAATAATAAATAATAATATTGATATAAATAATAATAATAATAATACACTTTTTTCAACGATGAATTAGAATTTCGAAAATTTCGAAACACCAAACTCAAAAAGAGAGGACCCACGTCTTTCATGATGTAATAACGCACAGGATCAATCAAAGCCACTCAATTCATTCTCCATTCTTCCCACAAGCAACAAGCAACAAGCAACAAGCATCAAGCATCAAGCATCAAGCATCAAGCATCAAGCCTCAAGCCATCTAAAAGATATTATCTTTAAGCATTACTTCCCTTCTACTTCCTGTATCTTTCCTTACTATCCTTAAATCAGATAAGGAGTATCCTGACCTTAAAAAGATCAATTATCATCTTTACCTCTTGTAGTAATTAAGGAAACATACCAATAAGGCAGATGGAACCGTCAATCTTTTTTTTGGAAACGTTGGGATTTCGCTTATTACGGGCTCAACAATATGACTAATGATTCAAGAAACATCAATGCTATACATACCGATATAAGAATCCCTATATATCCCTTCGAAACTTATAGCTCACAAGTATCAAAGTATCATGAGATTTTCCCCGCCCATCATCATTTCCATTTTCGGCATATTAAGACATTTGGAAGGATCAGATCAACATTGGAAAAAGAAGGGTATATGTTATATATGAAATTGATATGCGATGTTATGCCAAGGGATAATGGCTTTTCGGAAGTGCTCCCATATCCTTCCAATCCAAGTTTTATCTCCAAATTCTCATCAGATCGACTTTTCAAAATGTTCAAAGTTGAAATGTGAAAAGAAAGAGAAAGTATAGTCAATATATCTATCTATATATTGTATATATACTGTATATATACCTATAAACTTTGTACAACGTTCAAGCACCTAAACCATCCAAAGGATTTCCCAAAATGAAAAGAGCATAACAATTTGATTCAGGTTTTTTCGCTGTCAGTTGCCAACCCCTCCTTCTTAACCCTTGTCTTTTCCAAACCTCGGAACATTTCATTATCCAAGCTCAAAATGCTCATCAAACAAAACTCTGCATGCTTCGTACCTAGGATGTTCCGTCTTTTTTTCCCTCACTATGCGGACCCCCCTGGTAATATTTCCGTGTAAAACTCTTCTCTACAAAGTAGAGATTCTACCCAAGGTGAGGAATAACCCTATATGATTGGGAGAATGAAGTCTAATGTTTTGTCGTCTACTTTCCCCTTCCAAGGAAATACGGGGGCGCTGTCTCCACCTACTTCTTTCCTTGTGAACGTTTTGGAACAGGGGCACGGAATCAATGAAGAAGTTGCTTTTCTTGTTACTTACAGAGAAAAGTGATGTGGCTATAGGGCCTTACACGGTGTTAGCAGTATAGTATGCCGTGATTCGAGCTTTCGGATCGAACCCTGAAAATCAGTGCTCAATTAGGCTTCAAAAAATATATTCCAATCTTGTAGTTTTATTCGATTAGGATTAGAATTTAATAGAATTTATTATACATTAATAATTCTAATAGATTCGCTAATTAGCGTTAGTTAGGTAATCTGGGTGTAAAGTTACAGGCCCTCTATAGTGCTAACAGCCTGTAAGACCCTATTGTCGCATCCATTCTCGAGGCGTCCTCCGTACTAGCTCTATCTTATATGATTGGAGGAATGATGAAAGTGAATAGTTTAGTTATTCATTTTTGGTTTGAAAGCAGCTACACTACAAAATCATTATCCAAGTGCATTTTTCCTTATTGTCTAAAATCTATGGAAAGCGTATAGTTCAGCCATTCATTTTCCATCGAAAATTAAATTAGTGTCTCACAAGATGAAAAGTTCTGGCTCTTTTCATTGTGGCGTAGATGGAGGTTGTTAGTACTCCGTAGTCTGGGTTCTGTGGACAGGGACGGTTATCCGGAATGGTTCTTTACCCGATAGCAACCTAAGAAAACTTTATTTTGCACCAGCGAGCGTCGATGAGCGGGATGACACCCCAAAGATCCTTTGCATATGGCGCAGTAACGTCCGTGATATCCCTGCAACTCAGCATGAAGAGAGCATGGATAGTCCTTTTTTGGAAATCCATCATGCCATGACGCCGTAGTCAGTTAGTAGTTACATCGTATTGCTTGCCTCACCGCTTTGATTTTGTAACCAATCAAACTATTCTGCCTACACAAATCATTTTTCGGTTCCTGATCAGTGGGCTCTCTGTAAGTCACAGCTGTCAAGTTCCTTCGTCCGAGCCCATTTTCAATGCACGGCAGAATATTTATCGTAGCTCTAGCGAAGAATCTTGCTATTTGATTGGATTGATTAAAATGCCAAAATTTGGGGTTTTTTTGAAGATTGTGCTTACGACCCTTGAAAAGAAAGCTTTAGCATCAACCTCAACGCGTGGGTGTACCTCCTCCCGAAGTATATAATACAACAACAACCCCCCCTCCTACAAATAAAGAATTCAGTCATCTTACACTTAAAATACAAACTCATTCTTTTCACTTCTTTTGTCACTGAGTTTACGCCGAAATACGAAGACAACCTCCCGTTTATATACAAGGCATTCAGTCATCCTACCACTTAACCTTAAATCGCAGGCGCAAGGCGCCATTGCGCGTCCGAGTACAGGTCAATACCTCTCGGCAAGCCAGAACATTTACTCCAGTATTATCGAAACCGATACAATGAGTGAGTTTAATCTTATCCATCTTATCATTTTTGTCCATCCTATTTATTCTATTCTAAACTATCTCATACTATCCTGTTCTATACTATTCCATATTTCCACACTATCTGATACTATCTCATCCTAATCCATATTATCCTATCCCATCCTATGTACCCTATTCTATACTATCTCATACTGTCCTATGATATTCCATCTTATTCCATCCAATCCCATCCTATCTATCCAATCCCATACTATCCAACCTCAGACTATCCAGCCTTATTCTATCCCATCCTATCCTATACTATCCAGCCTTATCCCATCTCATCCCCTCCCATCCCATCGCAAAACCAACCAATCAGACTAACTCAACAACTAATTAGTATCCATCTCAGACAGCCTAACCATCATATTCGGTTGCTTATCCCTCCTCTTAACTTACGTCACCGCCGCATACTTCAATGGTCGTACTCCCAGCATCTACAGTACGTATCATTCATGTAACGGCGACAATATCCCAATCCAACCCTTCCATTACAACCCTCCCAAACCTTCAAACATCCAAACCTCATAAACTAACGTCCAACCCCCAAACTTCAAGTAGATATCGAGCAAAATCCGCACATAGACCATAACACGCGCGAAGATATGATGATGGAAGAGATTCATTTGCGACGCTGGCGTTCATTGCGTGAATGACATGATGAAGACGTGACGGGAAGTGTCAAACAAAGCTTCTAATTCTCGGATCAGGGAGCACGTTTAGAAACTGGGGTTGAAATAATGTTGTCCGGAAGGAATGAGAGATGTGAGAGATTCAATGAGAGGAATGGGATGAAACCGTACACTTGCCGAACTTCGCCTTGGACATTTTCCTCAAGAGCAGAAACTCGGCAACTACCCGAATTAGACAAGAAAATGTTGCCACTCCACCAGCTTCAAGTTTGGTACACCTAATGTCGAAAAAAAAGAAAAGGAGAGAACTGGAAGGAGAATTGTATTCTAATATGTAAATTTTAATAAAGCTTTGAATAGAGGGACTACACATAAATAATAAAATCCCACCACCCCGAGTACCCTCCACTCAGAAGTCCTACAGCGAAGTAATAACTAACTAACATAGGTACTTTCAGTCTAGTCTCGGGGCCGAGCCGAAAAACTCACCAAACAACCAAACAACCAAACAACCGAACCGAAGAACCACCGAATAACCGAATTAAAACCTCAAGACCACTAGACACATTACATCACTGCCTATAAAACTAATCCTAAAACTCTAAAATCCCAAAGAAACATAAAAAGAAAAAGCCACAAACACACAACATAATAAATCAACTACAATCCTCAATCCCAAAAAGACCTGAGCTTCAACTTTAAAGCTTATAACCTCAAATCCCAAATCTCAAACCTCGAATCTTCACATCACCAAAACAATAGAGCTTTCCCAACTACAGGAAACCTTCAAACAACCTTCATAAAGCATATTTCTATTTGACGACATACATGAACCGTTTCTCATCACTTATTTTTTTTTAATTCATTCCCATTCATACCCAGCCAGAGTTCGTTCTTTGACATTTATGCATGCATTCATTCATTCATCAACCGCATTTCCGCCTCGTCTACCGTCAGCCTCCCACCAACCAAGTCAAAAAAAAAATCAAAAAAAATCCATATTTACTCCATTCCATTGCATGCATTCGGATATCTTTCACTCTCCCCACCACCTCACTCCATCAACCATATGCTAAGAGCCAAAAGTAGAAATGTCGTAACAGCATATTCAGTTCATGTCTAGTAACATCATATTTGCAAATACATCCACTCTCTCAACCTAATGAATGTACCATCCTACTTCTGCACAAAGCAATCCTTTAACTCCTTTCCTTCCCGATGAACACATCCATACACGAAAGTATGATAGGTCGGCAAGAAGTTTAATCCACTTTCAATCCTTCACCTTCCTCGACATGTATTTCAGCAGCAGGCTCCTCGATTTCGTCTCCTTGAATATCATCGACCGGAACTTCGTAATTGTGTTGTTGTGCGCGAATATGCTCTTTCATCGCAGCTGATTTTGCCATGATCTCACTGGTACTTGGTCCCACATGATCAGTATCGGGTATATAATCTTCTTGATGATACTCTTCGTCAGGTATAGCGTCACTGAATTCTTTCACCCGCTGTTCCTTGGTAGTCTCATCTGGGTTGGAACCATGTTCAATCCCGTCGCTACCAACTAAGCTGCCAGCTTCAAAATCACCTGAACCTCCTACGCTACCAGCTTCGCCACCGGCTTCGGAGGCTGCGCCAGAGGGAAAGGTTGGGGAATTCTGGTTAAGGCGTTGCCAGCTCCATGGCTGTTGATTGATGTTTGGTGCAACATTATTGTAATCAACGCTCATGTCTATACCTTCGTCAGCTTCAGTACTTTCTAGGACGTCAATATCTGAATGTTGAAAGGGAATATTATTGAAGCCGGAAAATGGTTCACCACCTTGATTAAGAACATCATAATTCGACCCTTGCTCAAGATCCTGTTGATTTACTGTCGTCATCGCCTCGCCATCCTCCGAACCAGGGAGATCTGGTTGATGGTGAGCTGCTGCGACTCCTTCCAAGGCGCTCGGCGACCCATGTTGGGAGGAGTTTCCGCCGAGGCGTAGGCCTTCCCCCGAAAGTTCCTCATCTGAAGAGACATTGTCAAATGCATACGTGATTTCTTGCAAGGCTTTACCACCAAGGGGTTCTGATGAACGTCTTCGATAGAAGAGGAGATAAGCGCCACGTGTGACCAGTTTGTCAAGATCTTGTGTTTGTGAAACAGAGGCATCTAAGTAAGTTAGTTGGCTATTCACATTAACTGGCTTCGAGATGTCATACCATTATATTCATACCACTTGCCATCGACGAAATTCTTCGCAAAGGCAGTATAATGACCTCCACCCATACCACCCCAGTGATCATCAACTGCTATCAAATCGTAGATCTCCTCTTTGCCATCTTGTCTTTCAATAACTCGGGAGGAAAGGTCCAATCCATCAATTGGAAAATCAACGAGAATATCGAGTTTGTCTCTTCGCATACCACTAGAGCTGAAACGTTTGAGATGCATGATAAGGATATCTGGCGTTCTCCAGATTTCGAACTTCTTGCTTGCTCTACGATGTTCTTTGCATCTGGGACAATACCAAGTATCCATTTCCGATAGAATTTCTTCCTTGCCGAACTCATCAAGGCAATCCTCGAGAGTGACACCCTGCTTTTTTCTCGTATCACGGGCTTTACGCTTTGAGACAAGCTCCGGATCGTGAAGAACAGGAAGATTTGTATAAGTAGGTCTGCCACGGGATTCCTCTTTGTCGTTGTAAGCCCCAAACAAAGTATCCCATGCATCATCATTCCAATCAACAACAAGTCCTTCACCAAGACGAATCAAGGGACCATCATCAGGAGCATCTTGTTCAGAATCAACCTTCAAGTTGTGGCCGCTTTTTTGCAGCTAATTTGCCCTTCTTTGAGTAAGTCTTCATGTTACGATTGCGACGTTTGTTTTTGGGACCTACCCTGCCGCTAGATCTTGGAGCCGGCCGGACTGGAAGAGCCTATTTGTCAATTAGCATCTTTACAATTCGAGGAACTACTTTCCAAGCAAAAAGAAACATGTTAGAAACGCTTGCGAGATTGAATGACTTACCCTAGGAGGAGAAATCGGGTTGAGATCATCTTCCTCGCTCGACTCTTCAGCCATCCTCGTTGGTGCTGGGACAAAGCCATTAACATTATCGTTGCTGTCCTTGCTAGACCTACTGGAAATCGATCCAGCTCTGCTGTCTATAGCATCATATTCGTTTGAGGTATCATCGCCATTCATCTGATGTACTTGCGGATTCCTTTCAGATATCTTTGGATAAGTGGTGGTTTCAACATTCACACCCCAAGCTTTTGGCATTCCTCCGTGTGAATCAGCGATGTAGGAGATTTCAAAAAGATTCTGCAATTCTCCAGAGAGGAATTCTGCCGGATCTACCCATCTTGGTCGACGAGTGTTGAAGGCTTTCAGAGGAGCACTGGCAGGTAATTAGCTTTGAATAGCGTGTAAAAAAGAAGCTAACTTACGCGGGACGATCCCCAACAGGTTCGCGAGCAGAGTTAGAATCTTTCATAGCTACGTCGACTAATTCGTCTTCACCATCCAAAGAATGAGCAACAAATTTACCGTCTCCAGAAGAGTCTGCATCAGAACCAGTAGTGACGACCAGGTCCGGGTCGATACTTTCAGAAGCGCTTGAAGGATCGTCTTCATCACTAAAACGGGGCCACGTGGTAAACGTTGCAACTTTTTCTAAAATCTTTCGCTTGATTGCTTCTTCACTTCGTGCCTGTCATAATGTCAATGATTCGAAAACATAGTTGTAAGGTGAAAAAAGCTAGAAATATCTTACCTCTTGAGGGGTAACTACTATAAAATGAGGAGTGGTTGTGATGTCCCATGAATTATTTTTTTTGTTCCATCCGTGCTTGAGACGACGATAAAACACGGGAACGAGTAACCTCTCAGCCTCAGGAGAGTCCCAAGGTAAATGTTCATCAATTTCGGAATTGTTTTTGCCAAACGTATTATGCTTGGCCTTCTCAGGCTTCGGCAAATTTGTAGGTGGCGCCTCCAATTCGAATAGCGTAACCAAATCTTTGCTGTTTTCAACGGCTTCTGTGGGAAGAAGATGATCATGATACCATTTGTAGAATTTCCCCTCATACACCTCACAAGTAAATAATCTCTCTACTGGAACTCCAACCTTTTTGCTGACCCAACGTTTAAGTGTCCCAAAGCTTGCATGTTTGTCGATCTCAACAGCAATAGAGACTGGTCTATCATTGAGTGGAAAGAAAGCGACGGTACGGGTCCACATATTTTCAATTGGGAGTTGTAAAGTCATGTTGTTGAAAGGATCGAAAGTGATGCTGACCTTGTCACAATGCGGGCAGACCAGAGTGGACTTGTACATTCCAGTGAACAAATCTGCAATTACCGAGTCATCTCGTTGTTTGGTGATGTCCCAAACCTTGGTGGCCATCTCTCTGATTGCTTCCGGATTTCCGATCATTTCATCAGTTGAATCGGGCTTCTCGATATACGGCTTCTTCTTCACTCTGCTGAGATCTTCCTGGAGGCCATCAAGTAAAAATCCAATAAATTCCTGAGAATCTTGTTGACCATATCCAGAGAATTGAGTGGCAAATCTGCTGACAGTGTTCTTAAAGTAGCGCGGTTGGACTGAGATAGGAGGAGGTTCCTTGTATATGTCTCTCAGGAGATCCGCATATGACTCCGCTACGGCACCTCCATGGCCCAGAGGATTATCACCATTAAGCTCTGCCTTGTACGAAGCATTTAAAAAATACTTGGTTAGCTCTTCCACACTTCGAACACACTGCAGAGCGGAATTCATGTAACATGTATTTCCAAGATTACTGAGGCCGACAGTTCCTGGCGTCCGTCCATTCTTCGATCTTCGATTGGAAGAACGAAGGTTGTATCCAGATGACGGTGCTGGGCTATTGCGGCCACTGTTATTTTGGCTGCTAACGATGAAGCTGGAATTGCCTTTACGCCCGGCACCATTGAGTTTGCCGTTCGGCGATGGCTTTGTGTTCGAGACATAGCCGTCTTTGCCTTCCATCAGTTCATCAACAACGATTGCTTGGTCATCCCCAAGCCCACAGAAATCCAGATCCGATCGGCCATTGTAATTCTCATTCACAGTCGAATCCTCGAAATCAACCTTAATTCTGCCCGAATCTCTCTCCACCTTGGTAAATTCTGTTACATCCAACAACAACTTCTTCCATGAATCTTGTGGTTCCGGGCTTGTGGTATTGCCATCAGCCGCTGGCGTAGCAGGTCTGGACGCAGGAGGAGTAGATGTACCAACAGCAGTTGATACGGCTGGTTCAGCGGCAGGCAACGTTCTTGGCACTCTCCAAAGACGTATCTTTTGTTTCATGGGAATCCGTGCAACCTCCTTTACAATTTTCAAGAAGTCATGCATTCTCATTGATCTGCTTGCGACAATTACAGGCGCGTCCGGATTTTCCGATTTTGTGGTTGCATCCACTTTATTGCCAAGTTCGGACCATACACGGTGTATGCGGAAAACCGGAGGATGATATTCGTAGGCCACGTTCGGTATCGCGTCAGGACTCTTGTCCGGGTTTGTGTTGTGTGCGAATCGAACGACTGCTTTTGTGCCCTTCATTAAGCCATACCATTCGAGAACCATTTCCCACGCGTCAAGCGGAAACAATTCGAAAAGATCTTCTCCGATGCCATGCTTAAGTTGAACGAATTCTTCCTGACCTGGCTGAGGGATAATTTGTTGAATGATGTCAGAGTTATCAATTGGCCCAATTTCTTCCCCCAAGGCTTCCTTGCTCTTCGCTCTAGCTTCAGAGGTTCTCGAGATAACTCTCTCAAGCCACTTCTTCGAAACTAGGAATGTCTTATCACCCTCACGCCCTTCGCTGCGTTGTCGCTCACTCTCTGCTCTGCACAATGTTGTTACAGTCGAAACCTGAAAGTCGATCGGTGGGACTTCTGATTTAGGGTCTACATGTATGTCCAGGTCAGCAATTTCATTCACAAACAACACAGATGGATAATACCATTGAATGGACCATTCTCGGTAGCCGATCCGGAATGAGCACTAGCTTCTATAGTAGATCCATCTCTCAGCATATCGATTGATGCTGCTCTAACTGCAGTTGGAGCTGCAATAGCATTCTCTGCATCTTCGTCTGTGTCCGGAACCATGACCATATCGACATCTTCCTTTTGGCTTGGCGACGGTGCATCTGGTTCCAATTCCGAGGCTGGTCTTTTTAACGGTGATGATGACCTGTGCGGCGTGTCTTCTGCGCCTCCCATAATGGCCCTATGTCGTGGAGATTTTCCTTGCTGCTCTGATTCGAAAGGCTCGGAGGGAAATCTTCTTCGATTTTTGTTGCTAGTAAATTCCCCGCCTTTATCGCTATCTATCGATAGACCCGCGTAGGCTGCGCTCGGTGAACTGGCCGCAGAAGAGACACCGTCTCCAGCAGGAAGGGTCGAAGAAGTTTGCAGATGTGAGGGTAGGGTATTTGAAGGTAGAGATTCCGCACGGTGAATTTCTTGGGCAGAAGTGTCGAATAAAGGCAGATCGGTGGGGGATTGTGATCCGCGACCTTCGACCGATGATATGGGGAAATCAGGACCTCTATCGGTTTCTATGCCTGGTACAATCTGCGGGGAAAGCTTTCTTTTCTTTGCGGAAGACGTCGTGAATGCGAGCAGCCTTTGCTGCTCTAAATTCGCCGATGGTAGAAGAATCAAATGGAAAGTTCGTGAGCATCAAAGTCCCCCGGTAATGCGATTTGGTTAATTGATTGTAGGATACCGACAAACTGCAGGTACGTGAGTTGTTCTTTTTTAGGACTGGTGGGTTAAGTTTGCAAAAGGAATGACTGAGATCATTTGAGAAAGAATCGTAATGGAATGATTTTCTCAAAGAAGGAGGAAATCTTGATACTTTTGATAATGTGAAACTGCAAGTCTTAAGAGAACATACAAGTAAAGTAAGTCACTCTCTTGCCTTGTTGTTGAGTTTTTCTTATAAATCCTAACAAACCTCGAAGTAAATATAGGTATAGGGTAGGGTAGGCACGCCTGATTGTTCTTCCATTAGCGTGATTAGGAAGCGGAAGTAGCCTGAAGATTGGAGGTTGTTATCCCAGTAATAATCAATACTGCCACCTGCAATCTGTACCGTAGTAGGCAGTAGTTTTATAGATACAAAGAAAATAGATACACGGTTCAGAATTCCATAGAATAATAAATTGAATAGTAGTAATTCTATATATAACACTCAATCAAAATCTCACATCAAAATAAATAGATCATCAATTATGTTAACCTTGTTGATAGTTGATAGTTGATAGTTGATAGTTGATAACACGATCCAACTTGTCAGCTCATATATAGCTCTAGTCAAATCATAATTCAATTTGTTTACCGCCCCCGCATTTAGGGCATACATACCAACTTTAAAATTCATTGATACACAACACAACATTCACCTCCAATCCTAACAATTATGCGAGCGTCTAATAAATGGGACCATATCATTATGGAGTGTTGATTGGGAGGTTCTATTCTGGTTCTAATACCTACCTATTCCAATACCATTCTCAATCAATTATTTGCTACTACCTACCTACTTACTTATCAAAGGCATTCGTAAAGAAATGCAAACATGCTAGACATGCGCTCCGTAGTTCAGGCACGAACGGATATCACTTTCCACCGTCTAGCTTCTGCCCTATATATACAGCACTAGAATCTTCTAGCAAGTCACCATTTGTACACTAATCTAAGGGGACGGAAAAGAATACACTCTCATACCAGTATAGCCAGTAACGGATTTCAATTAATGATTTCAATAGGGTTTATTAATACAGCTTTTTCTGCACACTGCCTTTCCAATTAACGCCAAACAGTGCCGACAGAAGACCTACAATCAATTTACTCCAAATATAACTCCTGATACCTATTCTCATATCGACTCTCTAGAAAAGAATCTCATCTGGATCAGTTTGGGAGCCAGATTCCGCATATTCAACCATCTCCCCCTTTAGCTCCTCTGTGGCTTTCTCCTCATTTGCCCTCTCAATACCCTTCAACTTAATTCCCCCAACCTCCATCTTCTGAATCTTCTTCTCCACTCCGTCCAGTACTTCCTCCTTGAATACCTCCACCTTTTTCTTTATAGCCTCGTTCTTTTCTTTGATGGTTTCGACTTCATTTGATACCTTATCAATTCCACCTTCCTCGTCATCTTTCTCGGCTTCCTGCTTCTCTTTCTTCAACTTTTCAATCTCCGACTCTAATTTTGCCCTTTCTTTTTCTCTCCTTTCCCTATCCTCACTCTCTTTCAACTTTGCTCTCTCTTTCTCCTCCTCTCTTTCCTTTACCCATCGCTCTGCCCCCTCGATGGCATCTTCCGCACTCCTTTTGTGCTTCAAGAGATACCCTTGAATCTCCGCTGGACTGAACTTTCCCTCGGGAACCTTCTCACTAAATAGTTTGGCTAATTTTGCTACCCTTTCCTCATCCTCAACCCTTCTTTGTTCCTCCTCTGCTGCGATAATTCGATCTAATTCCACCTGTACCCTCCTTTCTCGCGAAGCACTCGCAGGTTTCTTCTTGTGCATACCCCTCCCGCTACTTGATACTTCACTACCCGAACTTCTCCCTCTCGAAGTGCCAGATTTTAGACTACCAGAAGCAGAATACCCACTTTCAGAACCCTTGGGCTCAGGGTAATCGCCCTCAAGAGTTGCGTAAATACCTCGGAATATTTGTTCCATGTTTTCCTTAGTAGCCAGATCAAAATGAACAGTCATATCAACTCTACCTGGTCTGATAAGTGCCTCATCCAACTTTTCAATGTGATTTGTTGTCATGATGAGAATTCTTCCCTCCTGTGATGCGACTCCATCAATCACATTAAGCAACGCACTCAAAGAGATTTTACCCGATTCCTCCTTGTTGCTATTTTTCTTTGCCATAGCTTCTAAAGCCTTAGTTGCCTTGGCCAACGGGGATTTAGGACCGAATTCTTCGCCATCGTCGTCGTTATCTTCATCACGAGTGTGGGTAAGGCCGGCTGTATCAATATCTTCAAGAAGAACAACACATTGTTTGGGGAGCTCGGCGAACAGTGTACTTAAAGTCTCTTCGTTCATGGATCCGGAATTCAAGGAAACAATATAAATCTTAAGCCTGAAATATCCAGCAATCGCGAAGCTGAGAGAACTTTTCCCTGTTCCAGGTGGTCCATGAAGCAAGTATCCACGGCGATACGGAATACCCCGGTTAGAATACCAACGCCTGGTAAATGGATGAAGATAATCTTTCATGTCGGCGATGACTTTCTGCTTGACGACTTCATCCAGAACAACTGTGGAGAAAGGGCGTGAGATACGCGAAACGAGACGGGTCCAGCCAGGCTCTCCAAAAGAGCCAGACTTGGAGCCACCTCTGTAGATAATGGTTCGATTCTCATCGTTCTTAATAAATGCTTGGCGACATTCATCGAGTAATTCCTTGAGAATGCGAGGATTCCGTCCGAAAGAAGAGAGCGAAATTTCCTCCCTTTCGCTCACAGCAGAATTAGTTATTGGAGCACTCTGCGAGCGGCGGAATTGTAACAATCTTCTCTTGTACCAAAAGTAATAAGTTCCGAAGCTTGGCGTAAATCTAACCTTCTTCTCTTTCTCCGACGCCTTCTTAGGAATAGGATTTCCCTCCTCGTCGAGCTCGAAGTCGTCATCGTTCTCCTCCACTTCCTCCTCATTTTCGTTTTGCCACATGAACCACATACGGCTATTTAAATTGGTATTGGCGACGAATCGACGAGATCGTTGTGCAAACGGCTGCTCGGATACCCATGCCATTACCATATTGTACATTTCATCGTCGACGCGGATATCAGCAGATGACATAAAATGGGCATCGAGTTCAATCCAAAACCACGTTTCAATATATTGCCAACAGAAGATTAGTATGCCAAGAATCATGAGTATTGGAATGTAAATGTTGAGATCGATTGCGGTGTAATTCTTGAGGGCAGTTGAGAAGAGTGAAAATCCTGGGAAGAACATGTCGACGATATGGGGTTGTGGGTATCCATAAGGTGTTTGTCCGATATGATCTCCAGCTGCATGATGCCCGGGATTCCCCATCATGTTGTGAGGAACGGAGCCATTCATGATGGCGTTGAAGGTAAATGAGTCCTTCTCGCAGTTTGTTTGAGTGGTAGGAGTATCAATAAGTAGAAATGCTAAAGAGCTTATAAGATCTTGTAGTATATTTTATAACTGTAAAGTCACAAGTAATATTAGTAAAAGGAGGACGCGCCCCGCTGTTCATATAGCGATGTTTGTCACTTCTTGGATGGAAATGTGAAGGGAGAGAATGTAGTGCAATGTTGCCGATAGAGTCATGGATTGCAACTTTTATGTTCTAAAATTTGTTGGTATGCAGACGTCCCGTCTCTTCATTTCCCAATTAACCATAAAGTTGATCGGTCATGACCGATTGAAATCCTGTGTTCCCTGTGGCTGTTGAACAGACCAAGTGAGGCTTAGCATCTGACTGCAGTGCGCTTACGGCCACATCACTGGCCGCGATCCTGTTGACAAAACGGAGGAGGTAGAATCGTGGAAATGACTTGACTGTGGAGGGCCTCATTTTATGACTACAGTCTCTGCCATTGCGTATGTGGTGGCAGACAAGCTTCCGTGGAGGCTCAGGCTACTGAACGCCCACTAGTCGTTCAGCTACCCGACCTGCCTAGCTGGTTCCCGCAATAATCAAAAGACGGTGCATATGTGTTTCAACAGACTAAACCGGATTCTCGTCGCTCAACTATATTCGCACTCGGCGAGTAATCGTGCAGAACCCCACAATTCGGCCAAGGAGTCAATGTTTTGTAGCAAACAGAGGTATCGAGGTATCTTTCCGTCGTGATTTTGCCCTCTTTTTCAAGCATGTGGATGGAATCAAGCCCAGAGCTTCGATTGGGCAACCGGCTACGAATAAATACTGTTAGTCCTGAGTTCAACGGACTTTGCGACCGGCTCGAACAACAAATATCGTGTTCTTGGCCAATGTTGAATTATTATGTAAGCGCACTTTTGGCCTTTCATGGCCTGATTGCCTTATGTAAGCGCCGACAACAACACGGTCACTTCAACAATACTGCGCATCCCGCGCGGATATATCCTTGGTAGACTCTTATCTAATAAACCATAGAAGGTTAAGTTATAGACCCATCCTTCACAAATTCATGAAATATCCAAGCCTCAATCCTTAATATTCTCCACATCTCCTACACCCTTCATCGCTGCGTTGATCATGACCACCATAAAAACGACCACTCTCGCATATCCATCTGAAAATCACTACTCGACTTTCTGTATGTTATTCCCATTTTCACCACTTTCGCTACTTTCCGCACCATTTATGTCCCTATTTTGTCATGTTTCCAATAGCGACGCAGCGCCTCGATCCAGATCGAAAGGTTGTAGGATGAATGGGCCTGGAGGAATAGTCATGATATATGCTCTTCAAACTATTCTGGAGGAGTAAAACGCTATGGTATAAATTTCACAGCAAGTATATATATACTATGTAACAAATAGTCTAATATATTGAAAACGTGTATTGTTGTTTTGAGATCTGCTTTAACCTTCTATCTAATCCACACGAATAAGAACTTTGTATTTGTACAACCTGGTCATTGTACCATGCCATGATCATGAATATACATGTGGAGATCATCCAGTATCCATGAACCAATTTTCCAGAACCCACCATATGCTGTACACATTATGCATCTATTCATATTCATACAATCCCATTTATCTAGATCAACGCCTTGCCTTCGAACATTCCCTCTCTAACTTCCTTGACTACATCCCTTCTATCTCCCTTGCCAACCAAAACTATACCTCTTCCTCTTCTTCCCATACGTCCAGTTCTACCCAATCTATGGATGAAATCGATTGTAGAATGCGGCACATCATATAGAATAACGTGTCTCACAGCCACCGTATCAATACCTCTAGAGCCTAAATCAGTGGTAACTAGAACTTTCGTATTAGGTAATCGCCTCTTTACTGGAGGAGCAACCTCTCCAAACGGCACGTAGTTCGGTTGGTTGTCTGATAGAGATCCAGGGTGAGACACTGGTTTCTCCACGCTCAGCTTGGCGGGCGAGGTGAAAGATGCTAGCATCTCACTCTGTCGTTGCTCGGGAGTATCACGGGACAAAGCAATTGCATCCACACCCTTGGATACGAGGTAGTCAGCTACTTCCTGGGTTTTCTCGCGCTCGTTAACGAATACTAGAATACGTTTTACATCCATTAATCCCTTGACAGGTCCATCGTGTTCAGCAGCTGCTTTACCAATGGACCATATAGTATCCGCGCAGGCGAGATTCTTGTTGTTACGATATGGGTCACGTTCAACATCAACGACGCCAAGTTGGACACGTCGAGGAATAGCATGTAGGTTCGGTGTGACGAGACGGTTTATATCAGGGAATCGTTTGCGGAGGAATGAGTCAAGAGAGCGGGGAATAGTTGCAGAGCAGAGAACGAGTTTTTCAAGAGACGGAGTAGCGCGGTCGATGATGGCTGATGTAAGTGGTGAGAACCCTCGATCTAGGAGTGAATCCGCTTCATCAATTATGAGATGGGTGACACGAGACAAGATGTTTGGATCGGAGTCTGCAATCGAGGAGAGAAGATGAGGTGTAGATACAAGTATATCGATTCCGGATGGAGAAAATAGACGGTTACGAATGACTTTTCCAGAGAAATTAGAAGATATCACGGCCGCTTTGAATTTCACCGTATGGGAAAATAACTTCAAAAGTGTTCCAACTTGGGTTACCAGTTCAGAGGTCGGCACAAGTATGATAGCTCTTGGTCTGCCTGTGGTAGGATGTGGCATATTCGATAAAGGAGGCGATACCAATGTTAGGTTATTCTGTCGTAGTTTCTCCTCTTGTAACTCTTTCTCGTAAGCCTTGACCTCAGCATCCTTCGCCTCGGCAACTTTGATGGCATTGATCGTGGGTATTAAATATGACAACGTTTTCCCTGATCCAGTTTCCGCAGCTATCAAATATTGCTCCATCTCGCTCTTCGGTCTCCTACTTTGCTGATCTCCAAGTAACGCCGGCACTGCAATTCTCTGTACGGGTGTTGGAACATGTTCTTTGAGTTCCGGAAGAGCCTGTTGGAAAATTGCCTGCTTCACACTGTCCAACAGCGCAAATTGCTCAAAACTTTGCACTTCATTCATCCTCCCTTTTATATCTGTCCTCCTTACGTATGAAACTGGCGCAAGAGGGCTCTGCATCTTTAATGCGTGAAACCCTCTGTCCTTTTTATCATCCCGGTCCCTGTGATCAAGCCTTGATGTTCGTCGTTCCTGTGCTGCCGATGGTCGTTCCGGTACTCCACGTATTTTCGCCTCTCGCAGATTCATTCCTCCAAATGGGCCATCTTGTTTTCGTCTTGCAGGTCCCTCTTTCGTCGGTGAAGAGCTCACTTTTCCCGCGCCCGCCAGACTCATGCGATTTGGTCGACTGGGTAATCTGGTTCTCATGGACAAAGCTCTGCTGGGCCATTTTTGGCTCACGGGTTTTTGAGCTGCTCTAAACGAACAGAGCAGGCACTTGCCAGCCTTCGGCCGAAGCATAACGGATACAAATTTTCTTATTTTCGTTAATTGATTGTTATTTTTGCCGCCGTTACTTCACTACGAGAAATTATTTACTTGGAACGGCGAAACATATTTCCGCTCCGTGCAGCAGCTTTCTTCCATAGAAATGGTTGACACTACCATATCATTATTATTAATGGAGACAAGATTGGAACTTTCTCTTCAAACTTTACGCTTTGTGGGATGATATTGGTGAGCAAACAATAAATAAAGTTCACCATTCTGCATTTGGTTTTATTCACAGAATTTCCATTTTCAATCAATGAGGGACATCGGCTTGCTTTTCAGTGCTTCCCATAGCCATCAACAATGTAAGTACTCTAGGGAATGAATCGTTGTCTACGAACATTCTTGAAATTCCAATGAGACGCTTGAAAGCTTGAGAATACTCACAATCATACTACCTAGTATGTTAGTGATTGGTATTTGAGTCGTAGGTCCTGAAGGTATCTCCCCTCAATTGCTCCAGCATGTCATCAATTTGGAAGAAGCGCGGTTTCGGCGCGCATCTATAATCGGTGTGTACTGGTTTTGACCGTCTTGGGCAGACCTGTCTGCTGTTCTGGCTCTTCTGAATTTACGTATTGCATCGCTTGAAGATTATCCATTTTCCGTTTAGGTGTAGTCTCCGAACCTTTGCACCAGAGAGTCCGGGGCCATGCCTTGGGAATACCCTCCCATTAGTCATCAACATATACCTAGTAAGCTCAGATTCAGCAATCAATTAGCTTAGCCTTATGATATTCTTCATTATGCTAAACAATATTCGACATTTCAAAAAGTCTTCTAGGTGTAGATGCTTCAACTACACTTCAAATCTCAAATAAATGGGGGGTTTTTGGGTATGCGGCTGTTTCATAAGACTTACGTTTCCTGCGGCCAACAATTGATTTCAATGACAAGGAAAATTTGCATCCACCACTCACATCATGAAACTTTTCGATACATAGAGTGAAGGACATGAAGTAATCCAACAATATCAATCGGCACTGGCTACTATGGAGGAAATAGTCGAAGGCCCCGCAAAGCTAATCAGGAGACAGAGTGGAAACGGGATTCCATAAGTGGTTGCTACCGAATTGCGCAATTGCACTGTGGAAAGAGCATGTTATAGATCGGCCGTATATTTATTCACACTGGATCTTTTGCTACAGTGACTGATGTCACTACCAGCAAATATGCAGCCAGACAACCAGAAATCCAAATCGAACTATCTACATATCGCCATCTAGACGGGCAGTGTTAATGCTCTCTTGTATACAGCACGGCACAAATATCTTCGATTTATGTACAGGAATACGAGATAAGGCTTCATTTTTTTTTTCTTAAGAAGTCTGTGCTTGTCCCATGTTTTAGTTGATGATCTGCAGGCTTTAGTTTGTCTACTACCGAAATGGGCTCAGATCCATCTTTGCTTGCGCGGATCATCGCCAATTCTTCTCCACACGAAATCTGAAGAATCTGGCCAACAATATAAAGAAAGTCGTACTCGAATTTAGATTCGTCACATGTTTTGCATCAATTCAATCAACGGCTACAGCTTGCAGCCAAATGACAGAGAAAGAATGGAGGCATGGAAGGGCTCAATTTTCTCTAAAACAAACAAGCTCTTTGATTCAGCAATCATGAAACATGTCTGTGCTCTACGTCGAGATATGCCCATAGCCATATCAAATCCTCATTAGTGCCAGTAGGCTCGAGTAGTCTCGAGCACCTGAAACTACAAGATATCGGTGCTCGGTCGTTTTGGCCTCCGATCTTATATCTTCTTCACAACTTTCAACACCTTTCCTCGTTGCAGCTTCAGAGTTTGCCTGCAGATTCGTATGCCTCATCCAATGAAATCGAAATTTCGTCGTTCGGTGTGTAGCTTGTCCGCGATTTCACATATCAACCTGAAGTAGTTGAAGTGTAAGGTCCCGTCTGCACGGGCACCAAGCTACGCACACCCAATCTGCAGTTGTATTCAAGCCAAAATACATATGTAGTAAGAGTATGGATCCAATAGTACGATTTTCTAAAAGGCGGAAATTATTACTACCTGCTCGATCCCACGTTCTTTTCCTGATTCTGTATTACCGCTATTCCGTCTCCACCACATTGCATACCTTAGACATCATATACCCATTGAAGGCATGGCTCAACCCGAGAAGAGAGATACGCTATACGAGTATCCTTATAATCCAGAAGACTATGATTACCATTATTATTTAGATATTCCCTACGGATACGATGTGGAAACTTCAACCTACAATTCAGCATTAGAAACAGCGCGGGATTTTACCTCATCAATTTACGAAGATTCTTACGAAGGAAAGATGGAGAGAAAAGATAGTTTGGAGTTGAAAACTTTGAATTCAGGTTCTACATATACCGAAACAGAACCATCAATACGAGAGGCTCCGTCAATCGCAAGGCAACAAAGTACGAAGAGCACGAAGAGTTTTAAACACACGCAGGGTTTGTTCAAAATGATGTCGATTAGGAATTTAAGACGTTCTCCTCCTCCTGAGGAGATTTCCTTGGATGATTCCGTAGAAACACTTGCTGCACCTTCAGCATCCTCGACGACGACTCCAGTGGAATCCAAAGAGACTAAAGAACCACCGAAACCTATGGAGCCAGGAGGACCTGGCGGGCCTGGAGGACCACCAAAGGAAATATTCCCAGAGATGGATATGGAGAAGAACTTGGTGGGATGGACGGGACAAGATGATCCAGCACATCCGAGGTATGTGTATTTGAGCAGTGGTGGCCACGGTTTATACTGACCTCGACAAGGAATCTTCCAGACAAGAAGAAATGGTTAATGTTGGCGTCCGTCAGTCTGATTACATTCTTGAGGTATGTTTGATAATCCTAGCTCTTTCACAGCCATAGCTAAAATATTATAGTCCACTATCTTCATCGATTGTCGCACCTGGAATTACTCTCATGAATAAAGAGTTTGGCACCACTTCCGATATATTAGACACCTTTGTAGTCAGCATGTTTATTTTTGGATTCGCAGCTGGACCACTGATTTTGTCGCCACTAAGTGAAATATATGGGCGTCAGCCAATTTTGATGTATTGCAATTTTCTTTTAACGATATGGTAAGTTACCCCTCCATATTTACTTTCCATTCTGTTAAAACACTACTCACATTTTTATCACAGGCAACTCGGATGTGCACTCGCGCCAAACATTCACGTACTAATTCTCTTCCGCTTCTTCGCCGGTCTGGGAGGATCCGCATGTCTCGCTATTGGTGGTGGTGTTGTCGCAGATTTATTCCCAATTCAACAACGTGGAAAAGCCCAAGCCATGTTCGTGATGGGACCACTCTTCGGGCCCGTCCTCGGTCCCGTAATCGGAGGATTCATCGCCCAACGCGCCGGATGGCGCTGGGTATACTGGGTACTTCTAGTTGCCTGCGCCGCTCTCTCCATCTTCTATGTGATCGTCGGAAAAGAAACATCAGCCTCCGTCCTCATCCGTCGCAAAACCATTGCTCTTCGCAAGGAAACAGGAAATCCAGATCTTCTCTCCGCATATGATGCCAAAAAGCCAGCCGCAGCATTGAAATTCAAAGCAGTGCTTTTAACGGGCATAGCCAGACCATTCCGCATGATGTTTTCCTCACCCATTCTCCCTCTCCTTGCCCTCTGGATGTCCTTCATCTTCGGACTCATCTACCTCCTTCTCACATCCATCGCCCAGGTCTTCGAAGAGATCTACGGGTTCTCCATCGAAATTGCCTCGCTAGCATATCTAGGACTCGGTCTCGGTTTCTTCCTCGGCATGTTCACCGTTGCCAAAACTTCAGACCCTACAATTATTGCATTAACCAAGAAAAACAACGGAGTATACCAGCCCGAGTTTCGTCTCCGCAACGGTCTCTTCTTCGCTTTCTTCATCCCTGGTTCCTTCTTCTGGTATGGTTGGACCTCATATTACCGCGTTCACTGGATCGTCCCAATTCTTGGACTAATACCTTTTGGTTTTGGAACAATGGGTGTATTTGCTGGTATCCAAACGTATTATATCGATACCGGCAAACAATATGCAGCATCTGCCATGGCTGGACTTACAGCCATTCGATGCGTGTTTGCAGCCTTTTTGCCGTTAGCCGGTAAACCCTTATATAATAATCTGGGGCTGGGATGGGGAAATAGTGTTTTGGGATTTATTGGATTGAGCTTGATCCCGGCGCCATTTTTTATTTATAAATATGGTGGGCTTCTGAGGGAGAGGTATCCGGTTAGGGTTGATTAGATGGGTTTTCGGAATAGGATGACAGATACGTCTCGCATGACTGTTGTATTTCTTTGGTTTGTTGGATATTTGACAAAGAGCGTGCATGATGGGGTAATGATGCTTTGTAACGGAAAGCGGAAAAGGTATAGGAATGATGGTCGCATAGTATGAATACCCTCCTTTGAAGGTCGTCGGTTTATAATTTCGAGTTTGGTTTTGGAGTTGAGGAGCTTAAAGAAGCATTGATATAGCGATAATGGAACACCCTTTCAAGATATCTTATATTTTGAGCCTCTATCTAGATATTACATTGTAAATGAGACCTAAAAGAATGGCGGGTTGTATGTATTGGTAAAATTTTGAGATAAGAGTTCGGGGAGATTATTGACCCATGACTGAAAGGTTTTTTGAAGGGGTATACTTCGTAGATTGGAGTGTATATTAGATCTACTAATGCTTTGCATAATGCTAAACTTTCAGGAGTACTGGAGTTGAGTGGATCATATGTTTGTAGACTACTTGGAGTTCAGCTGAATACTAGTAGTCTTGTGGATTGCAACGGACATCTCCGACTGACTACACGAGGTTTTCATGTCAAAAACAATTTGAACAACAGGCAGCAAAATTATTTGACAGAAATGAAAGAAAAATACTAGTAAGGGCTGAAGCTCAGTGGAAATCTTGTCACATCGTAGTGGACATCGGACACGGAGTTTCAAACCAGACTAAAAATCCGCTTGAGGATTGGAATGACCCCAGCAAGCATCTGATCATTGATCTACTGTTCAAGATCCCGTTATTCATAACGATTCCAGTACATTTTTCGTTCTTCCGTACATGAGCAAATCAGGAAAGAAGAGATAAACAATCAAAACTCCGAACGCCTCTTTCTCTTTCTTAGACTAGATCTTACGACTACGTACCCTTCTAGCTAGCTTCAGTGAAACGGCTTACGTGCTCGGAGCGGTAACAAGAATGGAAGAGTCTTCTATGAAGGATGGCACAACGCCAAAGATATCGAAACATGGAAAGGCTTGCGTCAATTGTGCGAAGGCTAAAGTTAAATGTGTGGAAAAAAACGGTGTTGGGGCTTGTGAAAGGTATGTAACATAATCACGTCACGTGATATTTTTCGGTTCCCTGGTGGCATCTCCAGATGTTTAGTGGGATTTTTGCATGTACAAACTTCGTCTCTATTTGCCAAGTGGCTATGATGATGTTTGTTTGGTGCTTGGGCATTTAGATGTTACTTTGATGATTTGGGACATAAAGTGTTTCCAGCTATCAAGCACGAAAAATTTGAGATTTGCCTACAGTCAGAAAATTGAACGATGGTCGTGATCAGCTGATTCAATGTTTCTTTTTCATAATCTCACTGATTGGTTTGACCCAGGGCATTCTGACCACCAACAGATGTCATAGATTGAACAAAAACTGTCAACCGATCACCAGGATAGAGAGGCGAAAGCCGGTGAAAAAAACCACAGCTGCGAAGACTGCAGAGCTCGAGAGGAAACTCGACGGGCTAGTTTCATTGTTAACTGCAGCTACTCAAGGCCAAAGCACGCCTTCTTCAACAGCATCGGATCGTGCTGTCTCGCCAGCTCCCCAGGATATTGCTCAAGGTTTTAGCTATCAGACCGGATCAGATTTTGGCAACATTCCTATGAGGGGACTTGGAGCTATCGACGTAAGCCCTTTAAGTTCTATCCCTATACATTTCACTCCACCGGGACCAGCAATCGGGCCACCGCATCGTGACCCAAGTGGCCATCATTCTTCGACTCAAATCCCCACAGAATCATCTCCAATCTCTCTCACCCCGCCTGAATTAGAATTATCACCGACGGAAGAAGAAAACATACTTTACCACTTCCGAACCAATTCAATAAAATATCTCCCGTTTATCTTTATACCGCCAAATACAAACATCCATGACTTTAAGAAGGAAAATCCGTTTTGGTGGTTGGCCATTGTGATGACTACGGCAAAAAGGACCTCGACACGAATCACACTGGGAACGCATATCCGCCAAGTTCTGAGTCATAGACTAATTGGTATGGGTGAGCGTAATCTTGATCTTCTATGGGGTTTATTGACTTATATCGCATGGTATGTATGAACTCAAGGCTTTGGAGCAGGGTATCCAATAGTCCGGAATACAGTCCGACAATAAGAAGTATTTTATTGCTGAGTCAAGCTGCGATATTCAGACCATTTCGAACATTTAAATCATTTTCAATGTTGAATTACTGTTCAAAACATTGGCTGCCGACTGTTGTTTCTCCCAATCTGGGCTACTGGGCGCACAGTTCTAGAGTAGAATACTAACATTGAATAGGAGTCAGTGTCATTTCCACCAAAGACCGGTTGTAGGTCATCATTCTTTATATTGCTGTATTTCGAGTGTGGAATATTGGCTGACTCATTGCTCTATAGTGGAGTAGCTTAATTCAACTTGCTATGGGATTAGTATATGATCTGGGATTAAACAAAGCACCACCAAAGGAAACTCCAACTTTTCTGTTGAACTTTGATGCCCGGGGATGTCCAAAATCAGCCTTACGTCCAGCTGGATCATATCAAGAAAAGAGGGCGTTGCTTTGCCTTTATTCGCTAAGCTCTAGGTTCGTGCTGTCACTATAGGAATGTGATACACTTCTAATACTTATTCAGCTTCTCATTATATTTTCAAAAGATCGATACTCTTCGATGGACACCCTATGCAGACGCATCAGCCAAGATTCTCTCCAAAAATCCAGAATTTGCCCGTGACACATTAATGGTTCAAATTGTGCGCCTGCAGCTCATTCAAGAGCGCGTAAAGGATGCTCCATGGCTTGACACGGCTGGTGATGGAAACGCGGCTTTTAAAGCACCTGCTCTTTTCTACCTCAAAGCCTTGAAAAGTCAGATGGAAACATTCAAACAGCAAATTCCAGATGAAGTCTGTGAAAATGGTACGTAAAAAACTGGGAGCATTTCAGTGTATATATCTAGCCCTGACTAACCGCCCATAGATACTTTTCTGCTGTATCTATACAATACAGAACTTACCATACACGAAGTTGCTCTCTCCAAAGAAGCTATTGTCGACCTGCCAGATTCCCAACGCTTAGAGTCCCTTTGCATTTGTTTTCAAGCTGTGAAATCATGGTTTGATCTCTACTTTTCCCTCCCTTGCAAAGACCACATATCATTTATTTTCCCCATCTATATGCACATTTCGCACTGCATGGTAGCTCTCTACCGATTATCAGTCTTCGAAGATCCACAATGGGATGTCCATTTGGTTCGTCAACAGTTAGATCTTTCACATGTCCTAGGAAAAATCGTAAAGACCTGGGAGAATGTCAAAAGTGAAGCAGGATTAGACGTTGGAGCAACGGGGACGGATGATGTGGATCTCTATACTTCTAATGCAAAGAGGATTGCGTTACTGAAGAAATGGTGGGACGCGAAGGTAGTTGCGGAAACTTCTAGGAATGCATCGAGCGAGAAATTTCAAAGTGTGGGTGGGAATGGGAGTGACAACGCAAATGGAGATGGGAATTTAAGCGCAGAGCCCATTCCTCAAGCTCAGGGACTTGAATTCTCAAACTTTAGCATGGATATGGGGTCGGAGATTTGGGATGACGGATGGTGGCAGGATGCTTTCGGTACGTGCGTTTCGCAGGGTGATCATATGAGTGCACCGCCCCCAACGCACTTCTGAGGACGCGTAGGAAGCTGTTATTGTTTTTTATGGTGTTTAAGACGGTCTTGGAAAATAAAATTTCATGTTCATAGATGGCGTATGGACTGGCTTTGAAAAATTGGAATTCATGTCTATAGATTGCGTGTGGGCTGGCTTTGAAAATTGGTTGCTCATATATGTATAGGTATATGAATTGGTACAAAAACTAGAGTACATAGTATAGAATTAGTAACAAAGAATGGGCTCATCTTGGCCGGAGGCGGGTAGCAAATAAAAATGAAATTAACTGAACTTGTCTAATATTGTGTTTTGTGGACATACTGTCCTTCGAACTTTGTTTCCTATTGCGAGTATGTATATTGCCATCCATATATAGTCTCTTAATTCATTCCTAGGACATGAGAGGCGTGCCAAACAGACGTTGGGTGCTGCGCGTGTTTCGTTACGCATTTTACAACAAAACTTTACATGCGATCTTGGAGGGGATGCTAAGACGTTGTTCCTCTATCACATATGTATACGTGGATTAACGTGTGTCTATGTTTAATATAAAGAGTATAATCCTCCGTTCGTCTGTCGCTGCGAAATACCATGGATTGCTATACACAAAACCCCCGTAGCAGCGTGCAGATACATCAGCTACCAAATTATCTGTGCATTCTGGCGAGCTTGAATTGAAGGACAGCACAGCGATAGAGAATTGTTATCATGGTGTGAATAAGCAGTTGGCTATACAATAATTTATGATGGATGTTGATTCTAAGCATAAAACTTCATAAAAAAATGTCTACTAGTCTAAAACGGACTCACTAGTGACAAGCTTAAGCTGAGAATACTTCCAATTTTTCGCATCACCGAGTAACTTTCGCTTATTTCTCCTATTGGTCTAATTTCAATGCACTTATAAGGTTAATAGGTTAGAAAGTCAGTTCGTTTTGTTATTATAAGAATGGTAGTGCACTCATAGCTGTTGTTCGTTACATCAATCTTCACTTCAACATATCTCAGGTTCAATAGGAAAAGCTCGAGTTCTGGGAACTTATGAGCTGTTCCCTAAGCCATGTGCTTAACATTTGCCGTATGAGAGAGGACTATTGGGTATTTGCAGTTTATATTAAAGTTTCTTTCATATTGGTACGTAGGATGTGATGAACAATTATAATTTTACATTCTAGAGTTGTAGTGACGGGCTTCGGAGGGGCTGTTCTTCAATTTACCAATTTTCCATATTCGATCATTTGGTCATCTCCCTAACCATCTTTTTGAATAGCATCGATATAACACAAAGACGAAATGTAGAGAAGGATGCAGATTGATCAGGACAATGTAAAAAGACATGGTTTATTTCAGTTCTACCATACTTGGTACGCTCGGGTAAAACCATTTGACGTCCTGGTTATAGACAATTTAATTGCACCTGGAATAATAAGACGGAGAGAATAAGTAATGGGAGAATAGTAGTTGGTTGAATGAGACAGCAATTGAGATTATTGAGTATCCCCAATATTTAGGGAAGATTGCGTTGAATAGTGGCAACTTTCCAGGAATTATGCTTTTCCCTACTCCATATAAACGCCATTTTATATCCCAAACTCCGTTCCCTTTCACCACCTCCATCATCAGCCCTCGAAGCGCAACATCCTTCCGTCCTAAGAAGTCGCGAAAAGTGTATCTTCATCTCTCAGATACTCTCCAGCATCAGCCTGTCTAAAACAAACAATTCCAGTAGGATCCAATCTTCTAGCTTCCTGTGTACTTCTGGCTGTAACTCCAAATCCCAATGGTGTATCGTTCATACTATAAACAACCACACCTTGATGTTCCGGACAATCTTCTGACCATCTTCCAACATGCGCTTTCACAACGTGTCCACCGTAAAGGAACGGCATCTCTCCATTGGCTTTAACCCAAACCTTGTAGCGGGCATGTTCGGCGAGGATAGGGAGAGCGGTGATGTGAATGCGAAATTTGCCTGATTTTGTGAATTTTCCTGCGTAGAATGAGTTAGATACAGGCGATGCTCAAAATCGACTGAGAATACATACCAAGACAAATTCCTAATGACAACAACTTGTCTCTCGAGATAGACGTCGCAAGGTTTGCGAGCGATAATCGCACATAATAACATCTTGATTGTTGAACTCGGAAAACATATCGATCGGCATCTGGGGTGTTATCCAATGGCGCAATAAGATTCTTCAAAGAGTTTCCAGTATATCCCGCCAATTTCGTAAAGAGCGTTTGAGTTTCTGGTTCTGTGAGAGGACGCATTTTGAAAATGTTGTATTTGCTTGATTATTGTTGAAGTTTGTGAGGATGAAGCTCTAGATTTCAAAGTTCCATGAATTTTTTTGGCGGGCAAGGCTGGAAACTTTTTTATGCGGGGAAGCGGCCGCTTGAACTCCGCCTCAGAATATTTTCTAGAGAACCCTTGAACTTTTTTTGAACGATATTCATCATAAAGTCTCCACGAGAGTTAAGTTTTGCGACACACGAGTCTAAATGGCAAAAGTACCAGCAGTAAAGAGGCGCAAGCTTACACCTCCTCCAACAGAAGGGGAAGATTCATCGCCATCGACTTTAGAGAATGCGCCAAGTTCGAATGCGTTTTTCAAGACGGCTTCAAAATGGAATTTAGAGCAAGATTACGAAACGAGACCTCGGAAAGGCAAGAAGGAAAAGAAAGAAAGTACAAGGTTACCAATCAAGACTAAGGAAGGATTGATTCAGCAGGTTGAAGCGCCAGTGGAGGTCAATGAAGAAGAAAGTGATTTGGAATGGATTGGCGCAGACGATGTCGAGGAGGATGAGGAACCCGAAGAGAAGGTTGAGGAAAAGCCTTCTGTGCCGATCCGACAGCAGATTATGGAGGCCAAAGAAGAATTAGCACGTATAGCATTGATGTTGAATGAGGATCCGGAAGAAAATGTGGGAGCATTTAGAGCTATAGCAGAATTCGGGAAATCGCAAAACCTTACGATCAAGAAATTAGCATTGGCCACACAATTAGCTGTTTACAAAGATGTTATTCCAGGATACAGGATAAGACCTTTATCGGAAGAGAATATGGAAGAAAAAGTTTCGAAAGAAGTACGAAAATTGAGAGCATACGAACAGGCTCTTGTGGGTGGATATCAAGGATATGTGAAGGAGTTGGCTAGGCTTGTAACTTCTGGGAGACCCCAGAATAAGAGTGATGGTGGCGCGAGCCTGTCAACGGTTGCCATATCCTGTGCTTGCGCATTATTAGAAGCTGTACCCCATTTCAATTTTCGATCGGATCTATTGAAGATATTGGTAGGAAAGCTTAGTACAAGACAGGTGGACAATGAATTCGTGAAGTGTCGAGAGACCATCGAAACATTGTTCAAGAATGACGATGATGGGACCTCATCCTTGGACGCGGTAAATATTTTGACGAGAATGATGAAAGGGAGAGGATACAGAGTGGACGAAAGCGTATTGAATACCTTCTTACATTTGAGGTTACTGTCGGAATTTTCTGGAAAAGCCTCTACGAATCATGTCGAGCATGAGGAAGACAGCTTTGGAGGCAAGAAACTTAAGGAGAAGAGAGTATTTCGTACCAAGAAGGAGAGAAAATTGATGAAGGAGCGCAAAGCAGTTGAAAAAGAGATGATTCAAGCCGATGCAACAGTCAGCCACGAAGATCGAGAGAGAATGCAATCGGAAACCCTGAAATTGGTGTTTGTGACATATTTCCGCATTCTGAAAGTTCGCTCCCCATCTCTTATGGGCGCTGTACTTGAAGGTTTAGCAAGATACGCTCATCTCATCAATCAAGATTTCTTCGGTGATCTTCTGGAAGCGCTTAAGGACCTTATTGGTCATGCTGAGACAGGAGATGATGTCGAGGAAACCGAAGCAGAAGATGAGGATTCAGAATCCTCCCGCAATCTCACCCGTGAATCTCTCCTTTGCATCATCACCGCCTTCGCTCTTCTCGAGGGTCAAGATGCCCACAAAGCTCAAGCATCGCTAAGCTTAGATTTAAGCTTCTTCATCACTCATCTCTACCGCACTTTACACGCCCTCTCCCTCAACCCTGATATCGAACTTTGCTCCAAATCCCTTCATCTACCAGACCCCAATGCACCCTCAACCTCCAACAACAAAGTTAACATCCAAACCACCACCGTCCTCCTCCTCAAATCCCTCTCATCTGTCCTCTTACCTCCTCTGGCCGCACGCGCAGTCCCACCTCTCAGAATTGCAGCTTTCACTAAACAACTTATGACATGTTCTCTTCAATTACCTGAGAAATCCGCTACGGCCATGATGGCTTTATTAGGGAAAGTTGCGAAAATTCATGAGACCAAAGTCAAAAGCCTGTGGAATACAGAGGAGAGGAAAGGTGATGGAATGTTTGATGGATGTAGTGCGGAAGTTGAAGGAAGTAACCCGATGGCGAGTACGATTTGGGAGGGAGAACTGCTGAGGTTGCATTATTGCCCTGCGGTTAGAGAAGGCGTGAAAGTGGTGGAGAAGAATGTGATTGGTTTGAGGTGATTATTGCATCAAAATAAATAGAGAGTTAATAATGTGTGACTATTGAGGTTGAAATAAAATGTATATTTCTAAACCATTTATACTATGTACCGTGAACGTGAGTCCGTGAAATTTAAATGCGGATGCGCGAAAGAATCGGGTATATAGTTATACATGTTCTCAGTTCCCTCAATTCATTATATCCATCACATACAGCACAGCGCAAAATCCGCCATCCTCAAACCCCACCCATATTCCGCACTTCCTCTTCATCTTCATCTTCATCCAATCCCATTCTAGTTTCAAGTACTGCTTCTGGCTGTACCCCTGTCCCTCTACATCTTATGTATGCGAAAAGACCCTAAAAGTCTATCCATCACCACCGGCAAGCCTCCTTCATTTCATCATCGTAAATGAATCCAGATATCCCACAGCCATCGACACCTCCATCCTTTCCCCTTACCTATTACTCAACTCAAACATATCCCTCCCCACCCTTTCCCCCACCATCCTCTCCTCCACCCACCTTTCCCTCCCCAAAACAACCACTCTCCCCTCCGCTCCATGCACATGACCAATCTGATCCAACATCTGCGCAAAATTCCTATCCGTCGTCGCCTTACTCTGCCAATCTAGAGACGTGAGCGCCGAAAGCGTGACGGAGATCGCGTTGATTACTATGCTTGTTACTGTTAAGGCTGAGGAAAGTGCAGGTGTTAGTAAGATTAAGTGAGTATATATAATACATGTTGAAATGTGGAGGAGGATGAAGGAGTGTGGTGGAGTAATGAGATAGTTTGGGAGATTACCTCGTAAATCAGAAGCACTAGTGGGTCTTAGTGAAGCGATTGAGGAGATGACGAGGGAAGCGATGGATAGGGCTACGGAAAAGTAGACGGAGAAACGTTTCCAGAATTTGGCGGTTAGGAAGAAGGGTTCCTGGGTTTGGGTTTGGTTAGTAAATGAGCTATTATTCAACAGTCTATAGAAAATAATCCTCCTGATACTGAAGAAGGGTCGTCTCTTCTCCGGATATGTGTAGGTTCAATAGGACTCAAGACATCGAAACAAAAACGTGACATTCACGTGATTTTAATACATAAGGGTAAAATGAAACTGAAACAAACCTTCAAAGGTAACAGGCTAGAAGACTCAAGACTTCTTTCTTCTATCTGAGAATTTGAAGTCGTCTCCAAGCTTTGTGGCTTCGCGCCTCCATTCCTATGAAACATATTTCGGAGGTTCAAAAGATCTTATCTTATCTTATCTATCGGTAAGGTTAACCTTAAAGTTAAAGCTTGTACTTTGTGGCGTCCTTGTTTGATCTTCAAGATGATGCAGGGCTGATATTCACGATAAGGTTACAACGACTTGAAATTTGATGTTTGATGGGGTTCTTGACGTGGATAAAAAGATGCGCATATCTAATGGATGTGGATGGAAATGGACGAAGAATCATACATATAATGGAGGGTCAAAAACTTAAAAATGCTAGGGAAAATTAATAAATGATTCAGAGGTTGACGCGGAATAAATCGCAGGGTCGTGTGATGAGGCGGCGCTTGAAAAGGGGAGTGATGTGCGGATTGTATCAGTCTGCTGGTTGAGACCTGCTGCACCTACCTGTCTTGAAGTTCTATCGAGTTGATATAATCAGTTGCTTTCTGGTTTTGTTTGTGTTTCCTCCTAAATGCTAAAATGTTTATATGCATGAGATGTGGAAAGTAAGATCTTACATCATATAGGAACTAGGAATATATCTAGTAGGCAGTGTATACCTTGTTTTGAAACATTCGCTTCCCGAAATTCTGTGTTTTTCAAACAAACAACTAATATCTTGTATGGAAATCTGAATTAGGACTTTCCACAAATTCTTATTTGGGTAATTCATCGACATTTTTTGGAACTCAGAATATCATCAAGTGTTGTTGTGATTATGGCACACTGTTATGTCTCAAAGTCTCAGTTGATGATGCTAATTTGCCTCCTCGATGCTGCTTTCCTATTCGTGTTCTCTTCTACTGCGCTCTTCTCGTATTCTTGGAGCTAGAATACCAGAGGGAAGGAAGAGTAGTTGAAGGGGAACAGGTGGGAACGGCACGTGGGAGGTGAGAGCCCGACTTTGAGGTTTCCGTAAGCTAGCATTGACTATCAATCATATCTCACAAAAATTGCCTACTTCTCCTCAGCTCTAGAAACCCTTTTAATTCTCGCGTAAGATGAAAGTACTGGAATTAGGTCACTTCCTGTTGAACATTAGTCACATTCCTATCAAATTTAATGAATGAATAGAGCGTTTTGGACATGTTGCCTATCCTGGAAGACATTTCTTGACTTCGGATAGGTTTTGGTGGTAGGCTTTTATAATCCTTCGAACGGTGGGAGACAATGAGAGGTGAGAGAGAGGTTACAGTTCAGACTTCTGAACATTTTGAGTATGGATTTCGAAGGGTAGGATAGTCTAAAAATTAGCATTCGGAACTGCTTTTATTATTGATAATTATAATCTATGATAACATTAAATATTTACCCGACTGACAGTTAAAAGTCGACTTTTACAAATGACTCACTAGTTCTTAATCGAAGTGAATTCTTTTACTTCGATTTTGATATAAAATCTATCAAAATTCAAAATATTATTAAACTTTTTTCTTTGATGTACAATTTTAAATTTTCAAAATGATATACATAATTCTTCATTGTTGGATTTATATTATCATACTGAAATCGATAATATCAAAATTATCACGTTAATTTGAAAATTGATTTACATTATTTATATAATAGAGCTAATAGGAAATTGGCTATCTTCAGCTAAGGATCTAGTCAGCCGTATTTTAGATTCATTAATAGTCAAATTTAATCTAATCTTACCATTGATTCAGCAGTCAATGCAGCGCAGTTCTGATATCAAATGAACTTTTCCATTGCAATCTACATCTAAACTCCAAATAATCTACAAATAAGTACGCCAGACCCGACTCCGGGTTCTATTGAAAAACACAATTGCAGATGTCCACTCTAATGTATATCCTCCACAAGAAACTCTCAACCACTACCAACAACCTCCCCAAACCACTGTCTCAACACACCCGCCAAAACACCCGGCAATTCTCCCACATCCCCAACCACAATATAATATCTGAATGGGAAAGTATCCAGATACCTCTCAATCCTCACATCGCTCTGTCCTGTCATTTCATTTTTCACAAATCTTGCCTCCTTAAGATCCAACACACTTTCTCCCTTCTTCTTGGTTCTCACATCATCCACAATCACAAATACCATCAATATTCTTTCTTCCTCCGCTTGTCTCAATAATCGTCGAATGTTGTCGTGTTCAGAAGAACTACAAACACCGTCCGAGATAATAAGAGAAATTTGCCAGAGATCCGTAGCAGATGATGATGCCTTTTGTCTGGCGGTACGGAACAAATTGATACTCTCACGAATGAGTCTCGTGATATCCGTTCGCTGTTGCTCGAAACCGAAATTCTCAAAGATAACAGGGCCGGCCTCGGAACTGAATGGTACATCAAATTCATGTGCTACTTTGACGTCCTCTCCGAATCCGACGACGCATATCTCACCAACCTCAAGCATAGCTAAAGACCTCGAAATCATGACCAAAGTCTCCAGAGCGAGACTTCCAGAGCCTGATTCTCCCATGGACTTGGAGTCATCGACGGCTAGCATAATTTGGTATGAGCGCTTGGAGGGAATGCTGCGGCGCATCCAGATTTTATCACGCTTGAACGAAGAGGCAATGTAAGGGATGATTCGTTTGATGTTAAGACGCTTTCCAGTACGGAAATCACCCCGCATCTTGGTTGCTAAGGTAGGTGCGAGAATCAATCGAAGTTGTTCGGTCAGGGAAAGGGAAAGTGGACGTGTAATAGACTCGTAATGAGTCCACTGAGCACGGGCATCGGCTGCGGATCGTACAGAAATAGTGGTGGTGGGATCAAGATGAGTATTATCGAGCTGCGTGTCAACTTCTTCCACATCGGAATCCATATTCTCATTGGCTTGAGCGCGAGTATTATCGTTCAAGTCTTCATCCATATTGTTCTTGGCTTGGTGGATGGAAGCACCGGCTCGACCTTCATATGCGTTGGATAATTCTTCTGGTTCTGGTGCATCATTCTCGAGATCCATGACATTGTCCTCGTCTTTCTCAACTTCATCCGGTTGGAATGTTTCCGGCATATCTCCAATTTCCGGATCAATTGCCATAGACTCATCAAGAGCGTGAGCTTGTTCTTCTGTAGCAGTACCTAGGGCTTGAGTGTCGGCTTCAGCATCTTCGTCTTGTAGATGTTGGAATTCGTTGCTTTCAGTACCCATGTCGATATTTTGATCTTGTGTTTGATCCTTTTGCTCGGTCGACTCGCTGATTTGGGATTGTTGACGGTGCCACTTCTCGAGGGCATCTCCGAGCTTCTTAAATGGCTGAGCAGTAGAACTATCTTGAGTGTCATCCTGGGCATCTTGTGGTGCATCACCTGCAGCTTGCCGGCCCTTTTCACCATCCTCAGCCGCCGATTGCTTATTCTCAGACGAGTCACCTCCTTGACCACCATCATCTCTTTGGGCCTTGCTATTAGAATCGGCATTTTCATCGGCTTCGTTTTCATCCTGACCATCGCCAACGCCTTGTACATCACTTGGGACCACGTCATCCGTATCTACTGTAGCCTCATCTTCACGACCACGCAACAGACCATCTTGATCTTCAGGCTCTTGTTCTTCAGGTTCTTCCTCAGCTTTCTCTCCAGCCTCCTCAGTCTTTTCACCCTCTTCATCTTTATCTTCATCCAGATCAATGATATCCATTTCGTCGCCCATATCTTGATCTTCTTGTCCATCCGCGTTTTCGGCATCGGCCTCTTCTTTACCATCGTTTGCAACTTCATCAGTCTCTTTAGCTTCATCTTCCATATCTGGAAGATCATCCATTTCATCCTCCATTCCATCATCACTTCCGTCGCTTCCATATTTCTCCTCTCCATCCAATTGCATATCATCAGGTAAATCCAAAGCATCTCCTTCATCGGCATGCGGATCATGCTTTTCTACATCATCCTGTTGTTGGACCTCTTCACTTTGTTCAGCTCCAGCCATCTCTTCTTCTTCTTCAGCTTCTTCACCCTCATCACCTTCCCCAGCTTCTTTGTTGTTATCTTGAGCCGCGACTTGTTCGTCTTTGGAAGCCTTTCCTTTTGAATCATCACCTTCTTGATCTTTCTCAGCTTGCTCATTATCACCATCCCACATCTTTTCATCCACTGCATTAGGATCCAAGTCGTCCACATCTCCAGCCTCTTCATCCATCTCATCACCATCCTTTTCTTCATCACCAGAGCCTTCATCATCCTCTTTCTCTTCAGCCTCACCCATTTCACCTTCCATCTCGCCATCTGCCATGTCAACAGCATCTTTTTCATCTTCAATTTCTCCTCTCTCTTCTTTATTCGGTTCCTGAGCCAATTCATCGAGATCTTCATCCTCTCCAATGTCCTTGCTTATATCCTCAGCACCTTCTCCATCACCAAGTCCAGTTCCCCCCTCTAACTTTTCAGTTTTACCATCTTGCGCGTCCTGTTTCTCTGATGGTGTACAGAAACCTTGCGATGCAATCTGTGTAAAAGTCTTGGCGAGAATGTATGAGGTCTTAGATGTCGAACGGTGTAGTATCGCGTATCTAGTGATGCTTTCCTCCAATATGTTGTAGTATTGTTGAATGATTGGAAAAGCAACTGCAAATATAGCACCAGCACCTCGACTAATGTTGTCATCTAAAAGGTTGAGGGATCTAAGGATAGCAAACGATTGTTTGATTTGGTCGGCAACATTCTCGGAGTGAAGAGCTTTAATGCTGTTTGCAAGAATAGTATCGCTTCTGATCAGCCAGCCTTGATCTTCAGTTGAAGTCGGAAGGTCGCCAATAGATTTGTGGTATTTCTCCATTGCGGCTAGGACTGTATTGCACACAGTTGACAGTTTCTGGTCGAGGTCTTCCAGCGTGGCTTGCGTAGAGATAGCTGTCGTCGCCGATTCACCAATAACAGTCCAAGGTAAGATCTGCTCGATGATAAACTCTAAGTCTGGACGCTGCTCGATCAATTTGCTCAAATCGATTGATAATTGCTTAGTGACATCATTGATGGCCATCTCAGCTTCTCGGCGTTGTGTGGACATAATTCCAGAAGGTAAAATAGATAATGAAAACCACCTTTCCCGAAGATCGACTAGTATATCTTTCCACGAGGACAAAATTTCTACCACTGATTTCGCATCAATTTTACCAAGTTTTGCATGTGTGTTGACAAGCTCCAGTCCAACCGACAAGATATTAGGTAACCACTGAAGGACATGCTTGTGGTTAGAGGTTGTAGTAGGAACCCTGACATCATATATCCCTGGAGCCCAAAGCCCCTTCGCCATTTTGACAACATCTCTGAAGAGATTTAAGCTTGTCATAGTACTCGAAAGAATGTTGCGCTGGCTCAAAAGAACTTGCAATAAGCCTTCCAAGAATCCTGTACTTCTTGCCACCTCAGCGCCACTGAGATCGTCAGAATGCTGCCTTGATGCCTCTCTTGCTCGCGGGGCAAGCTCGACTGTCTTGTGAAAGTAGTACTCCGAATCTTGAGGGTCATTGGAGGGAATATAATCTGTATTTGCCAAGACAATAGAGAGTGAATCTTGCTTAGCAAGCGCGTTGGCACCCAAATTGTATTTGATTCCCATTTGACGAAGATCTTTTAATGTATCTGCGAATAGCTTGCGCTTTTGAGATTTGAGATGTTTCACAGTATCTTTGTTGTCTTCCGTGAGGATTGATGGGGTGGCTTTTTGCAACTCTGAAGTTGATGTGATGATATTTTCAAGGAATGATTCGAGATAGCTAGATCCTTGGACTGTAGATGAAGGTAATTGACTCTTGTCTACCATCATGCTTACAGTCTTAGAAACGTTGATGAACCTCTTGGGCTTTTGTGTCCAACTTGGAACTGTGGAAGCACACAATGCCAGGGCAGATTGATCGACAGTTGGAAACTGTGCTGGAGCAAGATAGCTTATTCCAGTTTCATCACCAACCACTTCATCGGGAAGCCCTTGCTTGATAAGAGAATCCATCGGTTGTCCAAGAAGTGCTCGATATTTCCGAACAATTTTGAAAAGCTTATGATGAGATCTCTTGGCGCTGTCTCGTAAAGCAACGATATTTGTGTCTTTCCAACTTGCAAGAAGTAGTACATCGCGCATGGCTTTCTCTAATGATACTCGACCCCTCTTCAAAGTATCCTCGACTGACTTTTCGTATCGTGAATAAAGAGCAATGAAATTAGCCAGTGCGCTGCCAATTATGGCCAGATTTGGATAGTCCAACACCAATAGACCAACATGTTTCTTTAATTGCTTTAACAATTTAAGACGCTGTACGTACTGACCCATGATAGCTGTTGAGAAATAAGCCTCAAGATCTTGCAGGAGCTTTTGAGCATAAGCTTTGAGTTCTTCGACAGACTCGCATATTGATAGTGGTCCAGCAACGATAACTTGGTATGCGACAAACCACCAGGATCTTGCATCGTCATCGCAGTGCCTGTTTTCCATGTCGAATAACTTCGCCCATGTCGACAGTTCAAGGCGGCGCCAGCTGACAATAGTGGCAGTCAAATTATCGTACAGGGAAAGTGCTGAATTGGCACGGCTTGCCCAACCACCAAACTGCCACTCATGCATGAAGCCATGGACTTTCTCAACCTTGGTGATGATTTTCGCAAGTGGCTCTGTGTGACGAAACTGAAGTAATTCTTTACACGAAACCATGACATCTTCAAGCGGTTGCATGTGCGCAATCTCATCCACAGATTGAAGCTCTCTGAATCTCGTTTGTACTTGATGGATCAGACTGACCAGTTTACGAGTTTCTGGCAGATTTGCGTCGGTGTAAAAATTGTAATTTTCGGGTACCGTAGCAGAAGAACTCAAAGCATCAATCTTATCACTTAACAACAAAAGTGAGCCTGGAAGAAAAGCCTTGACTCCGTTATGATCCTCAAAGGCGGCATCACTTCCACGAAGTTTGCCTATATGTGTAGAAATGTGCTTTATCAAAGACATTATGCTTACAGATGGTAATGCTCCACCCAAGAAAATATCTTCATGCACGAGAGCCAGGCTGACAGCAATATCTCTGACATTTGTTTGCTTTGGGATAGCACTTGACGCACTCGGGGACTCTTCATCATACGAAGGGAATAGTTCGTTGAATTGGTCCTGGTCAATCTCGTCTTCGTCTTCAGCACTTCCACGAAATCTGTACAAACCTGACTTTGTTTCTCCCTCAAGCCGGTCGGCATCGAGCTTTTTGGTCCACTGCATGTAACAAGAGTGAATCGACGTAAACAGGGATTCTCGGATTTGTGGATCCAACGAGTGAATGGGTTCAACTGATGTAGTTGTAGCCATCAATGTCAAATATTCTAGAGGCTGAGCAGAGGCAATGTCTTCGTCAATCGACTTAGGAGTACCTCCAAGGAATGGAGTTGCCTTGCTTAGAGCTAGGACTGCTTTGCTGTTGTTTGATGGATCCTTTGATACGAGTGCCGCCATGTACAATCCTATCTGGAGACAACGAAGAATGTTGATAACTGGAGTAGTAAGATCGCTGTATGCTCTAAAACGCTCAGAGAGACGTCGTATGATTTGAAGGATGTTGTTCTGAATAAGGTTGATTTCGTTCAAGATGTCTTGGTCATCGTTTATCAAATATTGAAATATTTTGGAGGTAATGGCGGGTGACGGGAGAACAACTTTTAGAAGATTTTTGAATTCACCCTGAAGCTTGTCTAGTTCCGATACTTCCGGGCGGTAAACTTGCTGCGATGCCTCTGGCGGCTCACCAATCTCTGCTATTTCTGCCCCTATGAGCTGACAGCGAAGGTTCGATTCTTGGCCAGAGAAGAGACGCTCAAATTTTTGAAGGGCATCAAGCTTATCTTCCAATCCTTGAATTACTTCTTCGTGTCTTTGTCGCTCAAGTCGCTGTCTCTTATCTGGATCAAATGCTCGATCGGGAACGTACAGAGCGATGCAGCCCACAGCAAAATGAACCCAAGCGAGAGCCGAATACTGCATCTTGGAATTAGTTGAATTATTTGCAGCTTCCACGGCGAACATTGCATTATCAATATCAAAATTCATATCCGTATCAACTAATGGTTGACCACTAGAATGCTTTGCTTGATGAGCGGCAACGGCTTCATAAAAGTTGTCCAATGTAATGCTTTGCCAGGCTTTACTGCTAGCTTGCAATGCGAAGAACTCTTTTCTCCTCAGGTGGTCATTTGAACTTTTCTCACCATGTGCACCAATTATGCCTATCATGAGATTTGAAAGGACTTGATTAATAGCCGCCAATTGGCTGCTTGACAAGACTCCACTTGACCTCGCAAGCTTTTCCGCCATGACAGGCAGCTCGGACTCAAGCAACCTAAGAGATTTGAGGTCCACTTCATCAATGACGTTCATTTGATGCAAGAAATCTGTCGAAAAACTGCCTGAAATAGGTTGGAGGCCGTGTTCTCCTGACCATAGGTAGTCGATATTTTGTAGCAGCCATGAAGTTGGGCTCGATGTACTTAGACGCATTTGTGAGGTTATTGGATGATCCGCAAGAACAACAGTCTCGACATCTACAATATCACCGGGTTGCTTGTTGGATGCCAGAGCTGCAAGGACTTGAAATTGCCTCAGAGCTTCGAACTGATCATGCAAGAATGGCCGTGGACTCTCCTCATCTGCATCAACACTTTTTTCGAGGTTGTCAAGCTCTAATGTTAAAGATTGAATAAGAGCAGTGCCGTCCACATCCGAAGAAAGAAGAAGCTGATGTGCTTTGACAAAGGAAGCCATGATGCCTCCAAGCTCGGCGACTGATATTGAAGTTCTCCATCGCAAGGCGTCAAATCTTACGGCCAACTTTTCCACTTGCTCCACGATTTGCATGACTTCAAATTTGGTAGTAACCACAGGCCGAAGTTTTTTCCATAGAAGCTCCATGCTTAGTCCTGTTGTCAACTTGAATCCGGAAGCAAAGTTCACCTGTAGGTCTGAAACGAAACCCTTGATAATTGAATCCTGTTCATCGGCTAGAGGGCTCTCTTTGATTAGTCCTTCCAAGACTGTATTTCCAATAGCTAAATGAGACTGGAATGTTACTTCTTCAAATGTCGATGCAGTGACAAGGTTGAAGGTACTCCACCAATACCGAATAAGAGATGTGATTGTTTGTTTTCGAAACTAGTTCAGGGTCAGAGGCAGCACATAAAGATGTCATTTTGAGCACTTACCTTCCAATGATCAGTTTCCATGAGGTGAGCATTCAGATAGGAGTTGATGGATTTAAGTGTATGCATTAAAAAGCGAGAGACTTGCACGGTGGAGTCCTTCGCTACTGAAGCTACTCTGTCACTGACTATAGATCGTTGGAGGCGGTTCATTTGGGAAGGTTTGAGGGTTGGGATGACGGATTCCTGTTCTTGATGTGCTTCCAATGCAGCAGCGATTTGGAGCTTATATTCTAAACAGGCTGCAACCCAATAAATTTGAGATTGATTGGACGAAGATTGCAGTAATGGCACCACTGGCGAATTTTGGAGAGGATGGATAATCTACATGTTTTAATTGTGCTATCAGTACATTGTTTAACTATGAAAAGGACTGCACGGTCACTAACCTGTGCGTCACCGAAGCCTGCGGGCAACAAGGTCTTCTTCGCAACTCCATTCAATAAATCTCCCACTGCATTTCTGAGCTCACGGCAGTCTCCGGATTGGTACAATTGCACGTATTGTTGAGAAATCGTTGTTAATTTTGCAGTAGGTAGCCCCTGCTGCTGAAGACTCCGGACCACGCTTTCAGAAAATCTTGTAAGAAGAGGCAAGTCGGACCAAGCCAAGTTATCCAGAGCAATACTATTAATAAGATCTGCCTGGCGGGAATTTGAATCTCCGATGCTTAGAATATTTGATACCTGGCGATATCTCTCAAGTGATGCTTCTGGTCGAATAGAAAACTCTCTGAGTTTACAAGGTTCAATCTCCAGGGCGAGTGGCTGAAGGAAAATCTCCACGGCACGATTTCTCATGGCGCGAGATAACTCCCCAAATCGAGGGTCCATGGTTAAGAAAATTCGGAAATCGACATGGGGTTTGACAATCTTGGGCTCACCATCTGGCCCACAATGTTCATTAATACTGAGGAACCCATTTGGTTCAAGCAGCGAGTTCAGTCTGTCCAAAACAGAAGCACTGCATAGATTAGCATTGTCAAGCACCAACCATTTTCCTTGTTCCAATGCCTTGATCAAGACACCATCTACCCATTCAAACCTAGCATTTTCGACAGCCATAGGGCGGCTTGCGAAAGTTTCGCAAGTCTCCGCCAATGTACCAAATTCTGGTAATGAGCTTGCCTTTTCCAGCTGTCGAAGGTGGCCGGAAATCTCTTGGAACGAAAAGGATGAATTCATAGTATCCTTTCTCAGAATATCGAGAACTTTGATTGCGTCATCGGGAACATATTCAGGAAGTGTACCTAATATACGACTTTCCATGAACTCAAGAAGCTCTTGAAGAAATCTGCTGGCGGCTCGTTGTGGATCCACCTGCTCAAAGCCACCCACGAGGTCCATAGTATCAATGTCTGCGTTCAAGGGAAATACGGTGAGGGATTTGCCACTGGCTGCTGCAACGTGCTCAAGAATTGTAGACTTTCCAGAGCCCGATGATCCTACTAGGATACAAGGAAGATTTTGCTGGATACACATAATTACTGATTCCAATTCCGGAAGACGGTTGACAGGTTCGACTTGTGGAAATGGAGTGCGCTGGTAGAGTATATGCCTTGGCATATATGCTATTCCTACCTGGTAGGCAGTTGAGCTCATGTTGTGGAAAAATTGACGAAATGGTACATCAAAACCAAATGCTTGCGCAAAAATACCATCCAGTTCTTCTCGGTCCTTAATAGTTCTGAAACGCTGTCGGAATATCAAATTGAGGAAATCGGCTGGGCCTCTGTTGGTGAGAAATGGGGCTGATGATGTTAACAAGTGCAACCATCGAAGGATATCTCGCAAATTAAATTCCCAAGGGCCGCCTTGGGAGCCGAATTTCCGCTTGTGTACGATTTCGTCTTCTAGTCGTGTGACGAAGTCAATAATGGTAGTTATTAATTGTTGGGGCATGGAAGGGAAGTTATGCTTGCAGATTAGTTTCATATCATCATTCCTAAATACATCAGCATATACAACAGTAAATCGATTGACAAAAGAACTGGGGAGACCCTTTCTACCACCACCCTGGTGATGAGGATTTTGAGCCGCAAAAACAGAGAAGTTGGGATGTCGTTTGAAAGTTTGGTCCAATTCTGAAATGTAAACCTCTCCACGATGATCAAGACAAGCGTTCAAACCTTCAAGAACCGACTGAGATGCAAGATTCATTTCATCAAGAAGTACCCATTCTCCTCGTTGCATTGCTTGAAGAAATGGAGCATCGCGCCATGCGAAGTGTCCAGCTTCAGCGCCTTCAACAGGCACGTCTGATCCAAATAGGTCCATAAGGTCAGTTTGCTCGGACAAATTGATACGAGTCAAGGGTCTGTTGCATGCACGTGCTAAGGCAGCAATCAAAGTCGTTTTACCAACACCAGGGCTACCTTCAATAAGTATCGGCTTCTGAACTTGGAGGGCGCGAAGCACCCGCATGCCATTAAGTTTCGTCGTCGGAGCATCGAATGCGAAACCTGGGTCACTATCTGAGCCAGCCTGTTTTGGAACGGAAAAGCCACCCATGGTAATATGATTATCCTGGTCCTGAACTTGTATTGGCATGAAGTATATGGTACTGACATCATGATTGAGCAATCTGCCCAATTGATGGAGACATTTCGCGCGTTCCTCTTGAATTGTTTCCGGGTTAATTGCCAAGAGAGCAGCCGGATTTGCACCAAGGGTATCAATGTATACCATAGCAGCACCGTGCAGAACAGCATAATAGGGATCGGTAGTCGGGCATCCATTCATGAATTTGATCCATGCCAAAATGTCACGAACTGATATCGAAGTCGAGGATGTAGACCTGTATGTTTGTCCAAACCATTCCGCAAATTTGACCATAGGCTCAGAGAATTGTTTCAAATCCGGATTCAGCTTGGCTCCCACAATCTGTATGACATCCGCATGGTCTGATAAGGCTGGGACCCAGATCTCCGTAAATCTGTTTCGAAGAGCAGGTGACAGCTCTCTTTTACCATAATCACCTCCAGGATTCATAGTGGCGAAGAACTGGAATCCTTCGACAGCCTGAACAAAAGAGTCCTCAGCACCCTTCTCTGCGAGCAAAATTGTCCTATGGGACTCCAGGACAGAATTTAGTCTTTCCAAGACCGAATCATCTGCGAGTGATATTTCGTCAAGCAAGAAAAATTGCCCTTCTTTCAATGCCTGCACAAGACTTCCATCAGACCACTCGAAAAGTGCCTTGGCCTTGATTTGATTGAGTTGAATCCGCAATGACAGCTCAGTTGGTATCTGAGAAATGGTTGTTTCCGGCAAAGATTTGTACGCGGCCCACAAAGAATCGAGATCCTCAGAATCTTTTTGTTCTTCACCAATCTCATTCAGTAACTGCTTAAGATCTTGTTTAAGCTGCTCCAAGACAGCGGCTCTGTTTCGTACCGGCCTTTGCGCTCCAATCAAATCTCCAGTTTCGGTATTCTGGTGGGCGTTTACAATATGGAGAGTTTTCCCGAAGGCTTCAGCTAGCATCTGGCATACTGTAGTTTTACCGCATCCTGTTTCACCCACAAGTAGCACTGGCTCATTATTGCGTAGAGCATGGGCGACTAAAACGTAAAGCCTGCGCATCGCTTGGGTCCAAACCACACCTTGCGAGTTAGTGGTTGCATTGTAGGCTCTGATCTCTGCAAGGCCGTTGCTGTAAAGGTCGTCAATATCAATTTTGACCTTCATAACTCTCTCTATAATCTCCTTGACTGCTGCCCTTTCTTCTGAGTTGCGAACACGTTCCGCCAAAAGCATATAACCGTTAGCAGCAAGCTGCTCTCTATTATCGGCATCTCGCAAAGCCCAACGGAAAAGATCACGAAGGGTAGCAAAACTGTCCTTCTGCTCAAAAAGACGTGTCGATTGTCGAAGGCGTGAAAGCTCCTTGTACACTGCGACAATTCTTCGACAGTCTGATGGCGCAACCTTTTGACTTCGTTTCTCGAGAATGAAATCAAGTTCATCTTCTGGAATGTCATCGAAATGTAATTCAAGGAAGCGATTACGGAACGCTCGTGATAAGGTTTTACGGCCACCATAAAGTCCGGGAGGATTCTGTGTTGCGAAGAGCATGAAGTTCTCATGTGGACGAACGATTTCCTGCGTTTCCGGGATGAGAAGTTCACGGTTATCATCTAACAGACGATTAAGGGCTTCTAAAACATCGGTCGGAGCCAAATTGAGTTCATCGAGAACAATCCAGTGTCCTTGACGGAGAGCTTGGACAAGCAAACCTTCTTGGAAGCGCAGCTTTCCATCCGAGTCGGAGACATATGTGCCCAAGTACTCTTGTAGATCAGTATGTTCGTGGTTATTAATACGCACAAACTTATTACCACTGAATTTAGCAAGATATTCAATCATACTAGTCTTTCCAGACGAAGTCGGACCTTGAATCAGGACTGGAAAGCGACGAGTTGAAGTTGCACGGACCAAATTGAGCATGTTGCGCTCGACAAACGGCGTAATAATGTAGTGAGGTTGCTCTTGAGGAGTCTCATAGCCTTGAAGCATCCAATATTGACGATCTCTTTTCTTGTTCATAAATCGTACATACTGTTTTCCATCGTCTGGGTGTTTTGGTGTTTGAGCTAATAGAGCCTGAGGGTTTCCATGGCTATCTAGTAGGTGATGCTCAATCAAAGGCATGAGCATTTTTTCAGATTCTCGATCCAAAAGAGTCAAGAACCCCATCGCGAAACCTTCGTACAACGCTCTGCGCAAGCCATAAGATGGAGCAATTTCGGTGACGTAAGAAAGAACGCGAGTCAACGTGCGCAAGCTGAAGTGCGGTACTTCATTTGCGCCGTCGACCACTCGCTTCTCTTCGGCGAGCCGTTTTGTGTTCATGTAGAGACGTGCTACATCGTGGGCAGCCCTATCGTCATTGCTACTTGTACCTTTGAGATATGCCTTGATAACAGCTAAAAGGTCGTCTAAGTTCTTGTCTGGGCTATCCACGTAGAGTTCAGTGAACCTCGAACGCAACCCCATGGGAAGATCACGTTTTCCAACATCTGTAGCAGGATTCATGGCACCAAAAATGCGGAAGTCCGGATGTGCTTGGATTCTCTCAATTTCACCGGTCTCAGAAAGAAGTATCGAGGGAGAACCAGTACCACCATGAAGGAGATCAGCTATGCTCTCAAGTGTATCCGGCGATGCTAAGTTGATTTCATCTAGGAGCACCCATTCTCCATTGCGAGCTGCTTTGACAATATTACCTTCAACAAAAGAGAAAGCAAAGCCTTTAGAGCCAGCGGATAACTGAATATCGAATTGATCTAAGCTTTGCGAGAACCTTGACCAACGAGATTTCAATTTCAGTAATGACTGTAATTTCGATTCCGTTTTCCGTCTCTTGGTGGGTTGCTCTGAATTTGTGCGCATGTTTGCCTCTTCTTTTTTCGCAAGTTCTGAGATGATCTTCTCGAACATTTTGGGAGCTTCACGCCACAATTTCGATGCCTTACTCCACTGGCTCTTTGCAACACACTTCGCAAGCTGATCGATGTACTTTTGATTCTTGGTGGCGGAGATTCCTGTTGATGTAAATAGATCATCAAATTCATCTTTCAATGGGATTGCAAGACTTCTGACATTTACTGGCTTGAAGCCTCCGAGCAAATCACCGACTTCACTTTGTTGAGACAAATTAACAGCTGTGAGCTTGAATCCCAATGAATCCGCGAGCTGTTGTACAACAGTTGTTTTACCGATACCAGTCTCTCCCACTAACAATACTGGCTCAGACATTCGGACTGCTACTCCAACTTGTTCCAGTAATCTCTTGGCATGAGTTGTGTTCGCAAAGGGACGGCTTTTTTTAATAGGCTTGGTAACACGACTAGTTTTTTTCTTGGATAATCTTACCCTACCTATCAAAAGGTCATTTTCGCCATCGTCGTAACGTGGGACATGAGCATCTAGAAAATGTTCCATCGTTTGGGGATCGATATGCATCTCCTCCGCAATGCAAGAAATCAACGACCCTCGGGCATCTTGAGTTTGTAGACTTCCTGCAAAACAATCGGCCGCTTCTAAAAACATTTCATACTTCGTGCTGTCGCTAATAGGCTCACTGCCAGTCTTAGAACCGGACGATGTAAGAACACTCGCCAATCTTCGGCACCATTTCAAAAGATCTCGCGGGCTTATCGGACGTCCTGACGACGTGCGATTTTTGGATGCCAGTGAAGGTTTTACGGAAAGGTTGTAGAGTCGTTCGTAAACGCTGATAATCCCGGGTAAAAATTGACGTAGGACTGGATAGGTGCCTTCGATAATTTCACGGAACTCGTCTTGAGCTGGCATGAGAATAGGTACACGCTGCCACATGCGTGCTCCAAGCATGTGTAATGCTGGCGGAATTTCACCCCCGCTTACATTGAGCGACGTTCGAATGCTCGCAAGTAGCTTAAACCCTGCCTTGGCCTTTATGGTCTCGCCCCGACTAGGAATGAGAAGCTCGCCACGCTCCACAAGAGGCAGTATAACGCTAATAACGTCATTTGGAGCTCGATCAAGATCCTCGATAAACACCCAACGTCCTTCCTTAACGGCAGTGGTCAGAACGCCTGCTCTCCAGGTGAAAGATCCGGGTGTAGATCCGGTAGCGTACATTCCAATAAGCATTTTTGCATCAGTCTGCTCGTTCAAATGAAGTGTGACCATGCTTGAATCCATCCCAAGTTCACGCGCGAAGTCATTGACCAAAGAAGTCTTTCCTGCACCTGCTAATCCGTGGAGTAAGATGGGTGCTGAAGACATAAGGGCCTTGGCAAAAGACTCCCTATTCTGCGAAGTTGTGATTGTTGATATGAGCTTGGACGACTGGGAAGGATGACCGTTTGGGCGAGGTAATAAAACATCTGAATATTGCACCACAAGTGGTGAAAATTCCCAGGGTTGCTTTTGGAATTGGGTCATTCCTGCCCAAGTTCTTAGTTCCGAAGCAGCATTTTTCAGCCGCTTTTCTTCGAATATGCTAAGAAATCCATAGTCCACCAATTCACCGTCGAAATCTCCCATTACTGCCCTTGTATTTCCAACATGTTTCGCAACCATTGCGTCCAGTCTATCGTCCGACGCGAACTGAAGCTGGCAGAAGATTCTCACTGCAAGATATCGTACCGCTATATCCTTATGTCCGAGCAGACTTTGTATCGTGGAGCCTGAAATCGTTCCAGAGTAGGCTTGTTTGTCGAAATTCAGAAGTCTCCATGTCGCCAACAAAATGCGCTGAAGCTCCAAATCTGACATTCCATTCGCACTTACACCATCTTTCAAGCAAAGTATACTACGAGAAACGCCATACTCTGCGGAATGTGTAGTTTCGAAAAGATATTTTTCGAGAAAGGTAGTAAGATGTGGCGCAAGATATAGTATTCGTGAAAATGCTTCAATTATTTCGAGTTTTTGGACACCACGATGTGAGTTACTGACCCATCTTGCAGCGGAGTCCGCGATTAAGGTATTAAAATATGTGAATAATTTGAGAGTTTGTTTGGGCTTCAGTGCAGATATGGCGAGGGTTTCGAGGAAGTGAGGGGACTGTTGAAGTTGAACGATTTCGAGAATTTCTTCTGGCAAATTTGGTTGTTGATTGGCTTCCATGGCTATATCAGGCCTATTGCCATTCGAAACAACTTCCATTTCGTTCAATCATAAAATTGTAGGATCAAGTGTTTGTTTCCGTGAAGCTATCTCGAACTTTTTTTCTTTATCGCAATCAACTTTTTTTGATAGACCCGAAGTTTCACCGATACGCTAAAAATTTAGCTCCACAATGCAGAAAGTCTACAAAGTCCTCATCAATGATTATAGACTGGAATATTATATCGCCTCCCATATCCACATACGATGTCGTTGTCTTGCCAATCCGCAGCCCGCAGCTGCGTCCGATCTCTCCGATCTTCCTCCTCCATTCGCATTTCCACAGCTTCATTTGCACAGAGAGGAAGTCCTTTAGCACGATGGGCATCAACAGAGGCGGCTGCCGCGAACCCTAAGATTTCCGGGATTGTGGACCAGATCAGTCAATTGACCTTATTAGAGACAGCTGACTTAGTTGCCAGTTTAAAAGTAAGTCATCGATTTGAACTTCATGTGTTTGAAGAACTCTGGGGCGGTCGCTGATCAGCCCATTTTCTAGTCACGACTAAATATTCCCGATATGCCAATGGGAGGATTCGCTGCTGGTCCTGCCCCAGTTGCTGCGCCGGTTGAGGAAGAGGATGCCGCACCAGTACAACAAGAGAAGACCTTGTTCAACCTGAAGTTGGCTTCATTTGATGCCGGGGCAAAACCTAAGATTATCAAGGAGATCAAGAGCATGCTGGGATTAAGTTTGGTGGACAGCAAAAAGTTCGTCGAGAGTGCGCCAAAGATGATGAAGGAGGGTGTACCAAAGGAGGAGGCCGAGAAGATCATTGCGACATTGAAGGAATTGGGGGCTGTCGTTACCATGGAATAAAAGCTTTGATGAGGGGTTGCTTAAGCTGCAGGATTCGAATTCGGCATGTATCAATAGAGATGTGTACAAAATCTACTTCTCACCCAGGCATACATGGGAAAATATGCATAGCCGGTTGTAACACTTTTTTTGCGAACCAAAAAGTGGCTAGTCATCAGGGAGTCCTCGATGTCAAATTTGTTGTGTGTGGATGGCATTAAAGTGGATGCAAAACTTGTCGGATTATGGATAAATTCTATATGCCCCGCGCTCCAATGAAAATCATGATTTATGGTCAACCATTACAAAAGATTCGGGAATTTGGGAGAAACAGAGATTTATAGAGTCCTGAACAGATGAACGATCAATACCTCCATTATCCCAATTGTCAATGAATCCTGCAAAATCACCATATTTAGATACTTGAGTCTCAAGTGACCATGGCACTCATGCAACCCGCTAAAAGCACAAGTAGTGTTGTATTCCGGGAGCAACTGATGGACAACAGCAGAAATTTTGCATGTAGAATGATCTGGATAAAAGATAATATAGTGTAATAGCACCGCTCATATATTTTGAGTATTTTAAGGGTGATTATCAAGGATTCCTCAAGTTTCCCCATGATGAAATGTCCAGTAGTCCGGGCTAGCAAATTAGTAGTCAATTTTTCAATTTTTGAGAACAATCTTTCAACTGATTCGAACAATCTAATTAGGTTGGATAATTCGAAAACCAATAAGTTATAACCTTGACTATTGAATACCCTGCCTTCTCATTGATAAAATACACATATATCGATCAGTCTTACTAGTGTCTCGGCGGAAATCTGACATTTTCATTATAAACAGGATCTTTGATTCCAATGCACACAAGTACCACTTCACGAAGCACTTTGTGCTATAACAAGCTCCGCTTAACTGGGAGTTCAAGTTCAAAGCCCCGCTTTCCAGAGAAAGTCCTACTTCGAATCAAGGTCAAATTAGATACCAATGCAGTCCGCCTCGCTCCCACATTATCCTGCTTCGGAATCACCAGCAGATCTTCTCCACTGCATTCATGCTGATGTTCCCCCTCCCCCTGCCTTCACCGGCGAGAGTCATCACATAAGTTCCATCCAGCGACGGCTCCATTCTTTCCTACCACCTCTCGCAAACCCCTCCAAGCTTCCCTGCCGTCTACCCCAACCGCGCACCAAACCATCAACTAACACTCTCATCTCCATCTCCATTACAATCTCCACAATCTTAGGCCTCTAGCTCTGGCACAGCGGCCATGCCAATCATCGTGGAGCCCTACACACTTAGAACTATGATATCCGCGCCACACCATTCAACTGTGCCGCTTCACACTTCGCTCCACACTTTGCTTCACGCCCCACTTCATAGATTGCCAAAGTTTTCGCTTCATCATAGGTCAAGGGCGTTGACGGAGGGTATTGTGGAGGTTTTGGTGTATTTGGAAGTGAGCATCGAGCTCCCTTTCTGATAATACAATTTCAGTTGTTCGTCCTTGCTATTCTCTGGACAGGGAAAGGGAAATCCAAAAAGATACAATGATAAGCGATTTTCCTCCTCCTCTGAAGTTTGCATCAAATTGTATACTGCAAATTGTTGTAAACCGGTAAGAATTGAGTTTACGGGTGATCTGGTGTGAAGAGATTACAAAAACAAGTAACACGAAACCAAAATGAAAAGAAAAGTTGAGTATATCTCTCAGCTAGTTTTGAGTGTCTAGATCTAAAAAGATGATTTACGATGTACCCGAAAAATTCACTCATTCCATACATCTCCCCCACACAATCCCCATCTCAAAAACTCTCTTTTCCCCGCACGCTTCCTAATCCCAATATCAAGGACTTGGTATCTCATTATTCCCTCTTGATATTCAGTCCCCCCCCTACAATATTCCCTAAATCCCATCCGCAGACAACCCATCAAGAATCATTGTAACACATAAATACCATGCACTGTAATGTTTCACAAGCCTCATCGACCCCACTTGCTCCAAAATGCCTTCTCAATCTTTTAACCCCAGAAACGTTTCTAGCATCAGATTTCAAAACATTCTATCAAGCAGTTTTCTGGAAACTGATTCATTCAAATGTCTATCGGATTCGGCTTCTCAGTTGGCAATTTCATCGCTGCTATTGATCTAGTCGCTACAGTTATTGATGCCCTCCGCGAAAGTGGCAACTCCAGCTCTGAATTTCGCGAAATCATACGACAACTCGACGCTCTGGAGGATACTCCAAGACGAGTTAAGAGACTGGAACTCGACGATAGGCAACGTGCGGAAGGGATCGCATTGCAAAAAGCTGCTTCTTGTTGCCAAGTAACTATTGATGATTTCTGGAAGAAGATGCAAAAGTATCAGCCTCATCTACAAAGTGGCGGCTCTGGGTCAAGATTGAAGGTTGGCTGGATGGAGATTGTATGGGTTACATGCAAAAGCGATGATGTGATGAAATTCAAGGCCGATTTGGCTGGCCACACATCATCGATACAGTTGTTGATTACAACGATACAGTTATAAGTAGTGTCAATCATCGAAAGCCGGATGGACAATAGGCCTAACGTATCTTGGGGCCTCGATAGCCAGAAATGAAAAGAATCAAGCCTCACGATGCCAAACTCTTGCGGGTCGAATCCAGGATGGATACTTCGACTACATGCGACGGCTTTCGGAAATTTTTGCAAGTGTTCAAAGGTTGCTTGTAATCCAATAATTAATTGGCAGAGTTAACACTGTACAGTGGTCTCATCCTAGGGAAGCGAATCTTAGAGGCCACTTTAGAGATCAAAAGTACAGTGATGTTAGCCTTCCAAGACACAAGATTAGCGGCCAACGCAATGACAGATATATAGGAAAACAAACCTCAGGATGTTCCAAATGGTGTTGGAGATCCATCATGTAATCACGCGAATACCAGGCCAGGTAGATCGCCAAAAGCCAGTCTATTTTATAGACGCTCTGGGTAGACATACTCCTTTCTACTTGGAATTCATACGATCGAAAGAGGTAAGAAATGAACCACAGAATTATTAATTTAGGTGCTGCCCTGACTAGTAAAGGCATTCCTCATTGTGCTGAAAACAAATTTTGTCAACATTGGTCAAGCAGCGTCCAAAATTGAAAATGGTGATTTTGCAATTCAAGACTTTGCTATTAAACGAGATGTCAGAGTTGAGGATGATTGGGAGTTGTGGTTTTCACCAGGTCAACGAGTAGAGATGAGTTTGATCTTTCGAAGAAATCCGGTAATCAATCGTTACCCCAGCAATAAAATATCCAAACATTGCCCCAGATGCAAGACTATCTGTCATATCTATCAAGAGAAAGAGTTCGAATGGTAAAAAAGCCTTTAACCCTCAAACACATTCTTCATGCTGACTAGAACAAGTCGCAAATGTAATATCAACTTTTGTATCAGTAAGGATACATAAAATCAAACAGCACAGCACCATGTATCCCGCAGAGTTAGAAATGTCTTAAACAGTGGTGGATATAAAACCATCACCATGGCAGATACCGACGCGGATGATGACCTGAGACTTTTTCACCGTGTACGAATCTTACATCCATTTTCCAGAAGAGCAGTAACACATTTATCCAGAAATTCTGATAAAGGTAAGAATAAAAGTCACAAGAATTTTATGTAAAATGACAAACTCGCAAAGAGACATTTCCTTTGGGTCATCACGGAATATTTGCATCAGACGTCAAACACATTTCAACATTTTGGCGAAAAGCAATTTTGTTGAATATCTATCTAACGTGCACTAGAATCTCCAAAGCCAATAGTCCCCCTAGGGAATGTTGCAAAGCCAACATATACCACGAAATATATTGAAGTGGGAAACAAAAGAAGAGAAAGAAGAAATACCATGCGCGAAGCCTACGCGCGTTTTTATTATTAAAGAAGACACCGTCATAAACTCAGGGGACTATAAGAAAACTATTTATATGAGAAGAAATTGTTGGTTGAATGAATCAACATTGCTTGTGCAAATTAAAAAAGCCTGAGATTCGAACATTCAAGTATGGCCTCGAGGCCACCAGGCATTGAGGTAACTCTCCTGCCGAGTTTTCTAAGAAAGCCTTATCTCAAAGACACAAAAGATGAGTCAATTAGGAAAATGATTCAACAAGGCAGCGTTTTTGCAGTATAAATTCTGTCAAGAAATTTCCCACTTGGAAAATCCAAACAAACCCAACATAGCATACCACCTACCACATCAAAAAAGAAAAAACCTCGCACAACTGCTTTGGAAATCAAAAGAGCCACCCTCTCAAAAATCTATTGTCCTGGTCGAAAGATATTCGAGCAAGAATAATCTTTGATTAAAAAAGATCTCAAAAACCACAGCTGTTGACCGGCTTCTCACTTTTACTTTTGGAAAGTCTGAAGTCTCCAGGGAACCATATTTTTAGTTCGAGAAAGATAGATCGAAAGCGAAAATCCACTCCTATTTCGAGAAATCGCGCTCCTTGTCCACTTGGTCCGACTCTTCGAAGGGCATCTTGGACAAATTTCGCAGCAAAGACATACCACAGGAAATTCAGTGGGAGAGAATATCACTCGATCAACATGACTTCTACTGGTGGTAAGAGAGATCCAACGACTCATATGACGGAGGTCAATGTCGGGACCAGGGACAAAGCAGAGACTCTTGACGTTTCGAATCTAAGACTCAGTGACAATTATCCAGAAGCAGGGTCGACGGGTAAATCGCCACGCTTAACATTCGGCGTGGAATTTGAGATGGCTATTTGTACTCTCAGAAATACGTGCCCAAACCCAGCACCAGAAGATAGCCGGAGGGTCTACGACGTTGCTAGTGCCCTCAACTTTTCACCATTGAAATTTGATCCTGTACTAGCACAATTTTGCGAAGGCACCTCTACGAATATGCCACCTGCGGAAATCTCATATGGAGATAAAGGACTAATTTCTGTATGGGAAAATATTGTTCACACGCTAAAATGTGCTGGATTCCGTGCTGCACATGTGGAAGCTCCGGGATGTCGAGAGCGTGGATATACGCCTTGGATGGCCGACAAGTGGATGGTTGGAACGGACTTTAGTATAAGCTGTCCAGATGACACGATCTATGACTATCATAAGATCGAACTTAAATCTCCCGTCTATTATTTCAGCAAAGAGGCGCTTGAAGCAGTTGAAGAGGTATGGAACATCATCCAAAATACTTATAAAGTCGTCATCAACGACTCGATGGGACTACATGTTCATGTCGGCAACGGGGTTGATGCTTTCGATGCCCCAACTTTAAGAAACCTGTGGGGTATTCTCTGGACCACAGAGAAATGGATTGAGAAAATCCATCCTCCTCATCGCATACACAATGCAGCCTGTCTGAGCCTTCATTACTGCTCCAAATTATGGTTGGAGATCGAACCACTGTCATCTGATCCGGAGGACGAGATACTAGATTGTATCTTGAAAAGAGCACCTTCAAGGGTAGAGGCATTCCTCGACACCATGAAGGATGCCGACTGTGCCTACAACTTCACCAAGTTAAAAAAAAGATACTATGAAGAAAGTATCATGCGCACCATCGAGTTTCGCCAGCATGAAGCAACAACTGATAAGGAGCGAGTGACACAATGGATTCGAACATGTGTCGGACTAGTACAAGCATCTGCAGCTAGAGACCCCGCCATACTCCATCCATACCTAAGACAATTGATTCAGAGAAAGAGAGAAGAACTTCACGTGGGGGATATTTTGGAAAAGCTTGGGCTTGAAACTGGGGCTTACTACAGAACTCAAATACCAAGTGAAAAAGTGCCCGGCAAAAGTGCCCTCAAGAAGCTGTTGAAGAAGGCTACAACTTTTCCTCGAGGATGACGGGTGTTTCTCTCACAAAGTATGAGACGTACCTCCTGTCATATTTCATAATGATCAGCTTCGAGTCAGACATACAAAAGCCAACATTCGAATCCCGTCAGATGAGGTTTAAAAGTTTAAAAGTTTTCGGGTTTTATTTTTTTTTTTGCTTTTTTCATTTTTGCTTTAAGATTTTGTTCGCACATCGAAACACAGAAAAGCGGGCTGGCATGGAATGGGGAGGAATGATGGGTGAAGAAGGATTGTATACTCAGGTAATAGTTTGCAAGATTAGCTCGATGTTGTCTTCGCAACACCTGCTTATGTAATATGCTCAATTATGTAAGCATCAAAAGCATCGAGTGTCTGAATCTGACTAGAGCCGTCTTGTCTAGCAAGTGGTTGATAATTTTGACCATTTAATTTCAAGGGAATCATAAGAACTATATCTACTCTTGTGCTTAATATCATACAACTCATTCACCTGTCCCCATGCCCCGCCCCCACCGCCACCGCCGATCCCCGAGTCCAAACCCACCATTTTGCCATACCTGTATACATTAATGTAACATATAAATCATAATATAGACAAATCACCCTCTTTGAGTTTGTTTCTTTTGAGCCTTTCTCATCTCCTTTTCCTTTTCCTTTTCGAGGTACTTCTTCTGTGCCTTCGCATCTAGACCCTTCAGTTCAAGATCCCTCTTCAACTTCTTGGCCTTCTCACGTTCTAAAGCTCGTTCCTCGGCTTTCTCCTCTTCATCCGCTTTCTGGAGTTTCTTGATTGTATCTTCACGAGTCTGGCGTACTTTACGCATGACTTCCGGACGAAAGTGTGCACCAGATGCAAGTTGATCCGTAATTCTGAGGAAGTGTTCGAATAGAGGAAGGACTTTAGAGTAATCGTCATTAGAAGGGAGCTTCATGGATAGATAGATGCGTTTCTTAGGCACAGTATCCTCAAGTCTATAACTAAGGTCAGTAATTTGACATTTCTAGAGTAAAATTGGAGGCGCTTACTTCATAGGTTGATCAATTGGCTGATCCGTGATGATAAGATGCTCAAGTAAATCTCCAGCCATTTCAACGGCCTTGATAAGCTCAGGGGTGAGCAGAAAGTCGGTAACCTCAGCACTCTCACTCATAACAGTAGCCCAGTTTGGGAGTTTAGCACTATCCTTAGTGCCAGTGATGGAGACATCATATCTATCATCACGAAGTGATTTCATTGTCTCCTTGTTTACAATAGCCCAAACGAAGTTATCATAGGTACTCTTGGTATCTTTGCGCAATTCCTGCGCGCCAGGAGCTTGACCAGGAACAGTAAGATTCTCCCTTCCATCAAAGGGGTAAAGTACAGCTTCCATGCGGTCAACGGGGGTGACCATAGTGTCGAAGAAGAGACTGAAGGCGTACTCGATGGCAAGTACGACAGGATTATAGCGCTTCAAAAGCTTGATGTTAACATCAAGAAATGCGACATTTTGGCGTCCAGTAGCATAAGTTGCGTACTCTTGTGGGGACTTTTCCTTCAACATATCTTCAGGCAATTCGAGTTGCATAGCCATTGACCTGGCACTTTCTTCGTTCTCGATTTCCTCAGTTGTTGGAGCGCGACCTCCAAATCCAACCAATGCAAATTCTTTACGTAGAACTGATGCATGTGCGTTTACCCATTTCTTCGCCTTCTTGCGATTCGTGCCTGTACCGAAGAAGTGAATGGAAATGATAATCATCAACACTCCTAAAATAATACCTTCTTGCTTGAACTCGCTCAGAGAATGTCGCTCATGTACATTGTACCATTTGGTATAGGGAACTGCAGCTCCGGTAGGGGTTGCAGCTGGTCCTGTATACTCAGCTGCCGAGGGGATTGCGGAGAAAGCTGGAGTTGGATCTGGAGCTCCAGCAAAATCCGCGAAGTCTGTTGGTAAATATAGTTAGTACATCTTCAAAGCGTGGTTGAGGGCATGCTTACCAGAATCTCCAGCCTGAACAGGAGCTGCAGATGGCTGAGAGCCCCCGAAGAGACCATTCAATAATGCAGCCATTTTTGGTGGGATTGCGCTGAAATTGATGGTGAGCTGGGAGCTTTCGTGTCGAAGCTTGAGATTGTGGGTAACTAACTTACGAAATTCATGCTGACTAATCCATACCAACTGTATTAATAAGCATTTAATAAGGCTGATAGATTCTGCCAGTTGAGCTCATTCTCACCGCCCTCCTCCCGTCCCCCTGACAACCATTTTCCGAAGTTTACCCTCACTACCGAATATGGCAATCTGAAGTTTTCCATAAACCAATAATGCTAGGCCAGTACAAACCGACATTGATCTTCGAATTCTGCAAAGTATTGACTTCAGTATCTGATTTTTTGTAGCACAGAGTTGGATTCGAGACTGTTTATTATTGCTATGTGAGTATATATTCATTAAGTTAATACCAAAAAACTGCAAACGAGACGAATATCAAGACAATTCATCAAATTTTGAGTAGTCACTCAAACCTTACGTATACTATAGAGCTATAAACTCACCGTTCCAGTGCTCTGTTTGCTTTTTGAAAGTTCAAAAGTTTACATTTGAACGGGCACTAAGGTTCAAAACCCAAACTATATATTTCCCTCTCAACGTCTTTGATATTCAGCTACATCATTATATCTATTTGCAATAAAATAATGAAGAGCTGTCACTAACTCCCTACAGTGTCATGACACGAAAATATGGCAAGAAACGTCCTGCTGTCAGTGCAGCAGCTGTAGCCATCTTTGGATCTGCAAGTCACCCAATAGCTTCCAAAATTGAAAGATCCATTTCAGCTCCAAGGCCACAATCATTCATCGGTTGGCCTTGAAAGTATCACCAATTTTCTGGAAAGCACCAACCTCGGAGCATCTGTTGATGTCAAAATTCTTCTCGAAAAGACGAATCTAGAAAGTGGTGTTGAGATTATTAGAACCTCAGTTCACGATCATGAGAACATAGATCAAAACTCTTCTCCTGATGATGTAGCTGATCTCCTAGAAAAGACAACATTGGATAGTAACATAGGAGAAGCTACTTCTGTGGAGGAACATTTAATTCCAATAGAAGCGGAAGTTGAACTACCAATTCCTCAAACACCCCTTCCAATTGCCCCCGCGCTACCTCCACTAAATCCACGCCTCGCAGCCTCTCTCTCACCTCTTCTCGATGCCTACGAAAAGGACAATGGCTATCCTCTAGCCACTAAAAACTGGGACGATGTCCTAGCGCCTGGCTCTAGTATTCAAAAAATAGCTGAAGCATCATATGCAGAAGTATTTCGCATTTCAAACCCAGTCGGCTCTTCAATTCTCAAGCTCCTCCGCCTCAAAGTTCCTACAGATCCTACGTCAAAAAGATCAGATACTGCAATTAAAGTTGAAACCGTTGTATCTGAAATGCGTCTTATGAATGCACTTACAGAAATTCCTGGCTTTGTAAAGTTCAAAGATGCACATATAGTGGAAGGAAAGCCACCAGCCGATTTTGTAACAGCATATGAAGGTCATTTGGACGCCGGTGGAGAATCATATTTTCCACATCCAAACAAGATTTCCAAACATGCAGTATTCTTAGCCATTGAGCTCGGCGATGCAGGACATGTATTGGAGAAATATTCAATCAAGAACGTCGATCAACTTTGGGACATATTTCTCGGTGTTGTAATTGCTTTAGCAAGAGCAGAAATCGAACATGAATTCGAGCATCGCGATCTCCACGAAAACAATATATGTATCCTCGAACATACCCCTCCTGCAACCACCTCTAAGTCGAAATCGAAATCGAAATCTAAGTCCCAAACTCCGACCTCCCCCCACAAATTTGGCAACTCGGGCCTAGAAATAACAATCCTCGACTACGGTCTCTCCCGCGCAACCATCTACCCCCACCCTTCCCCATCAAATCCATCTCCAGCCCCCGAAACAGTCTTTTATAACCTCGAATCCGACACTGCAGTCTTCTCCTCATTCGAACCCTCCTCCATCGCCGGCATACAATTCGATACCTACCGTCGAATGCGCGCTCATCTATTCTCAGGAGGCGACTCAAACACTAACGCTAATACACCCAACAAAGCTATCCGCGATGCTATCAAAAAGAAAAGACATTCATGGGAAGAATATATGCCATATAGCAATGTACTATGGTTATATTTCCTGATAGAATATCTAACAGAAGTAGCACCAAAAGGAGGAAGAGGAAAACAGGGAAAACAAGCATGGATAAGAGAAACAGAAGAATTAAGATGGCTTTTACATCCGGATTGGGTACCTGGAAATGGACAGGATGGAAGTCCTACAGAAGAAGAAGAAGAGGAATTGGGATTAGGGTGTGCGGGTGATGTATTACAATATGCATTTGATATGGGCTGGATCCATGAAGAAGATCTAGGGGATTTAGATACGAGTCGTTTAACTTTAAGGGAAGATCCTTAATATTGAAGTGGACAAGGAGAGGAATCTTCATCGGTAGAATGAGGTAGTAATTGGTGAATTTTAGAAGTCGTGTCGAAGCTCTATTTTTGGGGATTGGGGTGGCGCGGTGCGGAGAACTTATCTGGTTTCTGGCGCGCTTGGATTTCTGGATATTGCATGGTATGGTATTGCATGGGATGGGATGGGATGGGATGGTATAGCACTTTGATGAAAATCTATGATCTGGCTGTAACTCAATTCCTAAAGAAGAAAACCTCTATACGCATGAGAAAGCATGGTATGGCGTATATATAGGCGTAGTATGGAAGACACCTTTGTTTCAGAACATATAGACTGATCCATTATACAAATAGATACAAGCATTAATTAATTATCTTTTCATTCGTTACACTATAAAGTATATATATACATATACATAAACATTCTACCACTCAATACCTTTATATCTATCTATATATATCTACCTAGTAGACAATCAATCAATCAATCAATCTTATCTTTCTTATAAGTTATAATATCTAATAATATAAAACTTACCAATATATCAATATAATCTTACTATAGAGTATCAATTCTCTCCCTCTCTCTCTTATTTAATTAAAAATCCTACAAATTAATAAGATCTTACTTGTAAAGTTTGGTTTTTTTTTTGGTTTTTTTTTTTTTACTTACGTTACTTGTTCAATGGTGAATTCAGCGAAAGTATACCTACTACCTTACTGTAACGGAAGATCTTATATACCTAAGTACACCTCGTTCTCATACCATCCCCTCTCAAAACTAAAGATCAAAGATTCAGAAATCTTATAAAGTTAATAAATATTTAATTCCTAATTCTTAATTCTCCCCTCAAAAAGGACATCTAAACTATTCCTCTTCCTTCCCCTTCCCCCTCCCCTCCCCCAACCAAGAATCCTTCCCCCCTCACCACTCCTCCCCCCACCCACCCAAAAGAAGAAGGAAAAAAAGCATATATATTTATATATATCATCTCTCTCTCTATCACCCCCTTCACCCCCTTCACCCCCTAACCCTCCTCAAAGGATGCGCCTCAGTATTCAAAACCCACTCATCCAAACTCACGACATCCCACTCCTCAAAACACAAATAAAAATATTTCAACGTCTCCGCCAACCAGAAACTCTCCATACTATCTAATTGTTGTACGCCATCTTCATCATCCTCATCATCCTCATCATTTTCTGCAGATAAACCACCTAGGTTTTTCGCAAAATGTTGTTCTTTTTCTTTTTTATCTTTACTTTTTCCTTTCTTGTCCTTTCCTTCTTTTTCTTTCTTCTCGTGATTCTTCACAGAAACAGTAACAGTAACATCCATCACCGCCGCCGACGCAATCTCCGTCCTACAAACCCGTTCTATCGCTCTAAACATCCGCCACGCCGCATCAACATATTTCCTATCACCCGTGATCCTCCACATAATAAACACACTCTCAATCGCCTCCGGTCTTAAAATATATCTCCGATCATCCACGGCCGTAAACCCCGGACTTAGTCTCCTATCCTCCACCACCCCATCTAATTTCTTCTCCGTGTCCGCTTTTGTATTCGTAATCGGATGCGTATAGATTTCCGCGAGCACATCGTACCATTTCTCCTTTGAATACGTGCAATCGTGATTTTTAAGACATGGGACCACGCTGAAGATTTCAGGGGCGATTCCGTTGGGGCTACTGTCGTACGCCCATATACATCCATGGGTGAGTTCTTCTGCAAGCGCAAGTTCAGAGGGTCGATTGAAGATTCTCGAGGCGATTCCAATCATGCCGCCGGTAAAACAAGTCAGGTGTTGGCCGCGGGGCATGAGTTCCGGAGTGGTGCTTTCGCCTATACCTTTTATGCGGATATCTCCTGAGACTTTAATTTTTTGGTTCTTTTCGTTTAAGATTGAAAAGAACATTTTTTCTTGAGCCACCGAGATGAAGTTTTCGTACATTTTCTTGGGTTGATCTAGAACTCCGCCGAGAATCATGTATTGTTTTGGGAGATATTCGTACAAAGAATCTGCCATCCCGCCGAGGGAGAAAATCGTATCTTCATCGAATCGAAGCTTTTGCATGTCGACACTGACAGGCCATAATCCGGGATAGCGAGTAGAGTTTTGACTTTTCTCGAATTCATTAGAGATTCTCTGGACAGCATCATAATATTTTGGGTTTCCAGTCAACTGACTAAGACGAGTGAACTCCAGAGTCAAAGAACCCGGTTCAGAAACCAAAGCTCGCCTAGGTGCTATTTGATCTCCTCCTTCTAGATATCTATCATGGTCAGCCATTTACCTAACAAATACTGGGAGCCAAACCTACTTCTTCCAATCCCACCTAGGGATGGGCATTCTATTTGGGGTATCAAAACAACTCATCAACAACTCCGCAACCTCCACAGCCTTCAACAACAACCCTGGATATTTTTCCCCACTAACATCATACGCGGCCAAAAAGCCACCCATATATCTAATCGTCGTCTCAAAAACATTAATCTCCTTCTCATTCGTCGTCGTAAAATCAATTTGCTCAATTGATTGAACCGCAATTTCAAAATCTTCCTTCAACCCCATAATCCACAACGTATCCAAAGAATCCACCAAAGTAGCGGCCCAGCCACCAAATGTATCTTTCCATGATCCTGATAATGGAGAAACCTCATCTCGCAACCATGCATGCGCTTTATACCCTTCCCAACTGTGTACGAAACTCTCCTTTACCGCCGCCAATCGCTTTAATCTTTCTTCTTTCTGCGCTGCGTCTTCTTTGGGCGGGGTATTTTGAATCTGCGGAATCTTCTTTGGTTTTCCGGTCGGTAAAGGAATGTGTGAAGTAACTGGATATCGTTCTGGCAATTTCGACCAATGGATCTTCCCATCCGGTAGATGTGGTCTCGATATCGAAGGTATATAATTCGAGCCATAGTTCCAAATATTCCGCCTCGAATGAAGATAATGAAGACTAAAAATCATAAACACAGCAGCTATAAAAGCTAATCTCCATCTTTTAATGATTGACGGCATATCTGCTGCTGAAGCACTGCTCGCAGAACCGAAAAGTAAGGTAGAAGAAGAAAAATAGGGAGAAATTATGTATCAATTGAACTCTTAAATATCAATTGACTACATCCCTTGAAAGTCAACGATAGGTTTGACTCGAATGCTTTGACAGCAGTTTTGTCCTTCATCCGAGGTTGATTCTGTTTCTGTATCGATCTGTAACTCCAAAGTCTATCTGAAAAAAACCGTCCAGCCTACACCGTAGACAGCAAGAAAGTAATCAAGAAGCAGAACCCCAAGATGATATATTATCGAAAAATAAGCAATCTTATAAGAAAAAAAGAAAGAAAAGAACAGGAATTCAATCGATCTACATATCGCCGAGGAATATATTATGTATTCATGTATGGATGTATGTATCAGATCAAAATATGACAAAATACATGTCATTTCCAAGGTTTCCTCCTTCATGAATTCTGTTTTGATATCATTGAGTCCTGTGCATATTCTGCGGTAAGGGGTCTGGGCTCATGGTGCTCTCCGTACGGGAATTCTAAACTTAAACTTAGGACTTTAGATCTCTCCGTACGGCTGCCTTCCCCACATATACTCCGGTACCGTAGCGTAAGGTTAGCTACATAGAAAGTTTAAAAGAAGCATAAAAGAAGGATATTTAAAAAGAAGTATCTAGTTTATTTAATATCTATATACAGTAGAAAGGAACATAAATCCCATCAGTAATCATAATGATCCCTTCCACTTCTATAAACACTCCTATCAATACACTATATCATATGTATCTAATACAAATCGGGTAAGTTACCAACAACCAGCAACCAAGATGTATGTTGGATTAAAGCCAGCTGCAGGTCACTAAGATACTAAGAGATTCCAGTACCATGTGAATGGTAAACTTAATGATTCCCTTTTCTACGGAGAATTCCCCCTTGTTACTTCCCTTCTTCTTTCATTCTTCTTCAACTAACCTGCCCTACAGATTACGAGGTAAACCTTACTAAAGTAAAGCTAAACGGCTGTATCCACTTACTTCTTCTATTGGACATCGATTTGATTCCTGCTAATCCACATATTCCCCTGAAGATCTATCCCACAATACAGTTGACAGTAGGTAGCTTACAGTGATGAAAACTTAGGGGAAGAAACAACTACATGATTTGTCGTCTCTAAATTGTAAATTCTGCCTAATACGAATCTTCAAGACATGAGGCGGAATTTAGCTAATGGGCTTGATTCCTGTCATCCTGTGCATATTATCATCATTCACAATTCACAAAAAACATGATAACAACTCTAGTAAAGGGTATTAACTAGACAATAAGATGCCTGATGGGTTATCATTGATCATCAACGTCACTTAAAACTGCAACGCTCTACTGAATGTCAACCAGTCCAGTCGTGCGCTCACGAGAATTTTGACTGTCCAAAAGACCCGTGATGTGTACGCCGTCTATTCTCCCTCCCAGCAATAAAAGATCACGCGAAAAAAGCAAGCTCCATCACTTTTGCATCATCAACTGGACGAATTCGTTGTCTGTAAATAATCATTAGCAGATGCACTTGGAATGAGACATTGGAGAAGTTGTCCATACAATCGATTCTTCCATCACCGTCTTGATCAGCCTCTCTGATCATCTCATCGACCTCATCATCTGTCAACTTCTCTCCAATGGAGGTCATGACATGACGAAGTTCAGCAGCAGAGATAAAACCATTGTTGTCACGATCGAAAACCTATATCAACAAAACATTAGCCTTTGCGACAATAAATAAGCTACAAACCACCAACCTTGAATGCTTCACGAATCTCCTCCTCAGAGTCGGTATCTTTCATCTTTCTTGCCATCATAGTGAGGAATTCTGATCCAGTCAGCTTCGTGAGTCATAAACTATATTATGCTTTGCCGTACCTGGGAAATCAATGGTACCGTTGTTATCGGCATCGACCTCATTGATCATGTCTTGCAACTCAGACTCGGAAGGGTTTTGTCCAAGGGATCGCATGACGGTACCCAGCTCCTTGCTAGTAATTTGTCCTATGAATTTATATATCAACCCTGACCTGTATTATCATGCTCAATCGTGTTATTGCCCCCTTTGTTGGTACAATTGTTCGAGATAGGGGCGGTGTCGGTCAAGATGTCTAGCACGTAGATAAAAGAGGAGAGTCGAACTGGGACATGGAAAGTATAATCTGAAATTACTAACCATCACCATTCTTGTCCTGTAAAGTTATAAATTATTAGCTACCAAATCTTCAAATATACCCTGCCAAGTGTCCATAGGGCTGAGATTGTAAAAGTTAGAGAGATGAACTTACAAAGAGGGAGAAGGCCTCCTTGAATTCGGAGACTTGCTCTTCAGTTAGAGAATCAGCCTATGTGAATGCGCATGTTAGTTGCGACTTCATCTTCCTCCAACACTATATCCTCTCCTAACTGGAAGCTACCAACTTCCCAGCTTCAAGCCGAGTACTGAAGACCGCGGGGTTGTTAAAGTCCAGCCTTCATGGAAAGGAGACTAACCATAGTTGAGAGTTTAGTTGGGATAAATGTATATTGATTTCTGAGGATCGAAGGGTTTCTAGGGTACTAGGTATATGGAAAGCTTGAAGAAAGTTTGTAAGGTTGGAGATCTTTGATGATGTCGGTAGGAATTGCGATTTCAACAGTTCAGATGTTTTGATTCGGAGAAGCATAGAAACCTGAATAGTTGTACGGTGGCCGGTAGCCGAATGGGATCTTAGTTTGAGAAGAGTAAGAGGTTCTAGGATGGATTCCTTCCTCAGGCGAGAGAGAGGGAAGCTGGGGAGAGCTTGGGATCATTGAACAAGAAACAACATGCGACATTCAATAACAAACTTCAACACAAATTACAATCCTTTGAGTTTCTATATGAAATTCTGTTTTTATTATATTTTGTGATAGCGGAGCATTCATTTCAAATCGCCATGTGGCGCGACCGTACAAATCTGTAAGTTCAAATTATTGTTAGCCTTTTCAATCCTGGAAGCTTAGATACTGACCACCTAATCTATCAGCTATATCTCCTATCGACAATCATATACACATCACCCCGCAAAGAAACCGAAATACTCCAGCGCTTCCGGAAATGGATATTCAGATAGTATTGGAGGGGCTTCAGAGGAACGCAGAGGACTTATGTCCGCTGGCGCATTCGAAGATGATGGAGATGCGATAATAGAAATGGATTTATTACCACCGAGATGGGCAGATATCAGCGATGAAGTCACAGAATACCTTACGGATATCGCAGATAAGAGTCAAAAATTAGAGAAACTGCATCAAAAGCATGTACTTCCAGGATTTGATGATGAAGAAGTCAAGAAGAAGGAAGAAAGGGAGATTGAATTGTTGACACAACAAATTACCAAGGGATTTCACGATTGTCAGAGAGCGATTCAAAGAGTAGAACAAATAGTTCGTGATTCGCGACATCAAGGAGGAATAAGTAAAGGAGAAGAAACTATGGCGAAAAATATCCAAATTTCACTTGCATCGAGGGTACAAGAAGCAAGTGCAGGATTTAGGAAAAAGCAAAGTAATTATTTAAAGAGTGAGTTTTGTATTTCTATGATTATCGATGTCGTTGTCATGACGAGATCTTTAAAGAAGCTTTACTGACCAATATTAGAGTTACGAGGTTTAGGAGGCATGAATGCACCAATCGAACGAACATCTACCCCTCTTTACAGTAATTACATCGACCCCTCCATCATGGAATCCGACGCCGATAAATCGTTCTCTCAAGCAACCCTCCAACAAACCTCACAAAAGCAGCTCACCTCCAATGATGCAGCCATCATGCAACGAGAACGTGAAATTAATGACATCGCCCAAGGTATCATCGAACTCGCCGACATATTCAAAGAACTCCAAACTATGATTATAGATCAAGGAACAATGTTGGATCGTATAGATTATAATGTGGAGAGGATGGCAGTAGATGTTAAGGCTGCAAATGTGGAATTGAAAGTTGCAAGCGGATACCAAAGACGAGGAACGAAGAGACGAATTATTTTGTTATTAATCCTATTAGTTGTAGGCATGTTTATTTTGTTGTTGGTAAAACCAAAGAAGCATAGAGGAGGGATAGACGAAAGTGTATCACCACCATCACCACCTTAATAATGGCACTTTTTTTTTCAAGATAAATTGTATTTTTGGGTGTGTAGCTGTGATTGGTTTGCGAGATGCGCCTTTGTTTTGCATCCGGGAGCTATTATTATGATTCACATATGAATGATATATATCCAACAGATCAAAAATGCCACCCTCAAATAGTATCATAACAGCACTTGTTCCAAGTTTCCACTCAAACCTTCATCCCTTTCTTTCTCAGAAAACTAGACAACTCAAATCACCACATTCATCCCCACAATCTTCACCTCCTATTTCATTATTCTATCTCACTAGTCCTATTATATATCGCCTTTGCTATTTGTTATATGTTACATTTCTGTATGTGCTAAATATATTTATATTATATGATTTGAATGATATCTAAGGAAAGATACTAATAACTGAGATGCTAAAAGGGGAAAATGTAAGAGCATGCTCCACTTCGCTTATACACAGGGGTTTTCTCCACCCACTTCGCTTGTACTGTATTGTTATAGATGAGTTGAGGTGGGAATAATAATTAATAATATTAAAAATAGAAGAAAACTTAAGTATAAAAGCCACTTTTTTTGTTTGTTTGTGGAGGAAGTTTGATAGAGTAAGATGAGATGAGGAATATCTTGAGTATATTTATTAGAAAACGGTTGTATCGGACTGTACAGTATATGATGAAGTGTAGAAAGCTAGTAGAAGAAAGGAAGAAAGAGAGAAAGAAAAAAATGTGGATTATGAGTAGGAATAAGGAGATGGTAATAGATAGGAGGATGGTGAAAAAAATGAAAATGAAAATGATAATGAGTATGATGATAAGTAATAGCGGTAGTATTAATGTATGATTTTATTATTAAAGATATATAATATGATACTTGATTGAATGATCTAAATATTATCTTTAAATTTCCTCTCTGCTGAATTCTAATTTTTAACTACTCGAGTAATTACTTAGATATCACTTAATATATTGTAAGTATTATTTATATACTTTATAAATCTATGCGAGTAGTATACTGAAATCCTAATTTCTTCTTTAAGTATAAGCTGCACGGTGTATTGATGCAGGAGTTTTTCTTTGTTTCTCTTTTTGGGAGGAGAGTGGAAGAGACAGGAGGTGCATTATATATTTCCAAATTGGAAGTTGAATTTGGATGCGGAAAAGAGAGGTTGGCACATGATGAGCTTGCTGGTTAGGTATTGAGAGGGGTTGTTTAGTGTTGGAAGATGGGGAGAGGGTAGTAGAAAGGCGCATTGGATGGGTATCCCTTTCCCTTCCGGTCTTGATGAATTCCTACAGAATGAATTGTCTTTGCCATATACATAGGTCCGGATGTAGTCTTACTTCCTAATAAGGTGAAGATGGAATTGAGCTATAGTTTATTATAGGGCTTCACTGCTTCGTTGTTCTTTCGAATTCTGTGCATGCAAAGCCCTATTTTAAAGATTGTCGAGGAAAAATAATATCATTTTAAGTTCCGAGAGCAGAGGTGTTTTATTGTCGTTACCGGACTGTTGCTGTTGCTCCTTTCAACACTGCTGTTTATTTATTGTTGGCTCTGTTGATCATTCCTAGAGATGGTTATAGAATGAGGATAATGAAGCATGCTTGCGAGCGGTAAAAATTCATTACATGTATTTTCAGCAGAAATTCAAGAAGCGTAGACATGAGTTTGAGGACGTGGTGTATATCTCAAATACATCATGCCAGTGGCATGTATTCATTCTGCTTAAGTTTGTATGAATAAAGATCTTACTTTTATGTGAAAATATGAATGTAGAAGCTCTCTATAAGAGTTGCGAATCATATAATCCTCCTGTAGAGTAGACCTTTAAAGTACCCTTAGGAAGCAGAGCATCTGTTGGAGGAACGTCTATAGTTCGATGATTAAATCTAAATGAAGCCAAGGGTATCCTTGACTGAATACTATAATAATATCTTTGAGCTCAAGTTAATTCCTATCATTTGATCTCAATCTTATTCCTTCCTGATAGTTACCTGTACTGGATAATCAGGACTATAATTCAAGAATTAAAAGAGTTTCGATCCATGAATCTTTTATTTTAACCCATTGAAACCGTTGGAAAATGTTGAAGTATATTAAAATTATCTAGTATGATTGAATTATTTAAGGTAATGTGATGTGAGGAATTACGAATTATGAAACTTGGTGCCTTTGGACATTTCAAACATCTTGTCCGAATAAAGCAGGTCCTACTCTGTAAATCCTTCTCCACAAACCAACTAACTCCAGCCTTCCAAATCATCCAGATCTACTCCAAAAAAATCAAAACTTCAATTTCAACTCCAATCCCAATTCCAATCCCAATCCCCATTTATCTATACTTGGAAATACGATTCAGCTGCGCTCCCCTCATTGCAACTGAGAAAATCTGACGGATCTGTAAAAGCCTCGGATACAGCGGGACAACATCCATGGCGTATTTCCATCAATAGCCTTGTCTCTTCACTTGGGACAAATAATGTGCTATTCGCAATATCCCACCCCAAAGTACTGGCATCTTCAAAGTTTCTCTTCCTTTTCGAAACAATAGTGCCACCAGGTTCATCATGTTTCAATAATCCTTTACAAGGCATCACCCAACATTCCTTCCTTTCCACGGTCTTTCCATCGAGATCCCGTATCAAAAAGTACATCGTGCTGCTATCCTTTTGATCCTTGCACCAATCATTCTTCAAGATACTTTCTAGAAACAATCTATTCTCCATCGACGAGGGAAGTGGATATTTACGAAACTTCAAGGTTCGAAGTTCAAACTGCGAAGTCCATTGGAAATAAACAACGGCCAAGCTAGTTGCCATGAACTGAACCCTTGCTAAGATTATTGCTGCTTCTGTGGTGTCTTTCACTGGAGGCTGAGGTGAATTGGCGAGATGGATGTGAGATAAATTTCCATTTTCGGGCTCCTTTGGAGGTGATTGCTTATTGTGAATGAGTCCTTCTGACCATATTCCTTGTGTATATTCTTCAAATGTAATCGGATTGCGCAATAGCCGTGTCTCGGTAGATCGACCCATCTTTGTGTTGTATTGCTTTGCAGGTTTTTCGATATGACTTGTGGTTGTTTGGGTTGTTTGTTCCAACATATTGAATATATTAAAGGGTTTCGATGAGCTCGTTTAATTGATGGCGGTAGATGCGACCGTTATGGTTTTTGAAACGCTTGTATGGTTGTAAATATAGGATGTATATTTCGTTCATAGAAAGTACATTGAAATGTTGTATTAATTATATATAAAGTGCTTTCAAAATCATATTCCAAAGTGTTGTGTGAGGTGAGGTGAAGAATATTGACAAAGAGGAAGAACTGAGTAGCTTTAAATATGAGCAAATGTGTGTAGAAATGATTCAGCTAGGGGCTAGGGCTTCTCCGGATTAAAGGAACAGTCTGCATCTTGGGTGGTGACACGAGTAGCGGACATCTTTACTACTGGAAGTTCCAGATAACATATCTTGGAGTTGATGAGCTACAGCTGGAAAGAATATCGTCAGTGAGAAGCTAATGATCTCATGAGACACTTTCTGGTCAGAATTAGTACAGCTAAAAACTATTATGGCACAGAACTTGAATGGAGTAAAAGTAACAGTTTTCCGATGAAGTCATCTATGACAGCATATTTGATGTTCACCCATTTAAAGTAATGAATAGCGCTAACAAAACGAAACTCTAATCATGATTTCGAGATCCAGCTGTATTTGAACCTTGAAAAAGGGTTTTCTACACTATATTGCCAGGATTACCACATATGACACATGCATTTTCTCCCACCATCCCAGATCTTTAAATTTAGTTTCACACTAAAATTCTTTTTGGCACAATATCAAGGATAAGCTTAGAGCTAAGCTACTCGCTGTGAAACTGTCATCAACGCCTCGCACTTCACCAGTTAACGTCAAAATACACTTCTCACTGACTCCGATCTTAACGCTAAAAGCCAACTCGTCTATTAATAGTCATTCAAACATAACGTTCGAGATTTATTACCACAAGAGTTCCGAAAATACTTCAGCTCAGGCTCAGACTATACTTCATTTTCATCTATCCCTATCTACCCAGCGCTGCCTTTCGGAGGACAATTTAACACTTCAGCTCAAAAGTCAACACTGATTACATAAACATAAGGAATCGTTGAGTAATTCTATATTGTAGGTGTGAAGAGAAGAAGGTTGTCTTATTATTGGAGCCACGATTCCTGATTATATAGACCCAGAATCATCATGGTACTTTCCATACTGAGCCTAACATCGTGAATGTTGAAAGCTCTGCTACAGGATGGCAAAGTTGTTTGAAATTACCGGCCTCTCGATAAACATCTAGTCTCACAAACTAGCTCCTAGCTCTTTCCCGGTACTCACTAACTTATCACTAGTGACGTCAATCCAAAAATTCTATTGCGAAATCGCAATGAATCTCATTTTTAATCACTTACTGATTCTCTATTACATCATAATATATAGCTGCAAAAAGTTTGGCGGGCATATAAACATCTGTACGATCCGCCTCGAAAATTTTGCATGGCGTTTCCATTTATATTTTTCATTGACATGGAACTTATTTTATGTGTATTCATCTTTATAAAGCTTGTTGAGGAACCCATGAATCTAAGATGCAGAGTGCTTACATACTTCCATGTCTGCATAATGAATTCTCAGAAACGAGAATTCATACTTGACGAAACCGTCGTTAAATATACTGAGCCAGTGTTGCTATGAAGCCAGTCTTCCAAATACAAAATTCTGTAAAACTCTCATATTTCCGGCAAAGATTCTTCAAAAAAACTTTAATCAGCCGCGAACTGTGTGGACAAGTGACCATTGAAGAAATTTGGAAGGTTTCATGACAAAGTATGTACCTAGTACATAAGCTATAGGGCTGAGGACCAGTATCCGCAGTTCGGAGTCGTCCTTGCTGTTATGAGAGTTATCTGACAATGACAATACGAATTTTGGCTGTCAAGCCAAAATTCAAATACTGTTTTTCAACAAATCACTATTACATGTGGCATTTTTCTGTTGTATCTTCGCGATTGGGCAATCGCGGGACCAATGTGAATTTCCATAGACTCATCCATGGCATTAAGAAGCTTCTGTCTCCTTGCCCATTTGATTGAAGAGCCAGAAAATGGTATCATACTGAAATATTCCAGGTGAAGGAGGTCAAAGATCAGAGAAGTGGCAATGGGAATGGAAGCAAATTAATGGTGAATCTAAATATTGAGGGTCAATTTTGCTTATGACTATGAACATCGTTCTATCAGTCCTAGGCATGTAATACCACATTTCCAATATAGAAAAGTCCGTACAACCCTCTACTGTAGATAAGTTCCATCTAACACCTCTGTTTAAAACATTGTCGTACTTGGGGGCCAAAATATTGATACATCCATGTACATTGCACGAACTGTGCCACAACCATATATTAATGAATGCAAATACGCATCACAAATAGGCAAGATTGTCAAAAGAATCATTCCGAAATATTGCACCACTGTGTGTTTTAGATCAAACTATTGAATTTCAATGCTAAATCTTCACTTGAGGATTTGCAGCATAAAGTATGCAAAACATACTTACATCGCATGAAATTTTGATCACGTTACGCGGTCAACTTTGCGCACCAAAATTTGTAAGAGAGAGCGTGGCCATTAGTAAATGTTCAATGACCCTTGTAAGACACGGGATTTGGTGCATTTTAGGCCATACGGAATATGAATATAGTTATCTCCTCAGTCATGAATTGCCCACTTCCTTGACTACACAATGTAGATGAGATATCCGACCATAATATGTATAGGATAATGAACAGTTCTAGAACTCTATCGCTCTGAATATAGTAGTCATCCATCTAACACTCTCGACTTTAGAGTCCAAGTCTGGCTTGAAAGTACTATCATCAGCTAGACAAAAGATATGAGGTTATAATTACTCCATAGAAGTAAAACTTATTCCCAAGAAGGTACGAATCATCATGTCTTGAGTTCTTGCTATGAAATAGATCAGACAGGATATCCGATTCTACGAATCCCTTTATGATCATGATGAGCGTGGGAAGCAGGAAAAGGGACGATCCTTGATCATTCCCTCGTAAGATATATGGGATGAAACTCGATTTTGGTGGCAGACGGCGGCCATAAGTAGCTGAGGTGTAGCGAAGAACTGTGATTTGAGAATCAGATCAAGAACAGATGTTATGATTCTTCAATGATAATGGTTATACCATAGTCGCACTGTACAACGTAACGTACACAGGGGATTCGAGTGGTAGTCTGACAAGCCAATTTCGTGCCTGTTTCAATTGTTGGCTAATAATCATTAATTTATAGCCTTTATTGTCCACAACATACTTCCATTTAGAAACTTAACAAATATTATAAGGAACTTTCTCTGCAACTATGATTTTTTATCGTATTATAATCATGTCGTTGGAAGTAATCTTTAAATTCTTCCATTATTCATCCTATCACTTCGGATGCCGGAATAGCTGAGTAAGCATGCTTTCATGCTTCACGCTTCAGAGGTTCGGAGGTTGCCGAGACATTTACATGATCATCCGGCTTCACATGGGCAATAATAATAATTCATGAGATTCAATACTTTGGAGCACATGGCAAACATTCATCAAAGGTTTCACAATTAATCTCTACGAATCAATCACACGTGTTGATATCGCCGATAATACCGAGTATATTGAGAATTATAGTGACATGGGATGAGGTTTAGCCTTCTTATCACTTACAATAAATCCCATTCCAACCGACACCTCCTTGCGTGAATTGGTAGTCTAATCAATTCAACTATTCTTCAAATGAGGGATCCTATTGATAATCGAGCGGCTATTGACCGATTGCGAGCCTTATTCAAGAATTCCGATCCTGAACCCGAATATGAACCTATCTCAAGCAGCTCTAGTATCCACGAAGATGATGTTCGCAGACCCGTCCTCGTTTTACCAGATCAAGTCGAGGGGGAGCCATTTTCATGGTTTGAGTATGGGATCTTTATGTTAATCGGAGTGGCAATGCTCTGGGCATGGTATGTTCCACTGAGGTCTCGGGAGGGCGCAGAAGCTGATATCTTGACAGGAATATGTTCTTAGCAGCCGCACCATATTTTCAAAGCCGATTCCAGGACAATGAGAGTATCCTCCAGCACTTTCAATCTGCGATCACTTCCGTTGGAACGATTACGAACCTCGGATCTACCCTACTCCTCAGTCATTTGCAATTGAATGCCTCGTACCCGAAACGAATTATATCCTCCCTCGTCCTTAATACTATAGTCTTCACGCTTCTTGCGATATCCACTTCATACTTTCGCGATGTTTCATCAAGCGGTTATCTGGTCTTCACATTGATCATGGTATTCGCGACCTCTTGCGCAACTGGGCTTTTACAAAATGGGGCATTTGCATTTGCGTCGAGCTTTGGCAGACCGGAATACATACAAGCTATTATGACTGGGCAAGCAATTGCCGGAGTTTTACCTTCAGCAGCACAGATTGCGACGGTTCTGGCTGTTCCGCCACCAGACCATTGGGCCGACGTAGATACGGAGGTTGCAGATGTAAAGGAAAATACCACTTCGGCCTTTGTTTATTTCTTGACGGCTACCGTCATCAGTGTTCTCACATTAGTCTTCGTCTTCCCCTTACTTAGAAAGCAAAATCGAATCCTCGAAAGCCGCGCGGCATCATCAGCTGATAGTGATGATGAGAGTGATGAGAGCGGGAAGAATAAGGTCGTTGGTATGGTCAGACTGTTCAAGAAACTTTATTGGTTGGCAGGAGGAGTGTTCATGTGTTTCGCTGTGTCAATGTTCTTCCCAGTGTTTACATCAAAAGTGGTTTCAGTAGTACCCGCTGATGGTGCTTCTCGAATACTTCAACCTGAGGCTTTTATTCCCCTTGGATTTCTGGTTTGGAACATCGGTGATCTGTGTGGCCGTCTGCTACCACTTCTACCTTTTCATACCAAGGCTCGACCGATCCCACTTTTCATATTCTCTATTCTTCGAATTGGCTTTGTTCCGTTATATCTTCTGTGTAACATTGAGGGTAAAGGGGCCAGAGTCAACAGCGATGTTTTCTACCTTCTCGTCGTTCAAGGTGGATTTGGACTTAGTAATGGTTGGCTTGGCAGTTCTTGCATGATGGCAGCCGGTGATTATGTTGATGAGGAAGAACGAGAAGCAAGCGGACCTTTCATGATGATCAATCTTGTAGCAGGTTTGATGGCTGGCTCACTCCTCAGTTTTTCTGTGGCTGGGATTTCGTGATCTCATATTAGCGTTGGTTTGTACCTTTGTATTTATGGGAAGGAGTTCAGAGAGATATCATGCATAGATTGGCGTTGGAGATTACGGTGCTTTTGATTGAGACGTAGATTGTTGATATCATGGCATGGCATGGGATATTTATGGGAAGGAAGTCTGATTTTAGAGCTTGCATAAGAACGTGGGAGAATTAATATTATGCCCTACGAGTTGCATGTATTTGTTGTTTCGGAGGTGAGATATTTGTGGTGAAGTTTGTAAAGTGATCACAAGGTTGCAGTATCTGGTCAAAAGAAGGAGGCTTCTTCATTCAGTCCTACGTAGTACTTGGTTTCCTTGTTGAGTTTTTCGTACTCTACATGAGCAATCATGGAAGAAGGGGTATAAATCTCTTTTAGTTCAATTTCACCTCGTCAGCATGTTCTCTGGGTTCACTTCTTACTTTTATCGTTCTAATCTGGTTGGATGAGATAAGAGTGAACATACATTGTACATCAAGCATCAAGGGAGCGGAATGCAAAAAAGAAAATATTCTTTTTGGAAGAGAGAGAGAGAGAGAGAGAGAGTTGCTCCTTGACTTTCTATTTGCAGTCATCGCGATTCTCGGCACGTGATTGGATTGATGGGTATTTTTGGGATATTCCAGTTCAGTTTCTACATCTAAGATCTAACATATCATCACATCATCTCTCCCTGCTTTATGCTATCTGCGTATTCTATCTCGTTGAATTTAAGTCGTTGCATACGATTCTTTTAAGCTTACTGGAGCTATTTACCTACCGGTCTGAGCTTGATTGATTCACCTTTACTTTCTCGCTGCTCCTTTTAGAGAAAATCTAGGCGTAAAAGCAGATAATCTCTATGCAACCACCCACTATCCCTATACCTTCAATTCTCCGATTCAACGGTTTCTTAGTCGCTGGACATTCTCTCTTGCATTCAAAAGGCTGATTTAGTTGCAAAGATCTTCTCACATGCACATATTCGTACACGGCACAACTGGTTTCCTTCATATTTACAAGACAATCTTCTACAACACCTCGTTTTAAATTGAATCTTCCTTTGACGCTAACAAATATCATCAACTTATCCATCATGGCTACCATAGCCGCAGATGATTCTCCTTCTGAAGAGGAGAGTGTCAGTCGTAGACCCTCATCAACATCAACAACGCCTGATGACAATGATCACCTATGCCCTCATCCAGGTTGTCATAAATCCTTTGCTTCTAAAACTGGGCTTGACAATCATTTTAGGGTTCACCTCACTGATTCTGACAAGCCATTTATCTGTCCTCATCCAGGATGTGATATGCGCTACACAGGAAAGAGGGCCGTGGATCGACACTACAATCTTAAGCACACGGATCAAAGTAACTGGCTTAATTGTCCTGCAGAAGAGTGTGATGCTTCGTTTCCTGAAGAAAGACAACTCAAACTGCATCAAGTAGAACACGGTGTGTTCCGTTGTACTGCAACACGCTGTGTATATGAATGCGACAGTGAACAGGAGTTGTATAATCACAGAGAGGTAAGTGAATTGTCTGAGTCCTCCATATGCGGAAGTTCTAATACATCCTGTAGCGGAATCATACTAAACCTGACATTTACGAAAGCCGTATTGGTAAGAAGACATCAGGAAAGTCTAAAAAGGCAGGATCCAAAACTTCTCGCACAATGTCATCTGATCAAGTTTCAGATGAAGAGGAAACAGGAGATGAGATCATTGTTGATGACCGGCAAGGAGAGGACGAGCACTACCATGATGATCATGATGAAGAGAATGATGCTTTCCTCAAGCAGGCTCCCTTTGACAATTATGTGGAGGATTCCGAAAATCAAATCACCAAGAAATCAGAGAAAAAACCTTGGATGTGTCCTAAGCCAAACTGTAGAATACGTCACGTAAATCGATTTGATCTTATTTCTCATTGGCAGGTATGTAGTTTTCTCTGAATTCTCTTTATATAGCATTTGGCAGAGACTGTTGATATATCCTATTGCTTGAGATAATACATGAGTCTCTTCTATTTCAGTACAGAAGCATTTTTACTAACAGTATTACCAAATAGGACGCGCATAGCGAACTACCAGAACCGTCTAATTTTGCACTTCTATACGCCTCAAAACTTTCCGATGATACTACCGCTAATGTGGCCAATGCACATGAAGGTAAGATTCACCATGACCTTTTCGTTTAATTAAATTCATGTGATAATTTCGCTGCTGCTCTCAACCTTCCTTCTTTCTTTCTTTCCTTCCTCCCTTTCTTTCTCAAACAACAACACCTTTTGATTGTTTTTCGTGCTTTTATTGTTCGTAATAAATAGCAACAATGAATTTGATCAAAAAAGATAGTGTTGATGAATACAATCACTCACTTTACCGTACCAATGTAGGACAATCCAGTACTCTTCAGCCAGGTCGGATCAACCAGAGGGATATAAGTCACGATAATTCAGTTCCTTACAATACTGGTCTTCAAAGATCAAGTGATCATCAGCAGGAAAAAAGAAGTGCTAATAGTACAGGAAGTCCAATGGTATGTTTGATCCTTTTTCTTTTCAAAATACGTGATGATTTCAAGCATTTGATTTTTGATTTCTTTCTTCAATCAACTTTGGACATTCAATATTGTACATTCATTGAATGGGCGATGAAGAATAGTAGATCTATTCTTTCATTGGTATTCATTCATTCGTTTGTTCAAAACCTCAATTTAAGGCGTTCAATCTTTAGGTTTTATTTTCTTCTCCTAACAAGAACTTTGTAAAAGAGTATCAACTAATTAAATAGCCACAGACTACAAATATGAATGGGTTAAAGGCAACAAAAGCTACCACTTCAACTTCATCCATTTCTTCTTTGCGTTCTCCATCAACGCCAAACACTCAAACTCGTATTGCTCATCTAAGATCCCTTAACGGTCCTCCAATCGTTCCATCTCCATGCCATACTGCAAATATAGCACGTCCAAGTTCTGCTTCAGCTACTTCTTCGGAAAATTCTTCTACTTCTTCTACGCGTCGTGTAGCCAATGTTCAGCGTACGAATGAAACTACCCCAGCTATAGCTCGTCCAGTTCATCATCGTCAAAATGGCCCTCCAACTACTTTCGGTCGGGCGGTGGAAGCTCAACGACTCAATCCTTCTCCCGCTAGAAGTAACAAACCTTCTAACAATTCTGCTCCAGCAACACGCCTTAATTCAGCTCGCCATGCTGCCACTGACTCGCCTAGAGTGACCGGTGCTCCTGGTTCTCATGCTAATGCCAAAATGCGTACCCAAGAGCAATCTCAATCTACTTCCCTTGCTTCTTCCACCCGATCTTCCCCAAGGGGTTCGGATGACGAAGAAGAAGAAGCTCTATTTGTATCACCTCCAGCTACCAACAAAATCCAAGCTACAGCACCTAATTCCCGCGCTTTAGGTGTTCGAGGTTTTGCAAATATGCCATTACCAAGAGATCAAGAGTCTGATGAGGAAGACCTAAGACCAAGTCACATCTTGAGGCAGGAATGTCAAGCTGCAGCTGGTGAATCAGAGAATCCTATTGGCCGTAAAGATAAAGATGGTAGATCGTATGATGGTAATGGTTCTGGTGCGAAAATTTATGGTGCCCCGTTGTCGGGTATTAGGGGTTCTTTTGGTAATAATTCTAGACCTCGTGAGGTTAAGAAGAGTGGAAAGTCTGCAAGAACGGCTTCATCTAAGTCAAATGATTCGGATGATGATTTTGATATTGATGATAGTGAGTTGAGTGTAAGTTATTATCCTATATTTGTCTGGTCTTATTGAAAGAGATATACTAATACATTCCAGTCATCTAGTGACTCATTTGAAGGGACACCTCGACTTTATCATCGCTCAAAAGATCGTGACGACACACGTCCTTCCGACTCTCATCGTTGCCGTTCCTCCAATAATTCCCGTCCACTAAGAACTCCTAGTCCTCATAACGACGGATATCGTCCCTACGAAGTTTATGGTCCAGATCTTGACTCTCCACCACCATCCTATCTCATCAAATCTCCTGGTGTAATTGACCGCACCCTTCCATACCCCGATCGTGAAGAAAATAAATTCCTATCAGATGTCGCTCAAGTTCAACCTGATGATCTCTTCGATGCTGACGACATCTTTTTCACATTTCAAGGTCAGACTCCTCATGAAATAGAAGTTCAAGCACGTTTAGATGCAGAAAAAGAAGCTATGAGAGCAAATGCATATGGTTCTAGATTTCGTGCCCCAATGCATTTCGATCATTGTCCATACACAGCTCCGATTTGTCGAGGGGAACGCCAAACTTGGATAGCAGAAAGAAAACGAATCGATACTACAGAAGCTCGTGATGATTATTTCGAAGATGTAGAGATACTATTGGGAATTGATCGTGATGGTAATCGTCACAGTACTTCTAATTCAAATAAACCTGTTTCCGCCGTTTTCACCAAGGGAAAAAAAGCCACTTGCGCGGGTCCAGCTCGTGTTAAAAGAAAATATAATTGGCGGGATCCGGATTCGAAGAATAAACGTCTTCGTGGCCGTATTACTCGTGGTGCTCAAAATTCTCGTTCTCGTGGTCAAGCACAAGTTGATGGTGCGGATGAACAGGTTGATATCAAAGATCCTTCTTGGGCTTGGAGTTGGGCTTGGAGTGAGGCTGCAGGAGCGGTTGTTAATATTCGTGAGCCTGGTACGTTGTTTCGTGGGACTCGTCTAAGTGACGGGTCTACTCGAAGTGGTGGTGCGATTCCTGACTTTGGTCCTCGTGCTTCTGGTGGTTTGGCTGGTCAGGGTTCTCTTGCGACTGCGAATGTTTCCCATGCTTCTGTTGGTTTGGCTGGTCTGGAGCATCCTGGTATCTCTGGTAACACTTCTGCAGTTACTGGTAATGGTGGCGAAGCAGGTATTACTCATGCTGAGGAGTCAGCGGTCACTGGTAATAGTACCGAAACCGCTGTTGTTCCCACTGATGAAGAGGTAACTGCTACCGATTAGCATGACGAGAACAATAGCTCTCATGCATAATTATCTCGTCCTTCTAGTTCTTAGACGTTAGTATTAGTGCCACTATTGACGACTTATTGCGCTTTTGGCGCAATATCCAGCTGTTAGGTGTTGGGAGTAGGGAGTAAGGCGTTGGTTAGCATCTTGATCATAATGCTTGTTTGCACGTATGGCTAGTTGATGCATAATGAATAATAGAGATGAAGATGGATATTCTAACATTCATAGAGAATATAATTGGCGGATTCTGGGCTATTTGAGATATTGATAAGGAGTATGATAGATATTTTGATTTTTTTGAAGGATACAAATGGAATAATTAATAATGATGATGATGATAGTAATGATAATAAATAAAATAAATAAAATAAATAAAATAAATAAAATAAATAAAATAAATAAAATAAATAAAATAAATAAAATAAATAAAATAAATAAAATAAATAAAATAAATAAAATAAATAAAATAAATAAAATAAATAATTATGTTTTTAAATATAGAAATTGTTAAAGTGAATGGTTCCTATGTAGCACGTGCACAGGGCACTAGTCCTATTAGGACTAGTGTGACCAAAAGGGTGTTTATAGACCAGCAATTGTATTTAACTTAGAATCTACAGGTGAAGAGCACCCGTAGATGGGAATAGCTACTCTATATACACACAAATGAATGGCCTAGCCGTAATGGCTAGGCAAAAAGAAATCATATTTATCCCTCCAATGATCTTACTTTACCGATAACCATTGATACCTAGTACTTGTCCGGATCTGATCCTCAGGTCACCTAAATCGCATACTAATCTCGAGTAATCGTATCATGTGTGGACATGGTTAATGTACCTGAGGTTTCTTATATAATAAGGGTGGGAGGAAAGCAGGGATTTCCGTCACAACTAGATTGAGAAGCTCTCTGTAGGAAAGCTTCGCACTTCCGTAGAACTTAGATAATGAGTGATTTATATACAAGACCAATATAGCCTCAGTTCTGCCCTATCACCTTCCCACTATTCCCTGTGTAAGGTCATTCCTTTTAACAGAAATAGATATAGGTATATTTTATTGATCTTTATAAGATTACTAGTAATATATTAATATCTCATTTTAAAAATATCAAATTTACTCTTTTAATAAAACTTATATTTTATATCTAATATTAAATTATAAATCTAGAGAATAAAGTTAAAGTAAAGCTAAATATTTATATTATATTATAATCTTACTATATTATCTTAATCTAATCTAATCTAATTATCCCCTATCCCCAAGAGTTACCCCTCCCATTCAAACCACTCCCCCACCCCACCCGACATTCTAATAAAATAAAGTAGATACCTACTATCTGTAGATAGATAAAATAAGATGAAATTAAAAGTATCCGGCTATCTTTCTCTTTCTTTCTTTCTTTCTCTCTTTCTTCTTCTTCTTCTTCTGTCTATAATCCCATCACTGTAACATCTCTCCCACCCCATCAATCACCTCCCCCCCAAAACCAAATCTCCCTTCCTATTTATTCGCGTAATTAAGATAATATAATATGATGTTTATGATGCAATTAAATCCCATCTAAGAAAAAAAAGAAAAAAAAAGAAAAAATAGGATGTGGAATCCCGAACGTAACGTAACGTAACGTAATCTAACTCAAACGTCTATTTCCCTCTCCGATGGGTACTGATTCTCCTCTATCCGAGTTGGCCTCTTCGACTGTTTAGAAATTATCTTTACCGATATAATCCCAAAATGATAGGCAGGAACATCGGAAAACTCAAATCCTTCGTGATAATAAACATTCATCGATTGGTTGTTTTAATTCCTTACTTTCTTCACCACAATACCATCCCTCGTCGATTAATTCCTGTTCTTTTCTTCTCCATGATGAATACTTATTAGGTGATTTATAATCTAAATCTCCTAGACGAGCTTCTATGACTTGATGATTTTTATCCATTCGTATGTATAAGGAACAATCTCTCAAGGTCATCGCTACACATAGTTCATGAGATGCTTTTTCCGTCTTTAGAGATCCTTTGAGATCATATTCGGTTTGGAGATCGCGAAGTCGTTTTAGCAATGGATTTTCGTGGATCCATCTTGCGAGTGATTGTACGGAGGGTGTTTCATGAGGTTTGTGTAATACATGAGAGGCGGAAGCTAGGTAACTTTCGAATTTTAATTTAGGGTCATCATCGACGAGTTTGAGTGGACAAAGATAGGATTGAAGATCAGTGTTTTTTCTTTCTTCTCCAAAGGCTACTCGACGTGCGTGAAGTGCACAAGTTCTGCAACGGATAGCTTTAGATGGTAATTCATGGGATGGTGAGAGCCATTTTGGTTTGAATTCTACAACCGTCTCTTGTGCGGATTTTCCTGAGAATATGTGAGTATTTTGCCACGAATAAAAAGACCGAAAACATACTAGGTGTCATATCTGTAATCAAAAGACCATAATCATCTTTTGCCAAGAAAGTACCACTTTGAGCTCTGGAGCGATAAAATTTCCCTTTTGGTGGTGGGACAAGATGATTCGTGGTACATGTACCAGGATTATCAAAACGTCTGAGATCAGTATTTAAACCAGGGATTACATTAAGGTGACCAATGTAAATCAATTCTTGAATGACTATTTGTTCGGGTTTGAATAGGGGTACAATATATGTAAGCCACTGTTGGTATGATTCTGAAGTTGGAGCGGTAGTAGGAACATCTTTTCGAAGACGTAATAATTTTCCTAAAATTATTTAGTTTGTTTTTTTTGTGATTATTTGACAAAGTGATGATTCGACAGAGTGATGAAGTCTATATCTTCACTCTTGCTGGAAGTGAAGGGATAGTTGGAAAGAATTACCAGAAAGATAATCCAAATCTTGATGATCCTTGTCTACCTCGATAACCCCCTGTGATTTTGGATCAATGGTAATCTGATATATGACATTTGCAGCACCTTCAGCAAGAACTTTAATGCAGATGTTATTGTTGGGTAGGTGATGAGGTTGAATAGATAAGTTCTTCATTATATCAAGGAAAGTCGGATGGTTAAACCGAGGTCGAAATGGAGATGGAGATGGAAGTAAAATCGAGTGGAACGATTGAAATGATTGGAAGAATAGAAACCGGATTGGGTCTTTTTGAAGTAATCGAGGTAACCTTATTGCATCATTTTAGGTTTGTCCCGCCCGCCGTAATACTAAATTAGCTTTAGCGCAGTTGACGCTTGGACTTTCACCAGTGGATGATGGGATGAATCATGAATGTTGTTAAAAATGTTGGAATGAATTAGTAGGGATGAAGGTTTTTGTAGTTGGCAGGCGCGGGAACATCTAATGAAATATGAGATGAATTTGAGTAATGAAGTGATTTGTATGAAGGTGAATATGAAGTTGGGGAAATAGCTTTAAAGATATAACACTAGTCATGTAAAAATCTTGAAGTATTCGTATTTTATTGAAATATGTTGAGCTTCTTAGAGAGTTTGTATTACATGGAAGTCCCAACAGCATAACATTGAGACTCCTGAATATCCAGTTGAAAACTTCACTTCCTCAATAGGACAGGTATAATCATGATCTCCATTCATGAAGAATCGACAGAGTGGAGATATTTGGCTGACATGATGATGAAAAGAAAGGAAAGAATGCGATGATGGTATTGATAAGTTTTTGTATATAGAAATGTAGATGTAGAAACTGATATATCTCGTCTCAATTAATGATGAACGGAGAATATCTATCTCCTTTGCTCTGCTGATTTGGGAATAACCATTCCTTGATCGGAAGGATTATAAAACAATAATAGAAAAGTCTTGACGATGCCTTGATTGAGACCTTTAATACACCAGTCTCGATACTCAAAAGCCATAGATCATATTCCATTCTTCGCAAATCACCATGAACTTTCTGGTTGATGAAGCGAGGAAAAGGGATTGAAGAAGAAAGATAGGAATCCAAACATCATGAGCAAGTTGGTTCTCTTCCCATAAAATCATCAACTGACACACATCCATGCCTGTTTAGAGAAAATGGAGGTTTGGAGTGTGAGATGAACTACTAGGCAGATCGCATTAGCATATGGTACTAATAACATATACAACTTACATCTAGTAACATAGCATATGAATACCTGGGAAGATAAGCAATCGCCAAAGTCGTCAAAATGGCAAAATTATCCTTTCCCATCGATTCATCACATATAATAAAAGTTGAATGAATCATGAAGATCAGAGAAGTGGTTACCGAAATGCAAACACTCGGGAATAAGATCTTACATCGCACATAGCACATAGGACGCAAGGATCCACCCAAGAATTGTTGCCTTATATGATTGCTAATTGAAATGATACCTCCCTCCACCGGATGCATGAATAAATAATAAATTATGCAAGGAGATCAATATCGGGTGTTGACGCTAAATGAGAGACAACCTCACGGGTTTGTGTGTGTACCCCGTCCCCGTATACTGTACGACATTTTCGCGGGAATAACCTCGGGAAAGGAAAGGGTTTTATTTTTGAATGGGAATAGTACGAATATTCTCTCTGTGAATTGACTGAGAGGTCCACCAACTGCTTGTGGTCAGAGCACAATTGAGTCTGTGAGTGAGGGGAAGAAATGAAAAAGATGAGTAAGTAGGTAGGTAGGTATGACGAAGGTTGATTTTGAGTTGGGATGGGAAATGAAGTGAGATTATATATATATAAATATAAATAAATATAAATATATATTCCTATGTGTATATTTATTTAATGATAAAAGTCTATCATCTTTCAATATCACTTACCCAACATACAAACAAGCACATATTATAATAACAACAACAACAACAACAACAACAACAACAATCCAATTCGGACAATCGGAAAAGTCATCAATTCCAATCACATCCTCCGTATAAGAAAGAGCAGGGTTCATGTGGTAACAGAAGCGAGCTGAGAGGGAGAAATGCGGAAAAGAAAGGAAAAATTTAAATTTAGCTATCGAGTCTTTTTCTCGTACAGCAGCACAGCAAAGCAACAAGCTTCTGAGAACCATTATCATATTTCATATCTATTTATTAGGAACGAAAACTTGTACACAAAAATTATAACATCGCACATTCATCCTCCCTCTCAATCTCACATCACACATTCAAACCTTTCAACTCAATCAATCAATCAATCCTCTTATCTTTCTTTCCTTCTTTATTCACAAAAGAGAGAAGCAGGATCGTCGGTTACGTCACACGATACAATCATTTCATTCATTCATCCATCAAAAGATTCCTCACGCGATCATATCGAACGCTTTCATGGCGCGCCAGCAAACTTAAATCTACAAAACAAATCTCTTCGAAAATATCCTCTCGAGCGATCCACTACCTGAGAACGTCGTTATCGCCAACTGCTAATGTCATTTCAAGATGGCATTCAATTTCAACTGGTCGCCTCTAACGGCAGATGCGGAATTCTATCAAAGAGCTCAAGAAATGCTCACGGCAGCTCTTAATAAATCACCAAAGCCTCCGATTATAAAGGATGATATCTTAGTCAATGAGTTAAACTTGGGTTCGGTACCTCCAGATCTGGAGATATTAGAGATTGGGGATTTGGCAGAGGATAGGTTTAGGGGAATCTTCAAGATGTGCTATTCTGGAGATGCTTTCTTGACTCTGAAAACAAGAGTTCAGGTATGTTTACTATCGTCATCGTCATCATCATCATCATCATCATCATCACCACCTCCATACGACATATCTTGACACACATCTCCTTCATTGTCCCACTTTTGCATGAATATTTTGTCACACGATAAAAATGAGGTGTCATTGCAGAATTCTCGGCGCGCATAGAGGGGATTTCGCGTTTTATTTTTACCGCCCAACGCATATCACACATGCTTGACTTGGTTATAATACATGGCTAATAAATCAACCTAGGCCAATCCGCTGAATAATCATTTGTTCTCAAAACCATCATTCACGTCTCCACAACCCCTCGCGGCAGATGCGGGTCTCACGATTCCATTGCAAATCACTTTGTCCGAAATCAAATTATCCGCCTTCATCATAGTGGTATTTTCAAAGCAGAAAGGATTAACATTGGTCTTCCGAAATGATCCACTTGAATCTCTCAAGGTCTCTTCCACCTTCGACTCGATACCATTCATCAAGGATTATTTACAGAAGGAAATTGAACAACAGTTGAGGACTTTGATGATGGATGAATTACCTGCTATTATTCATAGGTTGTCATTGAGATTATGGTGCCCGGAATATAGAGGAAAGGAAGATCAAGAGATGGCCGAAGCTGTAAAGAAAACGAAAGACGAAGTAGCCATTGATCCATTTGCAAGCCCACCACAAGATGCGGTCGATGCACGTGGAAATGTTCTAGATGCAAGCGAAATATCCAATTTATCGTTAGATGGTGGGTCGGAGATCCACTCGCTGTTCTCACAAAAGAACCTACTTAGGTTGGCCGCACTCACAAACTCTCATCGAACTTTGTCACTTTTCACTCCTTCTATTCGAGATGCGGTCTTTCGAGCATGGGCGCCATCAGAAAGAGGTGATTCGGCTGGAACAACTACACCTGCAACTACTTCACTTCACAGACCACAATCATCCCTTGGAGGTCAGAGTACTACCTACACATTCTCAAATAGAAGTTCTGATGATGGACATGGTAGTATGCCATCTAGACCATCATTGGTCAATATGAATTCGGCTACCACGGGATTAAGTCTGGGTGCAAATCGAGGTTCAAGGTCACATACTACAAGAAAGAAGAAGAACAGAGTGGTGAACTTGAGAAAATCCAAAACTACAGATAATGTTAGCGAGAGTGGCGAAAGTGAGACTGCTTCCATAACTGCAGCATCTGAACCAATCGTTCAATCTCGTATTCCAGAAGAGCCGGAAGATATTCCTGTCACTCCACCACCTGGAAAGGTACGATTTAATAGTATCGACCTTGGAGATTCACCAAAGAAACTACAACCATCTCGTTCTATCACACCAGAACAAGGAAACATGAACCAAATTCCAACACTCACCGTGGAACCTTCTACTCCGATTCATTCAGAAAACCAGAAGCGTCCTGCTTACAATCAATCAAGCTTTACATCATACACTTCAGAGAAGTCAGCAACTACCCCACCACATACGCAATTCTCATATCCACATGGTCTTCACTTCTCCGCAACTGAATCACCATCTGGAATTCTTGAGCAAGCCTGGATTATGAAGATGGCATCTGAGCTAGCTCGTCGTCGACATGATAAAACTGCTCGTGAAGGATTTTGGTCTACATCAAGCAATGGTGATGATGCTCCACCTGCTTATGAACCCAAAGCCTTGTAATGTAGGCTATATTACATTCAACCACACACACGTGTACAACATCTCACCTCTTTCTTTTGTTCATCATTTTTACAGGAGTATCATGGGAAAATAATGGACTTTACGAACACTCCACTCTTTCGTGTTTCTGGAAGTACCTAATATTGATAAACTTTGGTGCTGCGATTTAGCGAGTTTTTTTTTTCCAACTGGACAAAAGAAGTGCTGTACCTCATGGGAGGTTTGGCCTAGTTTGAATGAATGGTTTGTTTTTGGTTAGGGTTGGTGGGGGATTAGGAATTGATATTGGGGGTGATTTCCGGTAGCAGGTATATAAAAGTTGGTTCTTGGGGCTTCTTTCGTTTTTGAGCGATTTGGTAAAATGGGGTTGTTGAGTCCTGATTTTTGAGAGGTGATATTGTGGATTGAAGAAGTTGACCATTGAAGTGGTGTCGAGAAGAGCAGTGGATGTTGTTTTGGATTGTATATACATGGGACTTTACGATTCCCTCCTTTTCTTACAGATCGTTTTGAGCGATACTTCTCAAGAACTAACGAATTCCTTTTGTCTTTTGCCATTCGCTGTCTACTTTTACAATTGGGAGAAATAGAGGAGAGGAGAACAGAGGAGAAGAGGAGAGAAGAGAAAGAGGACGGGTTAGAATAAATGTTGAGTTTAGTTAAATTGGAGCTAGATTAAGATTAACATTAAGAACAAGATTAAGCTTAAGATTGAGATACTTTTCTTGTGTTTTTATTTTAATATTTATCTTGATGTCGTTTAGATGTGTTTTTGTCTATATACTAGATAGGTAGGTAGGTAGATAATCACATTGTTCACTAGATAAAAATTATCACGGCGGTGTATAGACTTTTTTATACCTAGGTAATGGTGTAATATAATGAGAGGATATTCTTCTTTATATTATAATATAAAGGAGAAAGAAAAGGAATGGATGTGCATGGGTGCTAGTAGGGGGAATATAGTATAGTATAGTATAGTATAGTATAGTATAGTATACCACAGCATTGACTGAACGAGTGAGTATATAAGATAACATTTTAAATTTTTTATTCATTCTTTCAATTTAATTACTTTTATAGATTTAAAAAGTACCTAGTACACTTATATATCAAAAACCTAGTACATACTGTCACGATTCATTAATTCACGTGACCTCGAGGACCTTTTGGACCTTAGGGTCCCAGAGGTCCTCAACAGATGATATAGGGTATATAAAAATTCATTTAGTCTCGTAGTTAAGGAGCTTCGTGCTCAACTTAGTTATCAATTAGTTTACCTACATTCTACTTGATCTAGTAACGAATTCACTTTCAAGTGAATACCAGTGATAAAGCCTTAACCCATAACTACCAACCGATGAACCTTAGGCAGCCGCTTGTTACGAGGTTTGCCGTCTAGATCACGTGGAAGTGCTCTAGGCTCTCGAAGTAGGTTTATAACTAGGCGTCAAGCAGGGACTTGAAGTAATGACAATAATGATATGCAATTCGTAACTAATAGTAGAGTATACTAAATGATTGATCTTGAGCACGAAGCTCTATACAAAAGAAATCCATCTTGATTATATAGTCCTTCGTGCCTATGGTTAACTAGGAATCGTCGTTCCTGGGAACGAGCGTTCCTGGTTGTTCCTAGGAACGTTCGTTCCTCACCGTTCCATCACATGTTTTATGGTCATGTGACATACTAATCGTTTTGGACGTAACACCGCTGCCTTTAGTACAGTATCGTTACACATACCTACCTATATAGTTCATATATAGATATTTATATAATATATATATTAAAACCCTAATTAATATTCTTTAATAACTCATCAATCATCTATTACTATTATTATTATTATTACTGTTATGAGTGGATAAAATTTCTAAACAGTCTATATTCATATCTTTCTGCTTCTCTATCCCTCTACTCTGAATTCCATATTCGATATCTACGCGGTGCATTTTTGCGATACGATCATGTAGAAATTAATATATTGTGTTGACTAGTTATTTGGGATAATTAGTTGATGGATGATCTCGCAAATGTATACTAATAAGCAATCGTAACTTTGATTTTAGTTTATTGCAGTCCGAAATTCCCGCCTTGTAATATGAATATCATCCACTCTGTTTGCTTATTGCATTCATTGCCTTATTCTGCTTAGAGTCGTTACATCTCGATCGTATGAACAGTGTGAGAATAGCAGTTTAGCAACATAGCGTGATGCAATGATGTAATGTGCCCACATCTAAGTGTGATAAATTGTCGAGGGAAGTCCTAATCTTTCTTCCGCACGAGTAAATATGGCGACCGTTCAACAGATCTCCCACATCCGCGATCCTTCCCAAGCGTAAACCTAATTGTGATTTCATCTCCATTTCCCACTCACTTCCGAGGTCATCATCAAAACACCTTCCTCATAATTTCTCCAATTCTCCCTTTAACCTCTTCAATTCCTCCTCCTTCTCCCTCAATTCTTTCCTCAACTTCTCATTCATAACATCCACCTTCTTCTTCCCCTCCACCAATTTCTTAACCTCCGCCCTCTCCGTATCCCTACTAAACGGTTGACCCGGTCTAGGCGTCAAAGGAATAAAAACCGTTCTCTCCCCCACACTCCCTACCATCCCTCCCCTCATCGTCCTCGTCGCTTTTCCCTTCCCTCCATTATTCTTCTCCCTCGGCATGGGATTCGTCAAAACCTCATAGAATTGTTCATAAGGTTCATTAAAAACCATTTCATCATATACCCAAGACCGAACCTCATTATCGCGAACCTGCGCTGTTTGTAATTGTTCATCACCATATGGTTCTAATTGTAAACGGTGCCAAAAACTTTGAGCTTTTTCGTTCGCGACGGGATCGTAGTAGATTTTTATTTGGATATCGAATCCACCCCATCCTGTTTCTGTTACTTGAAATGGATCGCCTGGTTTAACATTTTCAATTACTAGAATCACCAAATAGAATTAGTCTCATATCTTAAAAGATCGCACACTCGAAACCCAAAGACCGCAACACCGGCGCAAAACAATAACAAGAATAGCATACCCCTCAAATGCTGCGGATACGTATCATGTAATTTAAACTGTACTTTCCGACACCAATAAGTAATATCCGTATCATCCACCCCCTTTACAAACACAGTCCACTGATGCGTATGTTCCTCTGGAGTCCCCTCGGGCTTTGGATACTTTGGACTGAATTTATGAGATGTGGTACCGTATACAAAAGGTCTAAAGATCGAGACGCCTTTTATACGTTTTTGGGTATTTGGCGGTGCCATTCTTTCATAGATTAGGTAAGGTGAGGTATGGTATGGTAGAAGTTGGCGGTGCTGTTGATGAGGGGTAGTTGGAAATAAGATCGAGTTACTAAGAATTAGATAGATACCTAGTTAGAGTTGAGACGGCGCCAGAAGATGTGATTAAAGATCGAAAGTCAAAATACCAGGGTTCGATTTTACCAATTTAAGGTTCGAGCTATTTTATGCACTGCTCCTCCGTAGAGTGTAGGCTACCTAGTCCAGGCCTAACTAGTACTGGAATGTACTAGAATTTTAGTGGTCAATGCTTTAAAGTACTGACGTCTACGGAGTATGGGTTTTAAAAGATACATCCGATGAGGACAAGAGTGTGGAGAATTATCTATCATCAGATGTTTTTCTGTTCAGACTTCATTTTTACGATATTTTGTAATTGATTGAAAGGATAGGATAGCATCTGGATATCGAAATATGTCTGCGACTAAGAGATTGGTAGTATGTGGTGGAAATGGGTTTTTGGGTTCGAGGATTTGCAAATCCGCCGTTGCGAGGGGGTGGGATGTTACGAGTATTAGGTATGTAGGAAGTTCGTTCCAGCTTGGAGCTACCATTCATCCCCCAGGTCTTCCATTCACGAACTACTCCTTTCAGTTCTTCTTCTTCTTCTCCATACCTAGAATTAAACTCATAACACTAACCTCACTCCAATCTAGTCGCTCCGGCGAACCAACCTGGTCCTCCGTCACATCCTCTCCCACCCCACCTCCCTGGTCCCACAAAGTAACCTGGGAACGCGCCGACATCCTCAAACCCTCCACCTACGCCCCGCTCCTCAAATCCGCCGACTATGTCGTACACACCATGGGAATCCTCCTCGAAGCCGACTACAAAGGCGTAATCTCAGGACGGGAATCCCCCATCTCCGGTCTCACCCGCGCATTCTCCTCTCAAAAATCTGGTTCTCAAAATCCTCTCACTCGAAAACCAGGAGAAGATCTACAACCGCAGGAAAAAGATGGACAAATAACCTACGAATTAATGAATCGAGATTCCGCAATCACATTAGCATCTGAATCCTACAAGGAGAATGTTCCTGCTTTTGCGTATATAAGTGCTGCAGGTGGAGCACCCGTTCTGCCAAAGAGATACATAGATACGAAACGAGCGGCCGAAAGTACCATTGCGAGTGAGTTTCCTAAGATGAGGAGTGTGTTTATTAGACCTGGGATGTTGTATGATACTTCAAGGAAGATTACTGTGCCATTGGCTGCGGCAACAGGGTTGGGTGCTGCTTTTAATGGGCTCACTGGGGGAATATTTGGAGGAATTATGGGCGCTGCAGGAGTTAAACCTTTAAAGGCTGATGTGGTTGCTGAGGCTGTTGTCGAGGCTTTGAGTGATGAGAATGTGAAGGGTCCTGTCGAGGTTAAGGAAATCGAGCAGTTGGCTGAGAAGGCTTGGAGAAAGGGTATGTTGTAAACGAGTAATGATCAAAAATTGCCTGTTTCGGCTTTGTATTTTGTTAGACTATGAAGTCTATGAACAAACTCCGCATAATCTATCAACCCAATCCTAATGTAATTATATAGCTGTGCCACGCTCAAAACTATCCCTAACTTCTGCAGTGTACTAGAGAATGTAAGCAGATGTAGAAAACGAGCAAGAGTAAAAAGCGTGCTTACCTTGTTGTAAAACCTCGATAACTTCTGGTTAAACTGTTTATTCTTGTCATTAATATAAGTAACATCCCCATCCTCCCCATTGGCCGCATTCCTCGCCCTCTGTTTCTTCAACCTCGCCCCCTCTGCCTGTTGCAAATCCTTTACCAGTCTATCGACAGCTGACTTCTCCGGTTTATGCTCCACAAATCCCGTCGAATCCGCCGTGCTATAGAAAGTTCCATCCTTATCCACAGCAACCAATTCCCCATCATCAGTTTCCACGATCTCTAGTCCTCCTGAAGCAGCAGCCCGTTCTACAGCAGCCATCTTCTCTTTCTCGTAAAAATCCATATCAGGTTTCAAATCGCGAATTTGTCGTTTATATACTTTCCGACTATCCTGTCGATAATCCTGAAATGCTTGATCATCCCTGTGTGCCTCTTTTTTCTTCAATCTTTTATCCCATTTTTCACTTTCTTCAATGGTCCAATCCCAGGCTCGTTTTCGCTCGAAATCTTCGCCTGCTGCTTCAGCATCGGCTTTGAGTAAATTGTGCGATGCGATGGCGGATTTGCGGTTCAAGGAGGTGAGGAGATTGGGATCAGTGGCTAATCGTTGTGATTCGAGAGTAGCCTCCTTCAAATTCTTTTGAGCGGAGGATTTGGCGCGTGCTTGAAGGGCTTTAAATCGCTCTTGGCGTTCTTTGGCTTTGGCGGCGGCGTCTGATGATGATATTGAGGTAGCAGTAGATTGTTCGGGCTTGGTCGCTTTCTCAGGGATGGGCTCTGATGGTGTGTCTGTTGGTGGTTCTGTACTGGTGATGGTATCAAGTGGTTGCACTTCTTCTGACGGTTCAGCTGTCGCGCGCGTCTTTCTCTTCTTAGATGGTGGCATATTCAGGACTTTATGTAATAACTTGTGATTAGAGATGAAGACCGGATTCTGAATGTGTTGTTGGTATAGAGAGACTTTGAAATCTCGATTTACGTTGAGTTATTGGGAAATGTACAGATGATTTGAATTGTTGTTGTTAAGAGAAGAAGCCTAGCAGTCTGACGCTGCTGTAAAAGGTATCTTGCTGACTAAGATCCCTTCTGGACTACTTTACCCCGGATTTACTTGAGCTAAGGTTAGCGGAGCATTCAATACTATCATTATCAATGGCATCAATCTGATCCATTTCGACTATTATTCTCCTAGTTTCGTTTAATACAAAGATACAAGTCTCGAACTTCGTATTTGTATCAATCTCACAAAAATGAACTGTCGAAAAGGAATATTGCCATTGTACCGGCGTACCATACAGTCCTCCAACTCCCCCACAACCACCAAATTCACAAAACGATTCAAAGGATACAAAAGTGAAGAACCACTCGTCCTCCCAAGAGTAGTAATCGATCTTGATGCTCATGAAAATCCCGCCGTACGCGAATACGATTCAGCAAAAGACAATATCCTAACACCTTTCCAACAACAAGTCGTCCGCTCAACAGATAAAGCCATAGCTAGAAGAGAAAAACTAGTTCGCAAACAGTTGGATGAAGAAGTAGTGGGATTTCCACGCAAGGGAGGTAGAAATAATCAACATATCAGAGATGATGCTTTAGAGCATGAGTTAGCGTATAACCCAGATGCCTCACCACCAACTGTGACGGCGATGGATCTTATGACTTATGCACTACTTGGGAATCCATTCACAGCTAGGGGATCGAAAGAACCGACTAATATGAGGGATGTGCATATGGAGAGATTGTTTACGGGTCATGGTATTGATTTTAAGGATACGGCGAATATGACGATTAGGGCTTTGACGGAGGATTTTGATATTTCGACAGATGGGCAAGGTGAGGATAATGTGGATACGGAGCAGAACCGAAAGATTGCGGAAAGGAGGAATAAAAGAAAGGAGATGCAGAATATTGAAGAAGGAGAATAATGGGGCTCACACAGTAAATTGAAAAAGGAACTTTAGCTTTCGATATTGCCAGGGTGGCCGCTGAAGGCATTAAATTCATGATGCCATGGAATCATAAGAGTAGCTGAAGGGATCATTGAGCTAGGCATTCGCAACCCAGATCTGAAATACTTCCCACACTGTTGACGTTTGCGAGCAGATCACCAAACGATGAAGGAGGACGAGCCATGGACTGACATAAAATCAGGCTGATGCAGCTTCAAAGGGGGAACCACGTAGACTTTGTTTGTCGTGTGACCTACCTTAACTCCAGCTTAGAGCCTGGTGCTGGCACCCAGAAACAATGAGTCTATACCAAAGGAGAGTCTTGTGGGTCATATAATAGTTGACTAATCATAGTGAAATCCATCCATTTCATTTGGGAGTTCAATTTCTATATTTATACGTATGTTTGAGTGTATGGGTGTATGACTGAGCCGAGATGCACATCATGCAACGGTGCGATAGTACCGTCACCAGGACACTATGAGAAGCCCATGAGCTCTGTCAAAAGAAAATATTTTTCATCCAGGACACAGACTCTATCCTGTCCGATACTTTGCTATGAATAATAGACTCATACATACATAAAGCATAAAATTTCTTCGGCTGCCAAATCTCGCGCTCGTCTACGAGGCTTGGCGGGGTTAAGCGGGGTAATGGAAACTTTTGCATCTAGCTACTTCTATTACCCATAAATGACTTTTCAACATATAATTTGAACCTCAGAGAATAATACTCTTCACCCAGAATGTTTATTTCATTTTGTTTTGAACATTAAAGTTGTATAAGTCATTAAAATCAATCAAGTCGCCTAGACTCCCCCTACGCTCTCCAACATTCAAAGCCAGAAACTACCCTCATTGAATTTATACGAAATCTCTATTACTAGACTCATATTTTCTTATAATATTACACCCGAAAAGAAATAGTTTGTTAATTTGGAAAATTCTGTTAGCGGCTGCCCTATCAGCCTCGTTATGCATATCAATGCTACCCCTTATTCACATAGCCTTACCTGAATCCATGCACATGTATCTAATCCATGCATTTATCATATGCATATCTTAACATCCAAAAAAACACTTCCAAGGCTATAGCGCGGTTAGTAAGATCTGCGCGCAGAAGCTGAAATGCGGGGCTTTTGGGCGTTTTTCCCCCTCAACTTCGGTACAATGTTAGCTTTTACAATGTAGGATTATTCGCTTTTTCGTCAGTTTGTGGAAGAAGAAATGGTGAGGGATAGGGAGACGAGCAGATTCAAAAAAATAAATAAATAACGAAAATGAAGTAAACCACCTGGTGAACCAACATGCAGTTTGCTTTTCCTTGCAATCCTTGTCTCGGGTAAGAACCTGGATGGAATCGGACGTCATCTCTAGTAACCCTATATGAGGCGCAAAGATGCGGGTATTACATTATTTACAGGAAACATATGCATGTATCATGCAGTCATCATGTTGCATGAGCGAACGGACCAGTGACATTAGAGAATTATTCAGGAGGTTGCTTTGTGTGTACGAAAACTACTGATCTTAAGATAGCAAGATCTAATTCAAACTAATTGGCATTGAAGATTAATCAATCGAAGAAGATTTTATATGATATGTGAGAAAGAAATTGCATTTGCAGATATATATAAAGCTATAAAACAGTAACAATTTGATGTATGAACAAGTGACTGCAGGAAAATTGATCGCTTGCAGTGATATAGATGAAGAGAATATAAACAAATGTGAAAATAAAACTTTCGTAACTTCGTTATTGGTACTGGAAACCAGATCTCAGCTGAGAGGATTGAATTGACCGGAAAGGATTTGGGACTTGGAACTAGCGGAAGTAAATGATATATATATATATATAGAATCTGGAACTAGTAGAAGGGAATAAATTTTTGTTTGTAGTCCAAAGAAAATAAAAAATAAAGTTAGAAGGAAAACGAAACCTAGACAAAAAGCCTTGACACTGTTGTCGAAATATCCTGATATCGATCATGAATTCGTTACTCATGAAAAGAAATGGAAAAGAAACACGCAAAATTCATGCCAAATTCAAATGAGAAAATAAGTCCTTGGAAGATATATAGTAAGAAATTCGTCAAGATGTGTCGTTCCAACAAGGGCGCGCATCATCAAGTTTGGTCTGCAAAAAACGGAATTAAGAGGTAAACGAGTGGACCCCTGAACGTATGACAATCGAGAAAGGCCTAGGCCTGTTAGCTAAATTTTCCTTTCCGCTAAATGTAGTGGGCTCACAAGTTGCTGATTAGCTCTGGCCATCTGAATAGCGCGGTGGATCATCGACATCCCCGCTACCATATCTATGATTGGACTGCGGATTGTAGTATTGCTGGTTGGTGTTAGGCGTATATGAGGGGTATTGGGGATATTGAGAGGGGGGGTATTGCGAGGTGGAATATTGCGAAGGAGGATATTGCGAAGGAGGATATTGCGAGGAGGGGTATTGCGAGGAGGGGTATCGCGCGGGAGGATTTTGCGGCGGGGGATATTGTGACTGGGGATATTGCGACGGAGGATATTGTGAGGGAGGATGCTGCGATGCTGGGTACAATGACGAAGTGTACTGTGTTGGGAGGTTTTGCCTTGCAGCACTGTATCCACCATCCAAATTGGAACTATTGGAACCCGTGTTGTATCCTGTCCCATAAGACGGTGTTGACTGGGACGTAGTGTTGCCATAGGTCGGGATGTTAGGCTGATTTGAGAAAGTGGGATAGCCAGTGATATTCGAAGAGTTACCTGCCATAGCACGAGGAGAATTGCTGTAGGTTGGATTATTCTCCGCGTATGAGCCTGATGCAGTTGGTGGAGTTGATAGACGCAATGGTGGATTAGCTTCATTATAAGATCTTGCTACCGTCTTTTCGAAATCTTGATGGACATGACCGATGAACCAAACCTTGACATTATATTCCACAGAACAGACTTTATGATAATTAAGTCTTGAAGACGCTTCCAGGTGATGTCTTGTGCTGTCTGGTATCACTCTGACAGGCCTATACACCATTTTATTACCGTCTTCACCTTCAACCAATTGCGGATATGGTGTGGTGTAAATTATGGCATGCTCTTCAGCATGCACTCCCGGCTTGGTTGTCCCTCTCTTTCTGTAAGTCATGATCGGCCTGACTTCATTGTTAGTAACATGACAAGAGCATGGGAAGGGATGAAAGTAAAGACCCACAGGCAAAGACAGTGACCTCGTCTATGATCTATGATAACAAACCTCCGAACTTTTGCATACAAATCTTCGCCATGCTTCTGTCGTCTGACCGACGTGATGGTCCCTCCACGGGCTTCACCAGACGGTTCAGACCAAAGGACTTTGAAGACCTACTCAAGTTAGTGTGTAGTTTGATAAAATGGTGATGAGGACAAAAACCTACTCTTCCAAACTTAAATTCCCGTTTTTGGTGCACTTTATAGTCTATCATAATTTAGTGGCTGAATATATATTCGGCATTGAAGGCACTCACTTGGATCAAAGTCCGTATGCTCAGTGGAAGTGTTGGCTTTTTCAAGCTTGGCCACAATAGGTGGATCTACATTGGCTATTGAAGTCAAAGTAGTGGCCGCCAGTGAATTGGTTAAAGATCCAACATCGTTGTTGCCTGTAGTGTAGTTGCGATCCACTGAATATTGAGTGGTATTTGCAGAAACTGGTTCCAGCGGGGAGCTATCATCAAACCTCGGGACATTTGAACCAGCGGATGCGCCAGAAGTTGATTGGCCAGAACTGTACCTCCATTCTTTCTTACCCCTAGCATTAATGCGAAATGATTCCAACTCTTTCGTTGCACTATTCCATTTCCACTCACTCCATAAATTTGACCCTCTTGATCTTCTTTGAGACGTAAAAGAAGACATCACCACACATTATGTATTGTGACATGAGAATAGCTTAAGATGCGGACCATGCTATTAGGGATTTTGCTTGCCTTTATGGACGGAGAATAAGCATCTATCCACTGTGGCTTCAATGCCCACAAAGTGCACACCATTTCAAAGTCCTCGAGGTAACTTCAAAGGTTGTGACAAGAGCCATTGATGAATCGCAAACTACGATTGGTACGATTGTCGGGAGTCAGTAGGTTTTTCGAAAGTGGTTGCATATTGGGCGGGGTTGTATGATCGCTTGGTTTAATACACTTGCTAGATGATGGTTTTGCCGCTTTAACATTTGAATTCATAAGACCGTGGGGGTCTAATTGAGATTAATCTTTCCCATGGTAAGTGTTGCAATCTTGGCTAATTGCGCATGGATTTTGCACATGCTTGTACAAAAATGTACAAAAATGTACACAATCAGCCTCATTCCACTCTTATTCGCCAAATTGGTGACACACGTAACGAAGAATATTTGGAAGCCCCCAGCGCCTCGTGCCTTTGCAATGTCTTCACATCGGCGTTGTATTTCAGCCTCATGGAATTCAGCTACAAGACACTGCGTTCAGAGCAGGATATATCTTTGTAACCGGGACTTTCAATCGAAGGAAGTCATCAGTTTGAAGCAATACGGATGCGGACAGTAGTCAAAACTTTTAGCCGGGACAGTGGGCGGCAATTTGGCATCCGGCAGGAGGAAAAAAGCTCTCATGATCAAAATACATTACAAGTGAAGGAGTTCAAAGTACATTACCGAAAAAGCCAGAAGCCTGAACCCTTAATATCAGCGACTCCTGCTTTTCAGAGGAGATGGAAGTACAGCCAACCGCCACATATATTGAGAGCGCGCCGGAAGAGACAGAAACCTTTTATTACGACGGAAGCAGAGATTAAAAGGCGGAGCTGCTCGGATTCTGATCAAGATGGTGAATCTAGGGGATTGTATGGACCTAGCATCCTGTTCGCAATGAAGAAGGAGCGCAATCGTGGAAGTCTCCCCAGCTCGAGTTCAACACCACGTGTCCAAAGCTGTGCGGAGCTACAGGAGTCTCAACATTCCGAAGCAACAGATAATTTAGTATGCACGAATCAGTCATTGAGTGGGCTACGCAATAACAATTTCAAGATATTTGAGTTCAAATCTCCAGATCCAAAAATACCACCAGTTACTATGCATGACATTGCTGGCACCGACGATTCTCGACCTATTAGGCAATTCAGCAAGATAGCAACGCACCATGGGCCATTTGTACCTGCTAGTGCACATATTCGGTCGCAGTCTGTTCCAAAATCTACAGCAAGTAAAAGCCAAGTTAGATTCTACGAAAATGCAAGACGGTTTTCCGACCCAAGTCACGTGTACGGGAAAGTTCTGTCCCTCGGATCAGAGACTTCCACTGTTTCCAGTCAGCCTGTTAATCAATCTTCTTCGAGTGATAAGTTATTCCCTGAAGAGCCGCACAACTATGCTGGCAGCGCCGATGAAATGAGCCATTTATCGGTAAGGACGGATTTACCCACTGCAGATAAACATGTCGAGCCATCACCCAGGCATATCGAAGATAACTCTTCTATGTTTGAATTTTCCATCTTGTACAATCAATGGACACAAATTTCACAGATGAGGAATCAAGTACAAGCACTTCGCTTCAAACTTCAAATCAAGCGCCGTGAACTACGTATTCTACAAAGAGAGAGATCTCTTGCAGAAGATGCATATTTTAAACAAGTTCAAATGAGGGAGTTGAATATGCCCTTTCCCCGCGCATGGTGGTCTGAAAAGAGTATTGCAGAGTTACTGAATGATTCCCAAAAAGCCAGAAATGAATATGGTTCCATGGAAGATGAATACATTCAGATTGAGAATGATCTAGACTCGCAAGAATGGGAACTTTCACAACAGGAAAATTATTTTTACAGTCAGCTGCAAGACCCTTCACGGTTTTTTCGCCGACCAATAGAGTTCGAATATGCAGCGAAATCACAGGAGGAGCCGGAGCATTTCGAACCCCATCCGTTAGTGGACTCATATCTTCTGAAGCTCGGAGGTCTTGAGAACCTACGTGAAAGCTTCGATGAGATCTTGGATGAGAAGTTAGACCTCGAAGAACAACTAGCTGTTAGAAAGCGGTTCAATATGACCCTTATGCCCGAAGATCAGCAATGGCTTGATAGCTCTCAATCTCAATTGGATGATTTGGCCTCCAAGATTCAAGTTGCGGAGACGGAGGAGAGAGAATTGCGACAGCAGTGCTTTTCATTGGGCCTTATAGATGAAAATGGCGAGCCAATAGAGCCATCAAAACACGGGCAACATAGTTTGTCGACGGATACAGATCCAGAAACACTCGAGAATCCTCGAGAAAGTGTTCAAATTCTTTCACTATTGCCTCCAGGGCCGAGCGATATGGAGATTGGCATAAAGGCATTAGACTTTGATCACAACTACTCATCACGAAATGAGCGCTTTGACCGATGGTCACTAGAAAAGCTCCAGGTTTCTCTTCTCGAGATCAATATCTATGCAAATTGCTTCGAAAATTTCGATGATTTGACAGATTTAAGCAAACTGAAGGAAAGGGTCCACGACGACGATTTTGTTACTGCCTGGTTTTCCGACGGCTTCACGGATAGTGCACCAAGATCTAAGGGCTTTACATCCATTCATTCAACTCCACAGCACATTCCTCGTGCAGATTTAAGTAGCAAAGTTTCTCCGTCTGATTTTGTCTTTTCTAAAGGCTCACCTCATAGTGAATCTGATCATTCAGATACCGCTGAGGGGGAATGATAACGTGTGCTGTACCACTTTCAGATAATGTTTCCACTGGAATCGCTGGGAGATTTATTTTGGCGCTTAGAATCAAAGGCTGCCACTTTCAACAAGCATTGTTTGTGTTTATGTTTATTTACTTCCCTTCCCTTCTCCCAGGAGACTTGTATCGATAATGAAAGGCCTTGGCATGGACATTTAAAAAGGTCGCTTTCCCAGGATATTTTTTTGTTGGAAGTTTTTGTTTGTTATTTTGTTTGCACGACTCGTTTTCTAAGCTTTGCTCTTCCAAGTTTCTATTCACCTCAACAAATAATGGTCTCTTTTAGCCAATTCTATCGGAGTACTCTCTCTAAGTTCTTCCTTTGCAATGGTGCCCAGTGAAATATCCAATGATACCAGTTTCTCTGTTGGTAAGTGGTTGAATTCAACTCTGCTTTGCCTTTAGTCTGACATGAATGCGCTATATTGGTCAGGAATAATAACCGACAGCCTATTGCTTAAGCCTAAGCCTTAAATATCTTTTCAGCTTTGTGTGCCACTAACCGAGCCAACTGAACCCACTTGAAGAAATAATCAGCACCTGGCTAAAGTAAAGTAAGCAGTAAGCACGGCAAACTGCATATACGTTTTCACAGGATAACCCTGTCAGATGGAATTTCTATACAACACTGAAGAAAATCTTCGTCTTACCACATTGAATGAAACATCAGTCTATGGACTTCCCCATCTTACGCACACAGCATACGCAGTATACTCGTGGGAAATATCAGCTAATACTAGCTTCCCCACCCGGGCCGTTCCATAGCTTTGTCTCACAAAATTACACACGATGCATTTATCCAAATCAAGTAGGGTGTAATTAGTATAGGCATCATTAGGCAAGTATAGGCATTATTAGGCACAACTAGGCAATATTAATTAATGATCACTAATCGACTAAATACCCATTAATAATCAAATTATCATGATTCAAAATCTCGTACAAAACGCGAAAAGTATCAAATAATACATTCACATGTGATTAAAGAAAATTCGCACATCCAATAGAGCCATGCAGATTATTTCAAACAAGGCTGCATAATGCTGCTTTAAAAACTCACAAGGCGTAAGTGCACATGCGTATAAGGCTGAGGCACAGAACGTGGTACAGGCGGTGAGAAGTCCCCTCTCCTAGGCGCTTTGTTGATGTCAGTTTTTTGAACGTTGTGGATGGGAGTTGGAAAGACGTTGAAAATGAGGATGCTTGGAGGTTAGATGCATTACCTCAGATGTGAAATGCAGTATTGCCCGAAACTTACGGACGGTTTATGTCTTGGGGCCTGATGAGATGTGGTGCGCACGTGGGATCAGGTGAGTGGTTGGGAGAAATGGCCGCGAGGAAGCCCTGTGTTCGCTTAGAGGTCGCCTGAGTTTGGAATATGGTCTTGATTCGTTTCTATCTGCTTATAATTTTGTGTTAGGCTTTGATTAGATTTCTGGACTTTGAGTACAAGCGGCGTGTTGATTCCCTTTGGGTTTTCATTCTTTGATTAGCGTGTCACGCTGAAGTACGATCAATTTGCTTAGCGATCATTTGCTTTAAGGGGCATTATTGAGTCACAGTTAGGTTCCATTGAGTCTTAAGCCTATCGAAATGTAGCCTCAAATATCCAAAGAAACGTGCAGCATCAATCGTAACGTCGTTAAAAATGAGTTCAAAAACAGTGGAGAGTTACCTCCAGTTCAGAGAGAGGGAAAATATGCGCTATCACTCAGTGAAACGTATATACCCTGGGCTTTCAGCCATTTTTAAAATCCGATATAAAACCTTATATAGAAGAAACAAATCAAGAAACGAAATTTGAAGCAAAACCATGCAGCAAACTGTTGGAACGTAGGCGCAGCTATCAGGGGCCGAGGAAAAAAAAGAGGAAGCTCGTGGCGCGGATGGGCATTTCTGCCGCGCATGAGAGAACTTTTCGTGTATGTAATAGCTCAACGTATTAAGTTGATTCAATATGAGCCAGGTTCTCGTTTGAAGCATTTAATGACGTCCGGCTTCACGACTCTCACGATCGTTGTGATACCTGCTACGACGGCTGGAGGACTGATAGGATGAATTTGCAGGTGGACGATGCCGACGTGGCCGCTGTGAACTGACTGGACTGGCGGATTGATTATACCCATATGATAGCGAGTTCATTGACTCTCTAGCCACCTTCCCGATATTCAACACGCGGACATAATGTTCTACAGTATAGACTTTGCTGTAGTTCAAGCGGCTAAATTTATTTAGCTCGCCTTCGCGATCACTGCTTTCGCTCATGACCCGAATTGGGTCTAAGATGAGGTTCTCCATTTCCACGGTGCCGTTTTTTGATATGCAAGAGTGTTGTCGTGGAACATATGATGTGGTATGTATGATCGTATGCCGTTCGGGTAGGGGAAGATTGGGTTTGAGTGTCGCTTGATTGGAGTATGTGTGTATAGGACTATTAGGTTATTAGATCAGTCAGTCAATATATTGCATGCACAATGTAGGTGATACAAACCAGCAAATAGAACTTCCATGTTGCTTCAACACCACTACAAATCGTCGTATTTCACTATATGCTTGTTGTCCAAGGTATGTAGTACTGAAGTGCGAGCCGTTGCGTGTTCCTCCCTGTGCTGGTACTTTTGGCTGCGCTGGCTCAGTCCACAATACCATAAATACACGACCCACGATCCAAAAATCATTTTCCCGGAGACCGGCATGCACCTGATATCCTTACAGTTGTCATTGGTTGGCGAATTTTGAAGGTTGAATTCTGTGGACTCACTGGGATCTAGAGTTCCTGTATTGTCTGTATTTGGTCCGCTGGAGATGTACCTTGTACCTGAAGGTTGCTGCTGAGCTATCTGCGAGTCGACGTGATCTACTCAATTCTTAGTGAGGCCTGATCATCAAAGCACGACTAGGCATAATACTTGATGGCACAGTTTGCGGTGTCATCAATGACATGGAATTCATTCCACTTATTGTAGCATTGAAAGATGATGAAGCCACCCCTCCGGTCGGCAGCCATGTAACATTATTAGCAGATGGATATTGAAAAGACCTAGCAGTGTTGAAAGTGTTTGTGGGAGGAAGTGTATCATAATTTTGACTTAAAGAATTTGAAGAGTCGTAGTGATGATTTATCGGAGCCGGAAAATTGTAAGATGGCATCGGATTTGCATTATTCCAACCGCTAATTTCCCTCGTCTGTGAGGTCGTATACACGTTATTTCTTGCCGCGATTGGTGATGAATAAGAATAATGCTGATTAGACGCAACACTTGTGCCAGTAGGACCCGGTGTTCTCGGCATAGATGATGAGTTTTCAGGCTCAGGGTAACCATATGTTATGGTTTCCTGGACACCAGCTGGACCCGTCCGGTAGGATGAATAGTAGCGGCTGTCATTCAAGGCCCATTCACTCCCAGAGTTTATTTGGTCAGGCCCTCCCACTCTGCCTTCATACTGAGACATAATGATTGATTTGCTTATCGGTCATAGCTGCATCTGAAAATTACCTGTATTTCTCCGGGTCAACGTGGAGCTTTTATGTTGAAAATGCACAAATGCGACTCCGCGCACAATGAAGAACCTCGTTAAAAAGCCATTCGCCAGTAATGATCCCACGTTTTGGCAAAATCTAAGTTGAGAAAGAAAATTGTTCAATTTGTCGAGATTCTGTGTCGCCGCATCGGTATCGGTTGTGCCGTTGAAAGCTTACACAACTTGCCAACGCAAACCTTTATTAGCAGTTGCATAGATTGGGGAATATGGTGAAATCCATTCGACGTTACAAATGAGGCCAAAATCAAGGAGCCTAGTTTCACAAAAAAATGTTTAGCACACGCTGCTTTTGCTCTGCAGCTCGGACAGGCATGCAGACCCTTATATACGGTATATGCATTTAACTTTTGCGAAGTTGCGACCGGGCTGCGTAGAATGATGGCAAACAGAGGCTCAGTATTTCGAAAATTGCACACCACTCTGTGTAATCCCAGTTACAGTTGATTTCTCCAAGCTGTGACTTCTGAAAGCTCGATAATTTAGCGATGTCATATAAAATTCATTGAAATGAAACTCACATGGAAACCATACTTGACACTTCGTGAAGCGTTCGCGCTACACAACCACTGAATTAATATGAAGTCTTTACTGGTAAAAGATATCCCATCTATAATTAATTATGGGTTTTAAGCACGGAGCCTGGCTAACGTTAATCGCAGGCGTCTCTCTTCGGGAGATTCAGCAAGTCCAAGAATTCGAAGGAGACAAGTCATCAAAACCGAAGAGCTTGCCTCTTGCGTTCTGAGCCGACCATTGAAAGACCTTCACAAGTATTGGAAAATGGGGAAGAAATCAATCGGGACGGGGATGATGTATATATATGTCCGGATGTACTCGGCGAGAGTAGTAGTGATGGCAAAAGTGCATACCGAGCCGAAAGAACTAAATCTCGCTTGGAGGAGCTACTGCAGGGAATACCAAGAATTAAAGAATTGCAATGGCGAGTGGTTGCGGCACAAATTCAAGCTAGACAAAAAATGAGAGAAGTGGGATTCAAACGATCGGCTGTTTCACGAGCCGATGCTAGCTTCATGAAAGAACTTCAACGACTCAAAGCAGAGGGACAGCTTGAAGCATTTGACCAACTGACCAGGCTTGCAGATGCCTGCCAGTCAGCACGTGATGGACTTGGTCCTTTGGAAGATGAGGGCATGGAAGCGCAACGCGAGTTTGAGGGGGAGATGTGGGATTTGAGACAGGCAGAAGACGCACTTTTCGAGAATTTTTCATCCGATCCCGGAGAGGTTTTCGAGGAGTCCTCAGTGGCTTCAAGTTCGAGCTCAGCACACAATATCCTGGGTATTCCCTCGCCTGCCATAGTAAACAATCCTGAATTACGAGGTAAAAAAAATGGAGACAGAAGAGGAAAGCTTGGATCTCCCATATTCACCACGAGTGACTTTGAGAGACATCAGAATTGTCCCAATTCTCTACCGCCTGTCAACAAGACATCAAGGAAAGCGTCGGATTTAGATGATTTGCAAATGTTGGGCAATGGTAATGGATGTCAAAAACAACATGGTGCCCCTATTTGTTTTGAGCACTCAGTAGTATCATCATCGAGCATACCTTTTCCGATGCAGGAATCAATCTCATCTCAGGAGAGGAGCAATGAAGAAGAGAAGGATACATTATTACTGGGTCTAGAAACTCAAGGGGCTTTAGGGCACCAAGAAATACATTACGAGCCTATGCTGTCATTAGAGCCGGCAGTTATCGACAATGTTGATGACGAATTTCAAGAATGTGAGTCAGCGGTGGGATCAGATTCTGGATTTACTAACCTGGATATGGTTGACGACGACTATTTGACTGCGGTTCCTACGAAACGACAATCAAGTACAGAGTCTTTTCCCAAATTGCTAACGAATTTTGGTACACGGCGCGATCGAATAAATAAATGGCTGCTACATACGATGCTTATCTCCAAATCAGAAGCAAATCTTATTGGGCTACAACTGCAGAAAGAAACTGACTCATCACCATCCCCATGGGCGCAATTGATCGTTGCTTTTTTTGAATTTGATTATAATACTTCCAAACCTACCGACAAGACGGTTTCAATGGATACGAGGGCGGTGGAAGGGATTGATATGCACGATATCTTGATGACATCTCGATTCAATACATCAAAGAATCAGGAGTCTTCAGGTAACAGAAAACAAGACACGACAAGCAAATTATGTCCTGTTTCAATTCCTAAGACTATCACCGAAAATACCGCAACCACGCCTAATGAACATCTATGTACCATCAAAAATCCCGAAACTCACAACATAATGGCGAACCAATCGATCTCTGAAGAAGTGTTGTCGCAACTAGAACTGCCCGATTCAACTTCATCCAGTATTGATGTATTGAATCACCAACACCAACCTACTGGATTCAAAATACAAGATACGATAATCCCAAGAGGAAAGGCCAATTTGATGTTAGACGAGCTTTATGAGGACAGCCCAACAAGCAAAGATGGACTACAAAGTAGGAGGGAAAGGGAAGGGGAAGATGGAGTGGCAAAAGATACATAAAATCTAGCAATAAGAGATGTCATGGAAAAGCTAGCCAAGAAATCTCTAGCTACGGCAGGAATGCCCATGTATTCTTCTTCCTGCAGGAGCAATCAGTCCGCAATTGGAACAATTTTCTAAAAGTGGCAAGTATCTCAGATATTGGGGGTTGTAGGGTGGTCATCTGAACACTTTTTCACGCACAATGATTGGGGAAGCGAGTAATCAATGAAATTAAAGTTGTGATTTCAGATTAACAAGATTATTTTTCCATTTTATCCCATTTTATCCCCGGACCGTGCCGCATGTGAAGAACGGAACCCAGCATGCAAATTCTTTAGACCCCCACCTCATAACAAGCCAGGAGTACGAAACTGAACGTGCAGTAATTCGAATGTCACACATCACCTGTTTTTATTCTCAAATGCTATACTGAATTCGATTTTCTGGTGATATCAGAGTAATTTACAATAACCAAAGTCACCGATAATGCAGCGAGAGATTTGGTGACCCTGTCCAACGCCCATGCTGCAGACGTACTACTAATGCAAAGGAATCCCAAAAATACTGAAATCGATCAATTTTCAAAAATAGACAATCTCAACTGACATTAAATATGCGCATGGATATCATATCTTGATTAGCGAAGATGCGACTCCGTTATGAGAAATGATAGATGCTAAGCAACCTTTCTACTGCAAACATCCATCAATCTTCAATTGCAACAAAGCTGTGAATTTTCGAACTTCACCGTAATACTCCAGTGAGCTTATTTCATGGTTACATCTAATCTCCATCTACTGTAACTACGGATCATAATGTCTTTCTGCACCTAGTCGTGCGGGAATGCAGCTATATCTAAGGGTCGCATCTCCTGTTTAGGATAAGATCATCTGATAAGTACTACCCTATCCCAAGGCTTTTCGTGCAAATGGCCAGCTGTGCTCACTGCAATCGTAAGGTTAATCTTGGCTCCAAAAATAATCTTCAAGGCTGATGTATGCATAATCTGTGCTGAAAAGCAGCCTCATTTTTGGAAACAAAAGAATCCTAGCTTTGGTTCTTGCAAAACTTCAATCATAGTTGGTGGCTTGCGGGACTAGCTTGATAGTGCTGAGGTTACGCGAATAAGCTAAAAATCAGGGGTGACCTTATCCTTATAATTGCGACATCGTATCTCACACTAGTTAGTATTAATTCCATCTCGAGCCATCCCTCTAGAAATCAAGCAAATGTAGCAATTTAGATTTAAATTTTTTTGGTAGCCTTGGATGTCAGGGGCCTAGTTTCCCCCAGTATAAGTTCATTCAAATTTTAGTCTTGAGCCAGAAATCTTTATTGTTTGTAAGTACTCGAGTAGATTCTAGGGGTACGTGACATTTTGCTACGTGACATATCACTGAGTGACTAGAACCCTACATTATACACCCAATTTTTATTCTATCAGCACATTACCCAGTTTGCAGCAAATAAAAATCTATTTCAGACCAGGAAACTGGTTCCAGAATGGTGCAATATCAAATAGGAGCGCCTGCTCGCAAGCACCCCCAGATATCTAATATCACAGCTCCGCGTTACAACATATCTAGAAGTATTACAACAGTAACATTTGCCCTACTCGTCAGATCATGCAAATTAAAGTCAGCTTCATCCAGTTCAGATATAGACTGACATGCGACTTTATGGTTTAAGTCTACCTGACTTGGAGCGATCATTAGAGTTGCACACGGTCGTTTCATAGCATCAAGGCCTTCTTTTCTAATAAGCATATGTGTATAACCATCTAACACTATGCGCGACGGGTATCAGCAGGTTATTTTGCGTAGTTTTATGGGAGATTTTGCTTCCTAGACTGTATCTTTTGGCGCGGTGTTTGATTCAAATTGCTGCAGAAATAAGGGACTAACCCACAGCTTGTGTGAAAGTACAATGTTGGCAATTGTGGCATTCTCTGATTCCTTTGTCAACTCAAATTGGTATGTGATTCTTCAAATCGGCTTTTGGTTGGCGTGCATTAATTACGTGTGGCTTGTATACAATGAAGATTAGTGAGTAAGTAAAAAGCGCCACTTACACATGACGAAGAACAGATGTTATATTAGTTTAAGCTTCTAGACTTTATTGTCCAACTTTTTGCATATATAATTGGTATTACTTTTTATCTATGCGATCAATATGTGACAGTATCGTCGATTGCAGTTTGGGCCTCTATACATTAGCGCAATAGGCCTAAGGGTATACGAGAAATGATAAAAGAATTAAGTCAGGAATGGATGTGGAAGGGAAAATATTCCCCCTTCTAGATGAAATAAGAGGCAGGAATAGTTTGAAAATGCACAAGCAGTGCATAGCAACCATTAATTTTTAGATTTGGAGCGTTGATGCATCAAATAAGCTTAGTTTTATCTTAGATATCATTTGATGTGCTTCGACAGAAATTTAGATGGATTAGAAAACTTGAGAGAGCCGTGATGTCGCTGGTTGTGAGATAGACATGGAACATTTGGTAGCCTGAAAATGTTTCAGTGGCTCAGAATAATTCCAGGGGTCAAATTAAGTTTTGTTAGATTCAGAGTAAAAGCAGCGGAAATTGAGAATAGTACATGAGTTTCTGAGAACTCCCATACATCAACTGCTAGTCAGCTGTACAATCACCAGAGTCGTTTACATCGACAAAATGTGAAATGTCGTCGGAGTAAAAGTCCGCTTCGTCTAACCTTTGAGCCTCAACATCTGGTTGTAGAACAACGAGATAAACCCGAGATATCGGGTCAAGTGAGTCACAAGATCAATGGCTAGAAGCAGATGAGCGCTCCGAGCCTCTTCCTATAGCAGTGGCTGCAGGAAATTTGAGCTGTACACCAATCACGATTTAGTCCCAATCTGTTGTGCCAAACTTTTGGGTCTGGCAACGTCGTGGAGATGAACATTTTATGCGACATGTGATGTGGCGACATTCATTTTGTGCGATTTCTAGCTATATGGTGCCAATTAGCAGATAGAACTCGCTTCCAATGGATGAAGAAATCAATGCTTTGCACGTTGGGCTTTGTCCACGATCTAAAAAGCGACCTTGGCACCACAAAACCCTTGAATGAAGGTAAAATGACAACAACCTTCTGCCTGCAAGATTTGAACTAGAAATCTGGCATAGCAGGCACTAGGAGACATAGGTTGCGACAGGTATCGAGTTTGATGACAGAATCGTCAAGACCTCACTTAAAGTGGACAGGAAAGATATTCTTTTGTTATCATCAATCTTTGCTGGTCCGCAGTACCGTAAGGGCTGGAATGGACATAGGACTGACAAGTAACTGACTCGCCTCGTAAGCTTCCCAGCGTCTTCTTTGCTGCTCTGCAATAGTAGATAGATATACTCATTGTAGAAAAATGATAAATTAAAGGTACTTCTGCCGCGGAGAAAGAATTATTGCGACGATTGCACACATCAATGAGGCATCACAACCCCTCATCCCACGAAACAGACATATTGAACAGATTAGATTTCGTCTGAGTGGTCGAAAAAGTGTCCAATTGAGCTATCGAAATGGCTGCTGCTGAGTGCAACGACAGCAGGCTCAGACAACACGAGATTGTGAAGGTTGGCTACAGAACGTCTGAAGATGGGATAGGTAGAGTAACTCCTCCAACTAACTCTGTGATGATGGTTCGATTCTGTGATTCTTGGCGTCAAGGCAGAACTTTGAATCTCAGCGCGTAGATATACCCTGGTGATCCCCCTATGTTGAGATGGAGCCACAACAGTGTGAATAACTGAATGTGCAACAGGCTTAGCATGCTTCAAAAACTTGTTTCTTCTTCTTTTCTCGTGTCCCAATCTAAGGAGATTCGGTCCAGATGTCTTTTTTTTTTTGTTTAGATGCAGAAAAACTAAACCTCGGTGCGCTGGTGTGATAAGGCGGCGATAAGCAAGGGACTTTTTCGGCCCCTGTCAGCTTACCACTCCCACCTCCTAAAATCCTTCAAGTGCCTATTATAGGTAACACTCCCCAATGCATCTCGATATCCGTAGACGACACGTGTTTGCTAGATCTACGATTAGTTGAACCATTATGACGGGAGAGAGGGCCACAAGAGGGACCATCTGTCGTTGAACCTTCTGCAAGGCTACCAATGCACCTAGGCCTCACTAGAACTTCACAGACGATGAAGGTCAGGTGTATATCTTATAGATCATTACAAAAATCCTTCAAAATCTATAAATGATCATAGAATCGAGTAATCATATACTGCGCATGCCACCATTATTAAACCTGAAACTCCCTATTTCTTACTGTAGCTATTTATTGCGCGCTGCCCCCATTATCCTAGTTGGAATACATGGAATGGCATCCTTCCGGGTAGATTGCCCTCCATTGGAAGCTTCATATAGATTTCTACAGGAGTTTTTCGTCTCTGTTATCAAATCTTCTCTCTGTGCCACGCACAGCTGTGAGCGGCGCAGATTCTACCCCGCCTTAGTAATATGTATGTCGCATGCTAAATGATGAGCGACTTCGTAAATTTTGTTTGTTCCAATTCATATCATCACTTCCATTGGCAGCGTGAGTTGAGAGTTGTCACATATAGACGTATTACCCTCCGATCTGTCTCAACGTCTCTTCTTTTGACCAACGATTTTACGTATTTTGATGCTGTCAGATTCCTGATGATTAATGATATAGAAACCTGAGTTGGGAAAATGTACAATGACCGTCAAGAGGGCACTTTACGATTTCCGGAAGTTTTAAGAGGAGACTTTGATGAGATTCAATTAAGAGAAATACCACCAACTCCAATTGAATCAAGTTTCGATGTTGAAAGGATACCGAGGAAAAGAGCAAATTCAGCAGTTTCAGCAGTTTCCGAGCTCTCAACACTATCAGTAACAACAGATTCTGAGTATCCTGTGAGGGAAGGTTCACCATTGCGAAGTTTTTCTAAGGCTAGGGGACGGAGCCTTTCGAATGAATCGAGGTATTCAATTTTTCCCGTCGAGGCACCAAGACGCAAGTCGACTGCTTCTACGAAGACAACAAGAATCACTAGAGAGAGGGCGACTTCTATCGCAGCATCAGAATGTTCAACCACTCTCCATGTACCCGGACACTTGGAGATTGGAGCTTCAGGAGCCTCAAGAGCTTCGAGATCCAGCTCTAGCCCTAGTCCACCTTCAAGGTTGCCCTCAAGGTCGAGGGGATATTCGAATCCAGAATATAATAGGACGATTAGTCTTGAAGTACCAGCACAAACAGGCACAATTTCATCGAGACCGAGGGGATTTTCTCATTCTGATTCTCTGACCTCAGCGCGAACATCTATTAGTCGAGATTTTGGCGATCACAGAAGTCTTCTCAATATGGGACATCTACCACCTGCTGTTTCTGAGAATGATCTGATGGCACAATTTGAGGACTATGTAGAGTAAGAATGTCTTATTCAACAGGGAAGAAGGATTAATAACATATTCTAGTGCAATCGACGAGGTCCCAGCGAAAAGGATAACTCTAAGGCGAGTCGCAGCTCCAGCAAAGAAGAAGGAAAGGTGGATGCAGTTGGTTTTTTCTTTTCAGAATCCTTCGCGGGAAAAGCCGAACAAATCGGAAGAGGAGACCAAAGGTCCTGATGAAGCTGGAGCTCATCACTGGAAAAGCCAATCTTCCGTTTTAACAGCCCTTATGGGTTCCGTGCTTGTCGTATATATAGTATTTGTAATCTGGGCATCGCAAAGGTCAGGAAAAGGCACAAATATCGGAACCATATACGATGGAAGCTGCTCCATGGTCAACGCGACAAACCTTGGCTTACACATACTAATCAATATAATGGGTATGGTTGTCTCCATGGCAAGTGCTTGTGCTCTCTATTTTTTAAGCTCCCCAACGAGAGATGAAATAGATGAAGCTCATGCAAAAGGAAATAGCCTTGACATTGGAGTGTTAAGTTTACGCAACTTGAAAGGTTTGAAGAAGAAAATCTTGTTTGGGCTCTTACTGATTTCTTCTGTACCCATGCATCTTTTGTTAGTTATTAATCTATGTCGTCCACCTTTTACCTGTCGCTAACAGGTAGCAGTTCAAATTCTGTGGTATTTGGATCTAATTTGGAAGTCGACTACGACGTGGTTATAGTCAGTCCGCAATTCCTAGTCCAGTCAACGGTAGACTGTTCGCAGGATGTCGCGGCAACATGCGGCGAAATTGATAATCACCCCATATTATGTGAAACGCATCCTCTTAACTTTACTAAATCCAACGATTCAAAGGATCTTTGCAATACCTCCATGGTTTTACATGAAAGTGCCACTCAAAACAACCTTCGGCGCCTCAATACAACGGATTGTCTCACGGCTTACTCAACCCTTTCAAATCCGTCCTCAAATTATGGCAATGTTTTGGTAGTAACTAAAAACCAGCCACTATTCACCAACAATACCATTCTCCTCGCATTCCATCATATAACCTACTCTTCCGTCCTCAGCGGTCATGGATGGACTTGTGGCCCCGAAGATCCTTTACCAGGGCAGAGTACATGTGATATTCCTAATCTAATCCTCAATGCCGATATCTGGACACTTGGGCCTTCACAAATCCCAACCACTTCCAACTCGACATCGCTGAAGTCTTACGAAAGATGGGAAATTGATTATTGTCTCGCCGAGACCTTGCCAGATCAGCCCATGTGTAAGCTACAGTATAGTCGCCTAATATTGTTATGTGTAATTATCGCATGTGCGGTGAAATTTATCTGCATAGTATTTATAGCAGTCACTATGAACCGGCTAGTTCTTTCGACGGTTAAAGATGCCGTCATCTCGTTTCAAGGACGTACCGATGCGGTGACATCAAATAGAAATTTCATCCATCGCGACTCAGCATGGAAATCCAAAGATGGACTATTGATTCTAGAACCGAAAGTGGAGGGAAGACCCAGGAACTTGCGGTGGTTTCATGGAGCGAGCTTGCCACTGTGGATTGCTACTCTCTTCTTGTAGGTAAACTCCTAACTGAATGAAAGATTATCTAACCACATATATAGAAGCAGCGTTCTTCTAGCGATCCCGCTCATTCTCCTCACCATCGCCACAGTCCCTATTCCCAATCCCTATTCAATCAGCCTTGGAAGCTATTCGCCTCTCGCAATCATAAACATTTTTCCCTGGTCTAGCAAATCTTTTGTTCCTGTTGCCCAGATAACAAACACGCAACTCTTTCGAACAGTTCTCCTCGCCAATCTTCCCCAATTCGCAGTTTCAATTTTATTATTTCTATTCGCACAAGTATACACCCGTATGCTATCTGCAAATACATTTTCATGCCTCACGAACCCTTCTCCGAGCTTGAAGTCCAGAAAAATCATGGGATTTTCATGTGCATATCTCTATATCTCCACACAAGCAGTTTTGGGAACAATTCTTCATTTTCTTGTATCTCAAGCCCTATTCATACATCATGTAGAAGTTGTGGGAATTGATGGAGCTAAACAGCCTTTCGAGTATTTGGACTTGGGATACAATCCTCTGGGTATCTTAGTATCATTAGTGTTTGGTGTATAATGGTTGGGACTTTGATCGCGACCGGTTTGTGGAGATTGAGTGGTGGGCAATTGGTTGGAAGTGGAAGTATGGAGATTGCGGCAGCTTGTAAGGATAGATGATGAAAAAATGAAATGCTAAGCTGGGTTCGGACATAATGATGGCGTTTCATGTACTATATTTGGAAGGGGTAAAAAGGTGCACTGTCTTCAAGACGTGGCATGAGGAGTCTGTGTATGATGATGATATTCAAGTGTATATTTTTTTTCTTCTGTATATAAGTTTTAGCTAGACCCTTTTCGAACTATGACGACAACTGTACATTGACTCTTTTCGATTCTCGGTTGTGATACTTGGGAAATGATCTCCGTGACAGATGCTTGAGTGTGCATATATAATATCCACAATACCACGCAATTTAAAGGCGAATACGGATCATTAACCACTATAAGATTTTAGCAGCCTCGTCTCAAACTCCGATCTGTCCCTGCTTTAAATGTATATATTTCCAGAGAGTAAACCATGGCCAAGGCTCAGCGCTCACCGGACCACTGCCTTCCAAAATTTCCATATCCGAATTCGAACATAGATTCATCTTTTCAACCCCCGAAAAATCACGGCCCTATTTTTCAGATATCGAAATATTATATATCAAAAAATACAAATCTCTACATAAAGATTGTGAAATAACGCCGACAGTTCTCACCTCGTACGATATGCTAATGTGCATCTAATTGTAGGAAATGGGAGAGTGCAGTGCAACCCTTGTTTAAACTTACTTCCAAGCAGGCTTCAACCAGAGCTGCGTTTACGAAATGCTGTGTTCGTGAAAGATGATGCATGATTCCGCGGCCGATAGCCTGATTACTCGAAATATTGGTTACTCGAAAGCCTGATTACTCAAAAGCCTTATCACTCGATCTCATAAGCCTGGTAGTATTTCAAGGTTTGGGGAAGCCGTGATGTCTTTGGACTGGATATCGCTCGATTTTAACGGCGAAAGCAGGTATTGTATTATCATCTACCCTAAAGATATCTATCTTTCTGGAAGTCCCTTCAACCTCGACTTCCGAGCTTTCATATTTGCATTCATAAGATATCAACTTGGACGAACTCCGCTATGTCAGGCTGATGTGTGTACCCAAGCAAGGAACTTCTAAGTTGGACCCATTCATTTTATGGTAACCAGCCAATCAACCAGCAGATTGTTTACTGTCTGAATACTGTCGGGATCCTGTCGGGATCCGTATTGCATGCGGCCACGTTGGATAGATTCTGCTAGAAAAGGCGCAGTTTACCTGTTGATGAAGCATAAACAACATCATAATTGGCTCTTACCACTCGTGATTAGTGAAATAACTGATTAGTGGCGGTTTTGATTCTGGCTGAGTGCAGTGACTGCTTTTTGTTGGTTGAATGCTCATAGATGTGGTTGCGTTCATATACGGGAAACTTTCGATACGACAAATGCTTTAATATATGTTAGGGGTTGCCTTCGAGTACTCCATGAGGCTGCAACTTTCAAACTTCTCAGTTCCTACAATATAGGGACTAATCGTCGAAATTTCCAAACTATTTTTATTCTTTTGCTAGGTCGTGGTTGCTCCATCAATCCTCTTTTAGAACTAAATGATAGCTCACCGCCCGTTGCCACTCTAGTGCAGCCTTTTTCGGATTAGCTTACAGTGTTTTTGACTAGTGTATCATGTCCACCGAACATCGTAGGCCGGAAAACTATTCGGCAGCTTCAGATAAGAGGACCTCTACGTCTTCAATCAACTCTCGAAGTGAATGCGACACTGAAGCAAGCACTAGCCATCTAGTTCCATGTGGCCTGAAAGCTCAAGGCATGATATTTTATCCTACTTTTACTACTCTTGCTAACCATGTGGATAGAAAATGAGATTGATTACGAAAATGAATGCCACGACCGGGAACCAAGTTGGCCTGAGACACCGAAAACGCCACATTCTGACTTTTTAGAGCTGTCTTCTGAGCCAACTCGAGACTTTACATCTCAATTGCACACAGGCAACCGAACAAGCAAGGGCATGGTCGACAAGTTCGCCGAAGGAACTTTCAATGAGACTACTGCTCAGACTTCCTCTAATACAATGACGAGTACACCTGTAGCTGGAGAAGACAGTGAAACGAAGCAGGGACAAATTCAAACGACAGATTTTACGCCATTTTCTGGAACTTTTGATGCCAGTCTGGTGCTAGCAAAGATGAATGATAATAGGAGCTAATAGTGAATAGTGTATCAAGTTCATAGAAGCGAGGAGTTCCAAGTCGGACGAGTGCGTAATAACCTACGCTTTTTATCCGAGAAAAGCTAACCAAGTAGATTTTCAAAACTCTGGAACCCCTAATTGAAGAAGCTCCTGGCTATGCTGCTAGGGCACGACAGTTTTTTAATTATTAAAAAAAATGAGGGTTATAGTCTTCGTCTGTAAGTCCGCAACCTCCTAACCGTTTATGTGACAATATAACAAGACATGTAATGTTGAGTAAGGCTGGCCTTAGTCCCATCAGTACATATAGTGGCGAAGGTACGAAAGGAAAAGGCGTTGATGGCAAACAGCATGCAATTATATATAGCAATCAACCTACCATAATTGAAGGAGAAAAAGAGAATGGATTGAATAAGCGAGCAATTAGAGTTATACCCGATGGTCCACGAGGAGTACTCGATACAATGTCTGGGCTAAATTACGCAGAGCTTCACAAAGTTCAACATCACGAGAGGGTATTGTTTATGGGAAGGCTGGCAAAAGAGTCAGAGTTTGATGTAGCCGCCGAAAGTGGTGTTTTTGGCATTCCATCTAGTCTTGGAATGCCACCTCCGAGCTCAGCAGCATCCAGCAACAGCGATAGGGATATACATTTTCTGTCAAATTATTGTAGCCAAGATCAAGCAGCCGAATCAATTGGTAGTAGTCTGCCATCGACATTACCTTATCCCATGGATATTCCAAAGAGAGGATCTGCTGAGTTCAATGGATTGGTAGATGCGCCCTTCGATGTGGCGAAAAGTCTTGCAGATTTGCTATGCTCTGATGAGGATTTCCGATCACTTTTTCGCGAAGCTACGTCCAATGACTCACCCACAGATTCCATGTTCGTGGGCATAATTCAACAAATTACATTGAAATTTTCAGAGAATTTGCGTGCTGAAGGAACGACATCTGGGATAATTCGTGCTGCAGGATACATCAAGGATTTCTCACTAGTGGTTGCTCTACTGTCGCATGATATGCTCGAACCCACACAAAAACTACCAGCTTTCCTAGCCACCCGAAAAGCACAAATAGAATATCTAGAACAAAAAGATCGAATGTTCGAAATTGACTTGGATACCTTGGAGAGTCTGTCCACACCTGAATTTATCAATACTCATGAATCTGACGATATTGGTGAAATAATCAAGAAAACGGCCTCTTGGAAGCTGTTATTGGAAGATATCAAACCTTTATTGAACTATATCCCAGTAAAAAGGGTGTTATTTTCTATCTGGCCCTTCAACATTCCCAGAGACACGCAACATTGCATCAGTTATGTGGTACGATGGGAAATTTCGAGATATATCAGCAGGAACTTTCCCGATGATCAATCAATTAGAGATATCTTAACACTTACAGCAGACACTAGTGGCACTATAGCACAAAGTTGCCGAGAGTATCTGCAGTCAACTTTTCAAGAAATTGGCTTATATGTCCTAGGGGCGGTTGAGGCTCGTCTGTGTAACAACTCTTACAATACTGGCAAGTCTGAGCTTATTATGGTAGGCCGTACGCATGCTTCTGACTAAAATGCAGTATCAATTAGGAACGACATCATTACTCTAGATTTGTCATATGATGATATGAATGATAAATCGGTTTTGGACGTGTCAATCACTGCGAGCTACTCCGTCCATGAAAAGGCTACCTTAGCCATATCCTGGCTCTGCGCTGCACTACGGGAACCATCAAATGATTCCACATACTATTTATCTGTTTCGGTCCAAGCCTCCGAGAAAACTTTAGCTGAGGGATCTAATTACAACATGAAAAGTCATCCGAGAGATAGATTCACTGTGACACCTCGCGATCTTTATACCACACTAGATGGCACAGAGTGCTGGCACACGTTGTTCCCTCGCATGGTTGTTGCCCAGGGATTTCCAGTCAGCAAACGCTCCCAAGGTCGGGGCTTAGACATATCATTTGCTGATATGGCGTTAGTAGCTGGGTGCCTGAGCCTGGTGATGTGTGATGGTGGATTGGCTCCGAACGGTTTAAATTCTGTTCTAATTCCAGTCGAAGAGTTATTGGAAGATGATGCGATACAATGGCATTATTGCCAGAAGACCGCCAAATGCTCAAAATCAAGAAGTTCGACATTTGAAATTGTGGAAGAAACTGGAAAATGGCACAAAGAATTGAACCCTGGTCGATTAATAAATCGAAGGTGTTTTCTTAGATGGGTCCCTGAAGCTTCTATTGTAGTTGGCACCAAGAGATATCCCGGCAAGGAAATGAATTGGTCAACGGCAGAGAGAATTCCAGACAGTCGCCAGATTGCGTCTTATGCCTTCACAATGGGAACTTCAGGACTTGATTTTGCAACAGGCAAAGTATCTTTTAGTTTGACCACTTCATCAATGCCATCTAGCATAATCAGCAAGACCGAGAAAGACATACATGAGATTCTGACAGATGGGGAAAATGATACTGTTCTCATGTATGACAGCGAGAAAGAAATTGCGTGGTATCTACCTCAGTCTTGTGTCGTCCTTTTCCTAGTACGAGCGAGGATCACAAATCACCATTGGGAAGTTTTCAAAGGAAATAAAATTACACACTTGGAGCTAGCGGAGCCTGGCTCAGGTGGCTCAGCGGCTAATGAGGCATTGAAAGCGAACCTAAATTTGCATTTGAAAAAGCAGAATTCTCAGCCCGCCGAGCAATACCGTGAGGAAACTGTTGGCAGTCTCATTAAGGCTATTTGGCAAGCCTTAGATGACATTGGCATGGGTTTAAGGTCCGCCCAAAGGGAGTTTTCAAAGGCTAAAGAAGGCCCTCCTAAGTATATCTATGGGGTAGAATATCGGGATACAGTGGATATGAGAAAGGATAAGGACATTAAACGAGTTGCCATTTCTCGACCATGGGCGCACCTTACCAAAGATTACCCCACGGCAATCTTTTGTAGTAACCTTGAACATCCAATTGTACCAGTTCGACCTGAGCGAATCTGTCGGTCATGGAAACTTGTCCCTTCGGGAAAGAATCACCTAGTAATCACCTGCCCTGTTGTGCAACACTATCTGACACAGGGAAGGAAAGGATTTAGCGAGAATGTGGAGTGGAAATTTTACAACTAACTCATCTGCAAGCATGAGTTCGACAAAAAAAGCGCCGTTCGCCATGTTCAAATTCTTCGCAAAACAGACAAGCTTCAGCCAAACAATGGTGTGTTGAGTCTCGTAGCAAAATACCCGAATGGAAGCTTTATATTCAACAAAGGCAAGCTTTCTAAGTGCTGTCCCGAGATTGTTCCTTCACTGGTGGTAGGAGGATCACAAATTTCTGGGTTGAACGGCCAAGATCGCAGAACTAAAATGAATTCAACGCCAGATTCGTCTGCCAGATCCGCCAGATACGAGAACTGTGATTCGCAATGCCCTGCTATGATCGATAGTGGCGACAGACATTCCACCAATGACCTATGTTCTATCTTCGACGGACAGAGCAATGGGTCATCCAGTCCGAGTTTCTGCTCTACGTTTTCTAATGGAATCCTATCCAGCAATATTCAAAACAGGTCTAGCATGATTTCCACGGAAACAAATGAGGGTCCAAAATCTCAAGGCACTTCAAACCCACTTAATTGTCATAGGAGTGTCTCAAGGAAAGAAGGCAACCCTAACCCCCGCAATCAATGCGACACCATTGAACAAGAACTAGGAACAAGGTGAAGAAACCAAAAAAAATCTGAACATATGCAGTGCATTTCTAAATCTGCACTAGTTGCGTGGTACAGCTATCTCAACAATGTAACAAAGAGGGCTCGAGAGTATGAGTCAATATATCCAACATATATGACTCGCGCAGGAAAAGAAAATAAGGAGATTGGGGATTAAATATTATGTATGCGGATGCTGTGGAGTCGTACTACTTGTTTATTGGAATACTGAATGCGAGCGTCAATCTGGAACATGGCCAATCATTTTTGTTTTTCGATGCGAATTCCTGCCACAAGGTTCCTTTTTTTTAAAGTAATGACATCATTTAAATAGTTGACTATATAACAATATTTCCACAGGCCTTTCCAATCTGTATATTTGACCAAGGCTAGACAAAGGGTAGATATACTAGAGTAAGCTAGAGTAAAACTAGTCGAATAGCCATTCTATTGAAGCTCTATAGAATATGATACTATTCTATAAAATACCTCACACACCAAAATACAGCCCGATACTTAAAACATAAAATTCTATACTCGAAAAAGGATAATATGAATCAAAAAATATTGGAATTTCATCTCTGAATTGGATTATTATATAGTTTGGAATTTTATAATCATATGATACAAAATTTTATAAATCATATATTGTATACTTAATCCTATTGATCGATTTGCTTGAGCATTCTTTCAATTTGGGATAGTGATATAAAACAATCATGTGATATTGAACCTGCAATACCTTATCTTATAGAGGTCAAAAAGCTCGGATACAGTACAGATTCCCAGTCGTGTGCTTGGGTTTGATGCCCAGCTTCCCAGTCGGAAGCCAAGTTATTACTGCCCTAACATTTTTTAAAATGGATGCTCATTCCGTCCTTCCCCTTTCACCATATCTTTCTCGTGAGCGTGGCTTATCTCCACTGATTGAAAACAATGTTCTATCGACAGCATCCACCCTCCAAGACATTCATAAAGTAGTTTGGAATCATGCAAAACGGCGGACTGGACCAAGATGGAGACTGCATCCAAAACCAAACCGACGAGCTGAAGTCAAAGATCCGCACTAACGCACATAATCCGCAGCACATTCTAATAGTTGCTCTATCAGTGACAGAACTTCTGGACCGTGTTGCCGGCCAAGTAACCTCCGAAAGAACAACATATATAGTCAAGATAAAATGTGAAACTTCCAAGCTCTACCACAAAACCTCTCGGCATTTGCTAAACTCGACAGAAACTATCTGTCAAGAAGTAACAGCTTTTACGGTACAAGTGTCATCATCGACTGATGACGACGTGGTCGAAACAGGATTATCGTTCATTCAAGGAAGCAAAGAATACTAATACTGCGTGAATCTTCTTCGGAACCAGTTCAAGCGGAAAACTCGGCACAACATGGAAAGATACCCCGCATGTATTTGTCTTCGGCATCGAGCAGTGATGAGGTTTACATGAATTGGGCACGCCGGAGTAACATCTCGACAGAAGGAACGTAACAAATGAATTACACCTCTGGTATTTGTCTACCAGGTATGAGGTCAAACTGCATCACGTAATGAAGGAAATGGAGGTTGGACCTGATCGTTTTAGCCGAGGCGATCAGTTGGCCCCGTTGCACGGTCACTAACCCCAGAATGTCCATTTTATGCTGCCATGAACACAACAACTAAATGTTGTGAAACTGGACTATTAATGATCGTGGAGTACTCTTTTCTGGGGCACATCGCGCACGGTAGACAATTTTTATCAAGTAATAACAAGCCACATGATGTGTGCCACTGCACGCACAGAGTCTCGTAATATAATAACTTTATTTTGCTGTGGCTGACCTGACTGGGAAGGGAGCTAATCTACGGACATGATGTACGACATTTTGCTTTCTGGAAGTCATTTTGGAGGACAGCGATAAAATGTGCATGGTTCGTCAGAATAACGGTCTTCTTTCGTTCGCATTGTGCAATTGAGAGGGCTGGAGAAACGATCTCCATTATTTCAATACCTGCTGTGTAGAAATAGATTCAACTATTTGGGAAATAGGAAATCCAAAAGAGGTTTCTTTCAAAATCGTCGCCACAATTGGATAGGTTATGACCAAATTCGCAAACGTATACAGGTTATACAACAGTGTTATACGAAGTCTATTGCACGATAGATCCTCTAGAGCTTGTGATCGACTTGTATTCTCTGTTAGAGACACCGATTTTACTCGGCGTGTTCTTTCTAATACGTAACTCTACGCAACTAAAATGAGGAGAAATCTCGATGAGAATACTTTAAATTGTTCCAGAACTTCTTAGCATCTCACGTGACGTGAATCATTACTCAAATATCCATTTTGCATTCGGTTTTGTACGGCTCAAAATCATGAGACTGTCAAATCACATGGGGGCCCCTCATCATACTCCATGATTACTCGTTGGAAAAGCGGGAATTCCTCAAACCCACGAGTCAACATTAGTCCAGTCACAGCTTAGCCAAGTCTAATATACTATCTATGCCTTGCGTGCTCCCAACCCCAACATCATCATTATCAAATTAATTGCAGGGCGAGTCCAATCAGGTACTGAATGGATATAATCAGAGGGGAAACTTGCAGGAACAACACCATGTTTCAGGAAGTCTAATCAATACTCCTTGTACACCGTATCTGAAATACTTTGAGTATCAAGACAGCGACAATCGAAGTTCCACCAAAGCTTATCTAGCGGTGAAGTAGACCACCCAATCCGAGCCCCTTTCCTATCACCAGGACACCATGAACGAACGGACATTCCATACGACCTTCCATGGTACCTTGCCCAAGCATCCACGAATTTTGGAAAATTCAATCTGAAATTCTCCTTTCAGCTATTACGGAGTCCTTATTTTCGCTCTAAATTGATTCGATTTTGGCGTCAGCTCAGTCGATCGATTTAGATTAGATAGTACATACTTTACTTCGTAAATTACACGGTAAAAGTTGCGGTATGATTATACTATGCAGGTGCCATTACCCTTTTAGATTTTTCTGCTTACCGGGCTCCCATGTTTAGTGCTAACCAATGCACAAGAGCCCAGTTTTGTTGGCTTTTTTTCACATTCCTCTAAGGTTCATGGACCTGCGTGGGTTAATCTATCGAAACTATGAGGCATTTCCCTGTCACAACCTAAACATTCTATATATTGAGACATTTTCCCACCTATTAGTTCGATCTTGCTCCTGGTCAAATTACCACTGTCACACCAAATCACACACTGCAATGGGCTTTGAACTCAAGCTTCTCTTCATCAACGCTTCGTCAGATAAATACTCAAGTTCGACCAAAAGTCGATAACAACGAAAGCACTTCTTTTCTACACTATCACAGTTGTTACACATATTAATATCCATTCCAGTATCCAGCCTCGCAACGTCGCCGCCGGACAAATCTGCTTCTGATCAATTTTAATTCTTTCAAATTACCCATTCTCCAAATTTAATCTTTCCGCTTTAATCTCAAATATAAAATACCCAAAAAACGTTCAAAACGTTCAAAACAATCGGTCATCATGCAGATCTCACCACCCCGCAACGCCCACGCATTTTCCAATAAGCGAACACTGAAATCAACTCCTTATCTGAACCCTTACGCCTCTTCTCGACCACGACAAGCATCTTCAACCTCATCTCTTCGCATTCCTCTCGCGGCCACAAACCGTAACGCACGAGAACGCGCTCCGATTCGTCAGGTTCAACAACCAGAGTCGGAAGTTAGTATTATTGTCACGACGTGGGATGATGAGGGGAAGTGCTGGTATCCGGTCGAGGCTTATGGTCCTATTGGAGAGCATTTGAACAAATTTATCGAGGCTAGGAGAAGAGCTAAGCAAATGAATGAGAGGAGAGATTCGGAGTAAAAAGGTGCATGGATCTTCATACCAAGTGTTGGAAAAGAGGATGGAGTTGCATGGATGATTTTTCCATGGTTTGGTGTCTGCTTGTGGAGTTTTTATGATGAATGATGATGATTTTTCTTTTGGGGTAATGGGTTAAGCGCTATGACTAGAATGATGGCATCAATAGGGTAGATGGCACACGAAAAAATGGTTCGTCTCGAGGCAACAAGGGCAACTGAACTGACCGGGACGGGAGGGATAATAGAAGGGATATTCGGAGTTCAATTTTGGCATTTCTCATACTACAGTAGCTAGCAATTCCATCCTCTAAATGAGTCGCAAGACTCTGTGCCCTATGGCACTCCATGATTTGCTTGTTTGTTACTTGATTATACCGAAGCATCCTTTTGTTTCTCTCTCTTCAGTGGTCTAGGCACCGCTAAGGCTTAATCACTCTCTCCCATGCAGCACATAAACATAACCTAACCCACCATATAATGTCTCCGCCGTCACGTCCCACCAGCCTGGTCTCCAGCATACCGGTATGTGCGGGACCACCCGTTTTACCGAACCCTCTCTCGCCCGTTAACTAAATTTCCATTTCTCCTTGGGCTGAGAAGTCCCCACCCGGGCTGAAACTGACAGCCGTTATGGGAATGGACTTATCTGCGGAGTAGCTGCGGATCTCCACTACGTCCTGGCTCTCTAGCTTCATGCAATGCATGTTGAAGTTTTTCTTCCGTGCTTGGCCAAATTGCTTCTAGGACTGGGATGGGGGAGAAATTTTTTTCGTCACGTTGATTGTGGGGCTAGTGGTCCAAACTTAAGATTGATGGAGTTGACATTGGGAGTTTTTTTTTAAGTGGTCTTAAGGTTTGCGAGCGGGAAATAGGGGGTTTTTTGGGGAGTTTTTTAGGGGGCACTTTCATGGGTTGAGGATCGACGGTGAGTGTGATGGATGGGGTTCTAGAAGTATCAAAAGTTTCTACAGTCTAGAATTGATCTTTGATGAATGACTCAGATGGATGGTTGATTCGGAGCTGTAGGGTCGTATTGCGTGGTCTTCTATACTTTTTCGGTATTTTTTCGCTGTTCTTGTTTGGTCATTTCGTATTTCCTAGCGAAGCGACAGGAAAGCGGATAATAAATTAGATCGTCAGGGGCACTAGGGCAGCTTGGATCACTACCCGCCATTACCCCGCTATAATAAGGTGGGTGGAGGTTGGAACGGAAAAATCATCTCGTTCTTCAATCGTTTTTTGTTAGGTAATCGAGATGCTTATTTCTGAGGTGGTTAGCTAGGGTTCACTATTGTTCGTATTTTAGATGCTCGGCGGATGCGAGAGTTATTTGATGTACTGTGGTTAGTTAACAAAGTGATATGGGGAATTTGTAAAGTTATGTCGAGCTGATATCCTGTGGGACTTGGTTGATGTGAATCGAAAATTGTTAAATCTAACTTCATAAATCTCTCCCTCCGTAAAGTAATACATAGCGAATAAACAGCCCTACATATTCTATTCGGAACCACGGTAAAGTCAAAGCCAGACCGGAAACAATAGCCGAAAGAGTCCTATTCAAAGTCCATGATTATCATGTAGAGACCCGGCAACCTTCATCCTCATGATCCTCTCGATCGTCTCCATGTTTTTGGGTAGAATCTGTACCCTTGCCATCCTTGCCATGACAAGATATTAGACATCCAGAAACTAGTGTTGCTGTGTTTGTGTTTCTTGTGCTTGTATAATACTATAGTTGGTTCTCCAGCTTCCTGGACAGCCTCTCCAAACATTTCTTCGTCAGCTGCGTGGATGTCTTCGGCATCGGTTGCAAGAAGATCAAGAAAAAGATTATCCGAAATTGCAGCTGCAGTCTTAGTATCGGAATGCTCCGATTGTTCACCTTCCTTATTCTCTCAATATTGAAACCTCGTGTGAGACTCTCTTTGAAGGCTGGCCCAGCCCTTCTCACTCTGATAACCTCTAGATCCATAAAGCCTACTCGACTTGCTGTCTTGCGCATATTTTCGGAGTATTCAAACATGCAGGCGAGTACGTATCTCCTCCAGGCGACTATGAGTGTCCAAACGATACGACACCACTTTACCCTTCTGTTCCAGAACAGTTGCTTTCTGACCAACTTTCGCTCTGACACTCCGACCTGGAAAGTTTTTGTTCGCTCTCCTCGGAATATCTAAAATGAGCAGGCTTTATTCTACGAACTCTAGGATCCTGAGAACGAGTATCTTGCCTCCAAACTGCAGTCAATATTCTATACAGCTCTTTAGTTGTTGCTAAAGTTATCGAAATTGTTTTTGGGACGGCTCTTTTGATAGATTATCTATTGTCATATTATTTGACTATCGCATTATTCTACGCCGATTCATATAATCTTACAAGATTATATGAGATACCTGATCAAAACTCTTGTCTACAAGCTTAATCCAGATTTACCAACTGTTTTTCAAAATCTTTACTTCTCGAAATACACACTCTTTAGAGTATGGTTCTGGTATCAGATATCCACAGAACTAAGGAGGCTAGTTGCCTGTACAGGCCGTATGGGCTAAGAACAGATGCGACTGGCGTAGTTGGGGAAGTAAGATTACATGATGAGAAAATGATTATACCATGTAATGCTCAGATACAGCAACATGTATAGAAGATTACAGAGTAGGCTTCAACTGAGTTATTCATAAATTACACTACTCCAATGTCGAAAGTTAGTGAGCAGTCTAGAGACGTTGCTCAAAAGCTTTCTTCTTGAAAAGGTATGGTAATGCTCTGCCTAGCAATGAACTGCTTCTTTCTATCAAATCCTCATGCCACTTCAAGGTTGAATCGTAGTATCAGGGCTATCATTGAGCCCCCTACCTATATCCCGTACTCGATTCTAGCGACAATTTCAACAATAACTGGTTTAAAAACAACAACCGAATAAGAATTTCATCAAATTAAAGGTAAGAAATAGGAATATGAGCAACGAGGGTTCAAAACCCAAGTCATCCCCAATTCTATTTGACTCCATCGCACTTTCCACACTCTCGTTCTGGTTTTACATGGCGCCACTTGAGAGCTGTGGTGACACAGTTGCAATCACAATATTTCTAGTCCGCAACAATGGGAGATCATGTCTCTTATCTCATACCGCTTTTCTCCATCCCCACAAACTCCCCCATGCTACCCCTCCTCGCTCAATGGCGATATTCACCCCTATCACCAAAGCTATGGGTGACGTTATAATATCTTCTGTGATGTTTCATTACGACTTGCCATTTCTTTTCTAATTGCCTTCTGATCATTGAAGAATATTTTCAAAAGACTTCAGTCTATAGGTGATTTAGCTTTCTAAATCTCCTGCTTTAAAGGTAGAAAACACACGAAAATAGGATCAAGATAGGAATCGCTAAACCTTCACCGGAAATCTAAAGTACAAATTTATTAGTTGACTGAAAATGTTTGATCATACTCCGCTTAGTTTTGCTTACAGAGGTGCTTTGTGAAAGCCTTTTGCCAACTATACACAACGTAGGTATCATCAATTGTGAACACTTTGTCTTTCAGTTTTCTTTGGCATTACTTGGTCTTGAGTAGAAATCGTGTGGCATGAGAGCCTAGCTTTAGCTTCCTCGGGAACTTTGAGGGTATATGAGATCTGCTCATGTTTGGATGTTTGCTTGCGAGCAGGATGAGCTTGCGTGTCAACTTTTGGAGAACCGTTTTGATCATTTGAGACTTAAAAAAAGAGATTTTAATGTGGAAAATGATCTCAGAAATACGGTCCAGGAAGCAATCAATGGGTAAATCTATAATTCCCTAGGATAAGAAAACTACTTGGCTGGAGAAGTGGCAGAAATATAGTTTTGAACCCTAAAATTAAGAAAAGCCGATATGTTCCGAGACAGAAAGAGTTCTGCCAACTGGAGAAGTCTAGAAATGAAGCGAATCGTTGAAATTAGGGAAGTCACTTCGAAATATGCTAGTAAAGATTTGGCGAGGCAGGACTAAAAAGGGGGCGAGAGAAATCCAAACACAAGGTATCACCTGCCCCCGAATCCAAATAAGCCAGTTAATCTCCCATTATATTGGTTCCGTTTCGTCTGGCCTGAAGAGGTTAAATCATGATGATATTTCACCAATACTTACCACAGTTTGCATTTAGCACGCATATGGTTTATTCATTCTAGTAAGACAAATGTAAGAAAGGGCAATAAATAACATATTGTTCTTCAACCTACAAAAAGAACAAGAAAAATCACGGATTGTTAGCTGGTGAGATTCTTCTGACAGAATTTTGGTACCAATACACAGGTCAGATTATTGCACTCCAATTTTGTTGTCAAATGCTATCAATGTCTGCTATGTTCTCATCATGGTAGAGACGGTACCAGGAGACTATCTTGAATCATATCCATGAGACTGGGGCATCGAAAAAAATATCTTGCGAAAGCAAAGTGGAATTCAGATCGATTCTTGAACCAAACACGCTAGACTCCGTAAGGATTTGCCCGAGAAACACCGCAATTCAATTGCACCCACTCCAATCGCGCAGGGGCCCGCTTCTCTTCAATCTGCAGAGCCAGAACTAATTCAGGAAGCCCCTATACCCACTTCGGTTATCATCAAAACATATCCTAGTCATCTCCTTCCTAGTCGCATTTTTCCTCATCCCCGACATCCATTTCCACAATCACAAAAGCATCTTCCTCATCTATTTTCCGCGCAGCCTCCTTACTCTGCTTAGCCTATATACTAGCGATACAATCAAGGAAATTTTTCGTACTAACCTTTGCTTTTCGTGCTGTGGTGAGTTTTTTGTTGTAAGTCTCGTTTAGATAGATCTATTGTTCATTAGTTCAGTTATTCGCAGACACTTGTCTTAGGATATAGGATATACAAAGACGTATAGGTGAGTGAGCCTTACCAGAGCGCCACTATCATCCAAACTATATTGTTCTTTATCGAAGACCAATTTTTTGGCTGCGATGCAGTATTTACGGCGGACTTGCGTCTATTTCAACATTTATCAGCTTTACGAACCAACTCACCCGACAAAAACTCACATAGACCTCATCGGGGTCCACTCCCGGAAATTTCGTATCAGGCCAAAGACGTCTAACAAGCATTTTCTGACTTCTCCATTGGATATACGCCTCGTCCACGCTCGGATGACGAAGTCTGTTAATGATCTCGATGTTAGCGAGCATTTGTTGCCAAGTACTAGCTTTTGCTTGTGACAGGACGAAAGAGGATGGGATGTTGTTTCTAGCGTGGTTCTGGACGGCGAGGTGAGTGGTGTATTATAGGAAAGTAAGATTTCATTAAGTTCTGCGGGGAAGCGGGATGGTCGAAGAATAAAGAACGTATACTTATACTCACAGCGATCCACTCAATTTGATCTTGATACACAAGTTGCGGCGGAGATTCAAGACCTGCGTATGGTTCAAGCGGAAGAATTTCCTTGACAAAGTCGAGAGAGACAGTTACTTGGTGCAAGGCGTGCGCCGCTTGATTCATGGTTGCGGACTTTTGAGTTTTAATTTGTGTGGAGATTATGGATTGAGTATGAAGTGGTAATTTTGTGTTTCAAGAATACTGATGTAAGTTTGAAATGAAAATGTTTATTTCTCTTTGTAAACTATGTTTTTTGGTTGAGAATTTCTGGTCGAGAAATTAGCCTGATGTTTTTGAAGCGAAAATGATTGCTACAATTAGGCACGTACAGGAGGACACCTGAAGGCAGTAGAGAAGGCTCAGTTTCAATTCTTTTGTGACTGTTGAAAGAGGGGTTCCAGTGGACTTGCACGCCTTTGCTTGGTTGAATGAATTTGCTTTTGATTTTGTGATTCACTATCACTATGTAAGAACTTCATCCTGCCACACATGCTGTTACTACTGCAGAAAATTCTTCGTAAAGACGGTAGTTTCCACCTTCCGATAATATCGTATATCATCTTATCTTAATATTCGGGAAACAATATATGTGTTGAAAGTATAATTCAAGTGGAGCTAGAAAGTAGGGGACCTAGCGCCAATTAGGACTAGTAGAGCTCTGTTCCCATGGAGCTTTTACTCTTCAGTCAAGGCTGATACCCTGAGTCCCTTTATATTTTAAGCTTAATGCTTCTCGGAATTTTTGTGAAGAGTCATACTTTAAACAATAGTTCATTTTGGTACCTATCACTACATAGCCACGGATCTCACGCTGAGTCCTACAGGTATGAGCTCTGATAGCCGGGAATCCAAACTTTTGGGCAGGGCTATTCAGATGATATCATAAGAACAAAATTATGTATGCTTGTCCCGTAAGACTGTTCCATAACCTTCGCTTGGAAGACTATACGTACAGTCTATGATTATGTCCATGACTAAGCATTATCACGACGAATCGAGAGAGAAAACTTCTCCTGGTTGTGCTTGATATCTTTCTATTGCATTTTCTAACATCCAATTCTATAGCTTGAAGGCCGTTCAATGCCTTGTGCGAGTTTGACATCTTAAAGAGCCTTCCTGCCATTCATAACCACTCGACTCGTGAGCTTGACCACCCCAACCACAGACAGTGCTTTTATTTGTTCGACCATATCAACCTAAGTTAGATTATCATTGCCCGACATCACTTTTTCTTTTTGTGACTCGATATCTGATACCAGAAATTTTTTCCGCATTCTCATACGTTGGAGTAGCACTCCATCCACGAGAATTACTTTTCACAATACTTCCCTTTTTCACCAGAGTGGTCAGATCTCAGCCACACATATTTCTGCACGCATTTAGTGACTCTTTCCAAAAATTTTTAGTAAGTTTCCGCTCCAGTAACAGCCCAGAACATGTAGCAAAACATTACCAATGATACCTCTGCGAGTCCCAATGCTTCTCTCTGGTTACTTACCCTCTACATCAGATTTTTAGCCGCTCCTGATAGCGTCAGCTCACACTAAAAAAACATGAAGCCATCACACAAACTAAACCGTGAGTAGCAAGAAAACTTCCATGAGTTCCTCGAGCGTAATTGGGAAGGGTGTTGCGGATTTAGAGCAAAGGTTACCAATGAGGGGTACTAATAAGGTGGTGGTGATAGGTAACCAGAAGGATGGTGCATAGAGCCATATGTAATGAAATTGAATGTAAATGAAGTAGACAACGGACATCTTATATCAGTCCGCGGGCACCGAATCGTACGCCGCCATAAAGGTTCATGATGACACTTGGTTTGGGTGAGGTTACGTTGCGACAGATGTATATATCACTTGAGAAACATGATCTTTTTTGAAATTGAAATTGAGACGTTTCTCTTTTTCCTCGGGGCTAGCCGCCATTACCCGAACTCGTAAAACTCCGTACACAGGATCTAGGTTTTGTGTGGATAATGATTCGATGCGTTAATGACGTAGTTGATTCAAGAAATCTGGTGGCCACTGTTTTTCTTTTCATCTACTCGAGTAATGTGTTATAATAAAGTTTTATCAATTGGGGCGAAGAGTGAAGGTTCTATTATAGAACAAAGATTTCTGAGTTCAAAACTCTTGGTACCACTAACTGTTCTCTTGGTATGGATCTTATGTGGAACAATCCTTCGAACAAAATAGCCTCAGTTTTATCGAAACGAGATGCATTGAATGATAAACTAGCTCGTTTTCGCACAGATAAATTAATCAAAGATCAATACACTACATTGATTAGTAAACATGTCAAAATTGGCCAATGAGAGCGAAATTTATTTTGGGGTCTTGACGCACGACCCGCCTCGTTTGTTTCCGGCCTCGGTAGACTGTGATTAGTAAACTTCTCTTTGCAAAGTCGGACTTATCATTTCTTCCATAAATTGAACGATGCTGCTGGTGTGGACTTTGGAGCGGAGTCCGACCTCACTCCAGTCACCTTCCTGCAGTTAATATTTTTCCGTTACGACGCATCGGAGGGAGCGTATATGCCTCCGTGGTGCAGGAATTTATGACTGCATTGCATGATGATATGGGTGGAGGACGACAGGACGATGTGGATTTGAACTAATTGAAGGCTGTGAATGGTCCATTTTGCCATGGAGTCCCAAAACTCTGTTCTAGTATTGACGGTGGCAGATGTAAAACAATCATTATGGATGTGGGGTGGTACTATTTTACTGTGTCTGTTGTATGTATATATAGGAGTCCCCGATGTATGTTTTCAGGTCAAGCGCAGTGAAGACCTTGTATTCCAATCTACATCATTATGGTCGACCTTACCATTCTTCCAACCTTCAAGACGGCGGGAATAACTGTCGTCATAATTTCCCTCGCATTACTCTTCAAAGTATTAAAACATCTCGAGCTATATTATCTCAGAAGACTAACAAGTTGTAGACACTCCATAGAGCATACTTTACCTCTCTAAGCAAGATCCCAGGACCTTGGTACGCAAGTTTAACTCATCTTGTCCTCCGATACCATATCCTCACCGGAAATCGCGTTCACTACATCCATGCCCTTCATCATACCTACGGTCCCGTTGTCCGCATCTCTCCGGTCGAAGTATCATGCGCTTCGCTCTCCTCCTTCCTCACCATCCATCCTGTCTCTAAACCTTTCCTCAAATCTACCTGGTATCAAAGGCTTGTCCCCCCTCCTGCAGGGATCCTCAGCATGATTGATCCAAAAGAACATGCTGCTCGCCGCAAATTATTTTCACAAGCTTTTAGTAAGAGCTTTTTGAAAACAAACTGGGAGCCTGAAGTTAGGAAAAAAGCTACAATGGCGGTGGAAAAGATTAAGAAGAATGCTTTGATAAATGAGGTGGATATCTTGACGTACTTTACGTTCATGGCAACTGATGTCGTGGCACACCTGGCTTTTGGAGAAAGTTTTAAAACTTTGGAAACTGAAAAGGTGATTTTCTCCGCCGGCTTCTGAATGATCTAGTACTGAACTAAAATTAGAAAACCCAACTCGTTATTGATCTTCAACATGAAATTAATAGGGGCACTTTACGCGCCGAGATTCCTAATCTATTCGCCATTGGAAAATACCTACGTATCCCCGGTCTCCAAACAGGTGAAGCAAGAATCAGAGAATATGGTATATTAGCAGTCAAAAACGCCAAATCACATAGTCAGGCTAATCCGACTATATTCCGAAAAGCTCTCTCCGAGTCTAAGACAGAAAATGCGGAGGGTTCAATGTCAGATGAAAATATTCTGCAAGAAGCTGCTTTCTTTATTGTGGTGGGCACCGATACAACTGCTAATTCAATCACGTATATACTGTACAATATTTTGAAGGATCGGAATTTGCAGAAACAGTTAGAAGATGAGGTAGAGACGTTGGGCGAGGACTTCGAGGCAAAGGATGTGGAGCAGTTGGTGCTGTTAAATGCGGTTATTGACGAAGGAATGCGGTTGTATGGTGCAGCACCTGGCTCTCTACCTCGGGTCGTGCCAAATGGAGGAGCTGTCTTGGATGGATATCAAGTTCCAGGCGGCGTAACAGTTTCGACCCAAAGTTGGACCATCCACCGCGATCCAGAAATCTTTCCAGAACCTGACAGGTATTTCCCTCCCCCATATTTTCACTCTCTAAATTCTCCCCATGAAAACACTAACACATATCCCCCCTAGTTTCCGACCTGAACGCTGGCTAGAAAACAAATCAAACGATATGAAAGCAGCTTATCATCCTTTCGGATCAGGAACACGCACTTGTATAGGAATTCATTTGGCAAGAATGGAAATCTGGTTAGCTCTCGCTTTGTTCCTCAGAGAGTGTAAGGGAGCAAGAATTGCGTCAAGTCAATCTGATGATGATATGGTGCCTATAAACTCCTTCGTGATTGAGCCAAAGGGTGGAAAATGTATGATTACTATGAAGGATGGATACTAGTATGGATATTTGGGGTGTAGAATGGTTTCTTGGGCGGGAAAGGGGTTTCGTTATTTAAGCAGAAGAAATTGAGAGGATTATCAAATTTGAAGATAGGCAATAAGAACGGCGGATCATTAGATCAAAGATATGGCAACTGAAAGGCGATTTAAAACACTATTTCCGTGAATCAGATTGACTACCATCCTTAAAGCTCATCTCTATGCAGACTCCCACCATATTGAGTAGAGAAAATAGCATCGGATTCTAAAAAGATGTTAAACACAACACTTCTTCAAACCTTCGATAATATATTGAGATACGGGGTACTAACTAAGATTCACAACCAAAATATCTACTTCCAAGGCACTCAGACCCAATTTCGACAATCTGCCTTCACTAACACTCCAGCTTGAATCTCCATATAATGTTTGATTCACTGACACCACATTCCCCGGTAAACGTATCGTGACCTCGGCTTTGGAATCAACATATTCCCCATTAACTATTCCAATCATCATCTGTTCTCCCACTATCCACGCACTTACATCCAGCAACCCACTTCCCAAACCCTTGATTGAATTTGTGCCAAACAGAAAATCAATAGCAGGTCCATTCTGCAATACTTTTCCCAGCGCCGCACTACCAACATTTACTGAATCCGTACTCGGATAGATCCAGTACGTAATACCCTTGGCATTATGGTTCACACTTAACATCATCATGACTTTCACTTCCTCTGCATTTGGTACCCTTTGCCAATACTGCGACTCACCAAATGCTTGTACTACTGACCACGTAGGTTTGTCCAAACCACCTTGACTACCTGGTCCTATATTTGCTTGATAGTTTTGTATGTCGTCGAGCCGATTAGATACATCTTCTAACTCTCCTACACAATTGTCGCACCCACAATCTCCATATGTTTCATTACAAGGTGTATTCCACGAAACAGACCAAGTTGCATTTATTGACACTGGATATGCATCTTGGAAGATGATATCGGCACCGGCTGAATATTCCGGGTAGTAGAAGTTTTGACAGTTTAGCACGAGACTGACGGGATGATATGGATCGAGGGATTTAATTTGCTTGTAGGCAAGTTGGGTAGAATTGAGGGGATATACCCATCCATCTGGCTCATCGGCAGTATACCACGACAGAAGGGTGGTTCTATGTTGCCAGAGAGCTACTTGTTCTGAGATGCGTGTCGAGTTTTGGAATGCGAAACGCATGTCATAAAGATTGAAGAGGTTTAATTCATCCATTTTATCCCAATACTCTATGAGTTGTGCCGTGGGATAAGATTGATCTGGAAGGCCACCATCTGGAACGATGTTTATAGTGTTGAAACCCAGTGCAGCGTATGCTTCGAGGTTGGCGAGCGAGACATTGTCGGGAGTTATATACGATCCATCCGCATAATATCCATTAGGGAAGACAGCATACCAGCCATTCCAATCATTCTTGTCATTTTGAACATAAAGTCCTCCATAGAGATTGTCAATTTTCACAGCACTACCATAGTCCCGTGATGGCAGTACGTAGACACTGGTGCTTGCGGTATAGGATTGTTGACCATCAGGGGAAGTAGCGTAAATCGAGACTGGATAAGGCTCTAATCGTGCTGGGAACGACGAGAAAGAGAAGCTAATTAGGTTGCCTGTTGTATTTACTGGAACTTTCTTGGTGATCAGTAGAGCACTTGACTCCTCATTGTAAATCTTAATATCAAGGGTCATGAAAGGCGAGCTGATATTGCTTCCAGGGACATCATAGGTAGCATTTCGATATGATCCGCCGAAGACATGAGATATGCTAGCATCAACGATTAAAGATCCTTCGCCCTCATTATCCAAAAATATTGAATACCGGGGTTGTATAGTAATATATAGTAGAGGATCATACTGCGCTACTGCAAACTGGAATTGTCCTCCTGGATCTAATGAATGGTTTCTAAGGAATGTCAAAAAGTACCCTCTCGCCATAATGGGATAACAACTCACGTGCTCATATAAGGTTTTCCGCACCAAGTAGGGACATCAGGAGGAGCACTGAAAGCGAGCGTCAGAGATATTAGAGCTTGTAATAGGAATAGAAAATACATCATGAATTTCAATCCTGTATGGGAAGGCTCAAAGACAGTAGCCAGTGTGAGAAATATCTCGAGATATCATATGTAGTCCAAGTAAAATGCAACGATTACACGAAGTGGAACCTTTTACCCCTCTTGGTCCCACCTGCCGAATCGGATGCATTGTAGATTCAGATCACGTGCCTAGTTGGATCTGCATGCAACGTTACCCACATTCTAGATTGCGCCGATAAGAACCTCATAAGATTCAACTGTGATTGAGGCGTTGACTATTAAAAGAGTTTAAACGTATATGGCCCACTAAAACTAAGATATAGAGAAAAGTCTCGTAGGAAAGAAGAGAGATGAGAAAATGGATATGACAGACCCAAAACTAGCGCTATCGCACTCACTCATGCACCAGGACGCACAAGGTCATATGAAGAATCATACCGGTCTATCATTGGTTACTCCTAGTTGAACAAGCTTCAACAAGCTTTGTAGGCTTTAGTATTCCTTGCACTTTCATTAGAGCTATCTCCCCGCATGTACTATGATAAGCTATATCGCCTCCTCCATTCAGAATGCAGAAGGTTTTTGATTGTGCATGTTATCAGCCGACTCTATCAAGATAAGAAGCATAAGTATGGAGACTGTTTTATGCGTGATTAGCACTTGTGAGTATATTGTTCGTAATAGCATCGAGTTCATTAGTTGAATATAATAGTATCTTCCATACTTTATCGACGATAAACTCATGATGGAAGAGACAATACTAGGTCAGATAACTCGTCCGAGGGTTTCTAGCTCTTCATGGATAGTATCAGTCCTGCTTGTCCTATGTTCATGTATCACATCAACCACATTTGGATATGACGGATCGATGATGTTCGTATCCTCGACAGAGAAGTCTTATACCCATATCATCTGTGATAGCTGACCATGAATAGGAATGGCCTCAATATCTTGCCCAGCTATACCGATTACTTCAATCTGAATACCGCCACTCTGTCTCTCAATACAGCCGCACTCTGGATCGGTGGCGCCATTGCTGGTCTGACTTATGGCCAAGTAACTGATAGGATCGGACGCAGATATGCATTATTTTGGGCGGCTATTGGAACATTTTTGTCCATCGTGCTTCAGACAGCTGCGCAGAATACTGCGATGTTTGTGATAGCTAGAATTCTGGTTGGATACGGAACTTCTGCCTCCACCCTTACCGGACCGACGTATGTTGCTGAGACAGTTCCATATAATTGAAGAGCCTAGGGATTAGGGGTGCTGAACAATTGTTATTATGTCGGTATGAATTTTCATTACCCCAGTTGATTCACACATCTGACATTCAGCAGGAGGTTTGATTGCAGCTGGTGTGACATACAGAACAGCTTCTTACAGCTCGACCTGGGCATGGAGAGTCTCTTCTTTAGTCCAAGGTATCTTCAGTATCCTTTGTATTGCCATCTTACCGTTCATCCCTGAATCACCTCGATGATTAGCCTATGTTGGGCGTACAGAAGAGGCATTGGTGGTTGTGGCTCAGACTCATGCGAATGGAGATACGTCGAATCCTGTTGTATTAGCGCAATACCAAGAGATTATCGACACGATAGAGTACGAGAGAAATGTTGGCGAGACTCTGAGCATGAAGCAGATGGCCAAAAAACCAGTTGCAAGGAAAAGGGTATCCCTAGCGATCTCAGCCGCAGTAATTTCTACCATTTCAGGTAAGTAATTAACTTTGTCCTTGGGATGTAGTATTAATCTTTCTAGTCAACGTAATTGCAAGTTACTACTTAGGAACGATGCATGACAATGCGGGTATAAGTGAAACCACGACGCAACTCCAAATTGTGAGTTCCCAAGCCACACAAATCTAAAGATTAGGGCTGATCTTCAATAGAACATAATCCTGAATGCTTGGTGTCTTTGTTGCGCCCTCTTCGGAACATACTATGCTGATATCCTTGGCCGTCGTGCAACTGCAATTATTAGTACAGCACTTCTCACTATTTTCCTCTTCATCATCGGTGCTCTAACTAAAGGTATGCGCTCCACCATTTAATTCTGCTCCGTACATTGTTGACACGTTGAAAAGTGTATGGAGCATCAAGGAACAAGTCCGGTATGTACGGGACGGTCGCTGCAATTTTCCTCTCCCAAGGAGCTTACTCTTTTGGCTGGACACCACTCCTCTACCTTTATCCTCCTGAAGTGCTCAATTATTCTATCAGAGCCAACGGAATGGGTCTTTTCACCTTTGTCCTGAACGGTGTTGCACTTCTCATTGTGTTCTCCTTTCCATTTGCGCAAGAAGCTATGGGCTGGAAAATATATATGATGAACGGTGCATGGGATGTATTGGAGGTAGGATTAATCTGGGAATATTGGGTAGAAACACGAGGAAAGACACTCGAAGAGATTGACGAGATGTTTGAAGGTATCAAACATTCTGATGTACCTGATTTGAAAGACGTGGTAAAAGTAAATGGGGACGATGTTCCAGAAAGAATTGAGATTGTCCCCTTAAGAAAAAGTGTTTGAAATGAAGAAAATCAAAAAGAAGTTGAAAGGATGAAGAAATATATATTTTTCAAGAGTGTTAACGGTCAATCTCATAAGGCTAGCCCTAAGGTATGCACAGAGTGGTGCACATGATTTAGATACTATTGATACCTGGACTCTTTATTTTATCATAAATGAAGTTCAATGAAGGAGTAGCCCAAGGAACCCATCAAATCATGAGCGAATTCAAGTAGAAGGCTAAGTAAAACATGTGAATACGAGGTTAGTCAACGTCGTCCCATTTCTGCAACAAATCTGCAGGGAGAACTCGATTTCCCTTTTTGATCTGTTCCGTCACTCGCAATGGACCCTTGCCATCCCAGCTTACTTCTACACGATGATTCTCAGAATCTTTCACAATCTCCATGACCCTCTTCACAAGAACGTGAAATTTGCTCAACAAAGTCACGTTTCTTTCTTCCCATTCGAGCACCTTGTCCTTGACGTTTGACACCTTGGGCTTATCGAAGAGCCCGTATTCATGATAGGCGAGCAAGAAGTTGGGAGTTTGATTTAACCACAGTCGAGGAAAAATCTCTTCCATGTCAAAATCATTCAATTTGCGCCGTGTCTTAATGTCAAAAATCTGACTCTGGGATTTCTTGGTGCCTTGCATCCGCATATCTAGCAGCTTCGAATTATTAGATCCTGCAGGGGCACTACCTACTCCTAACATGGCAAATGACTCGTCCAGTGGTGATGGTGCACTTTTCGTTGTGTGTTTCATGGCTGGATCATGTTCTCTGATGTATCCATCACTCTCGCTGCGAACTAAAATGTGAAGGTCCGCAAAATCATATTCGATAATGCGTTGATGTGAGCAAGAACCTTTTACATCCTGGTCCCATGTAGTATATCGTTCGGGAAATGTATGACCGAAACCTCGGAGGTCATCAATGGTTTCAGTTGGAGTCCTTTCTTTTCGGATGAAGAAAACCGTATCCCCCACGAAATCGGCATCAAATCGAAATGGCTTCTCCACCGAGCCTGCAAATCTCAAAAGATTTCCAATTGTAGACCCGCATCCTATTAGATCAAGAGCTTGTAAGTTAAAGTCCGGTTCGAGAGCTAGGATGGAGCGAACGGCGGGCTCCAAGGGATAATCGGGATATCGTGCAGCATTGATGTCGCGGAATACGGAGCCACTGTCACCAGGAAGCTTTTCATCTTGTGCGGGAGGAGACCAGGCTGGAGGAGATCCTATTTCTCACGAGTTAGAAAGCAGTTACGGCTTTATGGACCATCAACAGCCAGCCTCGAAAAGCATACTGCGAAAGCTAGAATGCTTCCGAGTGCTAGAGCTTCTCCATTGTGAGTGAGTTGTAAGAGTATATTTTGCTTACCTGGCACAAGAATTATAGGGGATTGAGCGTCCAGCCAGTTGTAAGAAGCAAGGTAATTGACATTTGCAATTGTGGGAGCATTGTCTTCAATCAATAAAGTTGAGATATTGATTCTGTCGATTTCTGCTCCAAAGGGCTCATCTGACACTGGTGGAGGGATATGGAATGCTGAGCCTCGCCTGAAGCCCGAGTGAGCACCCCGCGCCCCACGAGCCCCACGAGCCACACTAGCACTAGCACTACCCCAGTTTTCGCCTCGGTGAGTGCCATTTCTGTAAGACGACATCGCTGATTGTCGCAATATCAAGTGAAGAATGATTTATGTCGATGATATTCCTGCTGAGAATAATGCTGAGAATAATGCTTTCATTTATCTGAATCATCCCCTCTCTCTTTTGCTTTGCATCTAGCTTTCCATCTAGCCAAAGTCAACCTTGGATTCCACCGATGTGACCCCCAAAGTACCTTATTGGCTTTGCCATTTTCATTCTGTGACTCACTCACAGTGCATAGCAAATGAAAATGCCTTTTCATATGGTTTCAGCGCATGCGAGTAGCCTTTATTCGCATGTAAGACCATTATCCCACCTTTTAGAGGTAAGATACAGGATTGGATTGGACAGCAAACGCACTCGGCGAGGCTTTCAAATTCTGCGGCAGGCCGTAAAAGCATAGAATCATCCATGACTTGGTGGAATATTGCTTGCACAATGCCGCTATAATATTGTCTTTAGAAATGAACAGAACCTTCCAGCATTTGTCCCTTTGGAGGATGCACGTTCAAAACGAAGTCGTTTGTAGGACATTCATTTAACCTCACTCAATATCAATCCCACGAACATTCAGGGACCATTTATTGATCAGAACCTTACTATTTCCCCTGTAAACATCAGAAATTCTAAACTGCTCTTATGAATTGAAATTTGGTATGGCATCCCTTATTGATGACCCACGGGTTACCCGTCTCAACCGTTTCTTTAATGATGTGATATACGAACGAAGAACTATGTCGTCCGCCCGAGATGGGAAGACTTTCATAGAAGCCGTCTGTTCTCAAAAGGATCCAGCAACGACCGTATACAAACTACTTTCAAGCTCAGGAGGTCTTGTTGCAATACAAACATCCATGCGCTTCGATACAACGCCCTCATTCATCAATGAAGATGCCGTTCTGTTACTTCGCTACCTACAAGAACCATCCTTGAGAACCATCAATTCCGGGTTGAGCCTGTCGGAGGTAATTACTGCAATAGTCGAGCCTCCCTTCTTCTGGGATGGATTTCTGCGAGCATTTCGGGCCGGAGAACTAAACCCGCAGGCCTCATATGGTTTTGCCTGGCTTCTACTAGAACTACTTAACCAGCCTAGTCAATCAACAACACCCTATTTACTTGTCGCGAAATCCCCCGGAATTCTAGATTCCATTCTAAAATCTCCCAATGGAGAAACTCGAAATCTTGGCCAGAAAGTCAAGCACATCCTGTCTCTAGATGTCTCAGATTTGGATAGGAATCGTGAAGTTGGGCCAGGCGGAAGGCACAACAACGACCATGCAAATCATCGGGATATTTCGATCATGCCTACAGCAGATGAGTTATTGTCCAAAGAACGACCTTTCTTGCGTACTCCCGACACATACCTTAGGGACATGGATTCGGCTCGCCTTGGGATCCACATTGATAATCAATTTAGACTCTTAAGAGAAGATATGCTCGGGGAAATCAGAGATGAGATCCAAAAATTTCAAGGCTCGAAGCCGGGAAGACACCGTGGTCTGACTTTCAACAATATCAAAATAGACGATATACAGATCGGGGATGGTAAGTTCCGAGAACCTTGGGGACTGAAGTTTCGGTGCGAACATGAGCTACCGTTCCTGAAAAAGGTGGAATCCAAAAAGCGGGTTGAATATCTCAAGGAAAACCGGCAGATCCTTAAGCAAGGATCTACTGGATGTCTGTTTGTAGATGGTCGACCTGTCGCATTTCCTATAATCAACCGGATCGAAGAAGAGTTGGCAAAATCTCCAGCGAAGATAATACTGCAATTTGAAGATGAGACAACCATATCGGAGGCGTTGGTGAAGCTCAAGACAGCTCAAAATATAAAGTTCGTGCAAATAGAAACATCTGTCTTTGCTTTCGAACCATTTCTTAGAAGACTACAAGAGATGAATAATATTCCTTTGGCTGAAGAACTTCTTTCATGGAGTGAGGGTCAACGTGTCCAGGGGCCTTCGTTCCAGCCTTTACAACTCAAACAACATATTCAAAAAAGCACTGGTAAAGATCTTTCTTCTTTGATTCAAACTCAGAAGCCAGTTATTCTCGATGAATCCCAGACGAATTCTCTGCTTGCTATCTTATTCCGAAGGGTGAGTCTGGTTCAAGGGCCACCAGGTGCGTATTCAACACCTCTTATGTTCAAATGAATACTAACGAAATGATGCTAGGCACGGGAAAATCATTCATTGGAGCATTGGGTGCAAAAATACTTCATGATTTCACGTCTCAAACTATTTTAGTCGTCTGCTATACGAACCATGCGCTAGATCAATTTCTCGAAGACCTTCTGGACATTGGGATTCCATCTTCAAATATGATCAGACTTGGATCAAAGTCCACATCTCGAACAAAAGAATTATCTTTACGCGAACAAGGGTCGTCTAAAGGATCGGCTAAACTCAATAGTTCACAAAGGGACCGAATTCACAAACTCGAATCGAGTCTCAATCAGCATAAGACAAGATTAGAAGGCGCGTTTAGACGGTATCACTCGACTCAAGTAAGCAAGCAACAGATATTGGACTACCTCGAGTTTCTGCCTGGTGATATTCCATTCTTTGATACGTTCATGGTGCCCATGACCAAAAAGGATGATATGACCCAGGTCGGAAGAAAAGGAAAAGCCGTGGACAAGTTCTATTTGTTGAATAGGTGGATCAGGGGTATGGCGGATGCTGGGAGTTTCCGGTATACTCAACCCAAACGTTCAAAAGAAGTATGGAAAATTAGTTCAGAGTCGAGGGATGCGATTATCTCAGGGTGGAGGTCAGCTATCATAGAGGAGATGGTTGAAGAAATGCTTAAAATTGGCAAGCAGTTCAATGATGAGCAAGCAGAAAAAGAGAGTATCTTCGATCAGAGGGATATTAGCACAATCAAATCTAAGAGAATTATTGGCTGCACAACAACTGCCGCTGCAAAATACACATCTGCAATTCAGATTGCCTCTCCTGGGGTATTACTGGTTGAAGAAGCTGGAGAAATTCTTGAGGCTCATATCTTTACATCTTTGGCGAGGGACACGCAGCAACTGATCCTCATTGGAGACCACAAGCAGCTTCGCCCGAAGTGTAATACATACGGCCTCAAAGTGGAACAAGGAGACGGCTACAACCTGGACATGTCCTTGTTTGAGAGATTGGTTCTTGATGGATTTCCACATGTCACGCTGACGAAACAACATCGTTCTAGACCAGAGATATCGTCCATTATTAGGCATATTACATACCCAGACCTGATCGATGCCGACTCTACGCGAAATCGAAAAAATATTCTTGGCGTCCGAGACAACCTTATCTTTATAGATCACAGATCTCCTGAAAACGATATACAAGTCAAAGCAATGAGGGATAATGTCGACTCGACATCATCCAAGCAGAATGAGTATGAGGCCAACATGATCCTGAAATGTGTGAAGTATCTTGCTCAACAAGGGTACGGATCTGACAAATTGGTGGTTTTAACACCATATGTCGCCCAGCTCAAATTGCTGCGTGAAAAGCTGTCAAAAGAGAATGATCCTATACTTAACGACTTAGACAAATATGACCTCATCCGTGCTGGCTTGTATGTTGATGCAGGTGCTAAGGCTTCAAAGCCTTCACTCCGAATCTCTACTGTCGGTAAGTATTGCTCTTAGTTTTGTTCCTTCCCTATCAACATTTTCTTTCTGCACTCGCCTCAAAAGCAATTTTCATTGTTAAAAATCCTTGACACATTGTAATGCTTGTGAGACAACATTAATCTTGAGAAATTTTCTCATGAAACCTCTTTTATCCTATATTAATTCGAACACTGGTAACATGTCACTAATCTCAACCAAGATAACTACCAAGGTGAGGAAAGTGATATTGTTCTCGTCTCATTGACTAGAAGCAACCCGAATAATGATATCGGTTTCTTGTCTCAGCCTCAACGACTCAACGTCTTGGTTTCGCGAGCAAGAAACGGGCTTATCATGGTCGGTAACTCTGACACCTTCGTACATGCTCGGAAAGGAAAAGATCTATGGAAGAAGTTCTTCGATTTATTATCAGCATCAGGACATGTGTATCAAGGATTTCCCGTGAAATGCGAGAATCACCCGACTAGAGTGATAAATTTGTCGACACCAGAAGATTTTGAAAAGCATTGTCCCGATGGGGGATGCACAGAGGCTTGGTGGGTCACTCTAGTTATGGTACTTTTGCAAGCTGCTAATCGTTTAATCACAGTGGTGCTTTGATGAAATGCAAAATTCATCATTGCCCCAGTAGTTGCCATCAAATATTCGATCACTCTAAAATGCTCTGCAAAGTGATTCTAGAGCAAAAATGTCCCAATGGCCATACAAACAAGTCACTATGTCATCAAGGTCTCCCATCGATATCATGCCCCAAATGTGTGAAAGAAAAACGAGATGCAGCTGAACAAGCAAAGAAAGATTTAGATGAACAGTTACGGGTGGATGAAATAAGTCAAAAAGATCAGAAAGAACTCAAAAAGGTTCAAGACGAAATTGATAAGGCGCAGCAAAAGCGTCGAGACGCTTGGTTGAGGTCGGAGCGAGAAAAAGTTTTAGCACAAAAAAAAAAGGATTTGTCTGTCCTAATGGACCATAATAATCAAATAGAATCAAACCCGCAACGATATTCCTCGCCTCCGCTATCACAATTCACGCCTTCTGCTATATCAAATCCTTCTCCCAGTCCTACTACCACCAGCCCTGTGCCGCTGCAAGACATATCAAGACCAAAGCTGCCAGATAAAAATAAAAATCTCCAGAAGCATCTTCAGATGTGCCTTGATCACAATGTTTCAGCATCAAAAACCGATTGGCAAAGACAAAAGGATCTAGAGAATGCCAGAAATCCGGCGATAGATAGGATTATGGAAATGATCGGACTGGAAGATGTAAAATCCCAAGTTCTGCGGATTAAAGCCAAAGTCGACACATCAAAACGTCAGGGAACGGATCTTAGCAAAGAAAGATTTGGACTAGCTTTATTAGGAAACCCTGGAACAGGTATGTCTTCAATTTCAATTATATTCATTATTCAAAATAGCCCAAATTACCTGAGATGTGAGTTTTCGATATTCGGGCTGGTTTCAATATTTTGGTACAATTCAACGATCCAAATAGTTTGAAGATTATTCAATATTTTACCATTTGAATGTTTTTATTTGGATTCAACGACCTAAAGGCTTCTCATTGTCGGACTATCGCGGACCATTGGATACAGTTATGGTGGTAACTTTTCTAATTTCAAATAGGAAAAACAACTGTAGCAAGACTCTATGCGAAAGTTCTAACAACACTTCAGGTTCTTCCTGGTGATGAATTTGTTGAGACAACCGGTAGCCATCTTGCAAATGGTGGGGTCCATGATGTCAAAAAGCACCTGGCAATTCTTGAAGCGTCACAAGGGGGAGTTTACTTCATTGATGAAGCCTACCAGTTGACGGAAGGGCATAATCATGGTGGCAAAGCTGTCCTCGATTATCTACTTACAGAAATTGAAAATCTCGTGGGCAAAGTAGTTTTTATCTTTGCCGGGTATCTCAAGCAAATGGAAAAGTTCTTTGAGCATAACCCAGGAATATCATCTCGCCTACCATACACACTTCGATTTGAGGACTATACTGACTCGGAGCTTCTCCAAATGTTGCAGTCCAAGATCCACGAATTCTACCAATTCCCTATGAAGATAGAAGACGGTCAGGACGGGCTTTTTATGCAAATTGCAATCCAGCGCCTGGGCAGAGGAAGGGCTCGAGACGGTTTCGGGAATGCAAGAGCCCTTGAGAATATGTTTGCTAGGATTCGAGAACGTCAAGCCGATCGACTCACGAAGGAACGAAAGAATGGCCTCAGTCCAGACGACAACCTGATTTCTAAGGAAGATCTGATCGGGCCAGATCCATCCCAGGCAATTCGCAATTGCGAAGCTTGGAATCGGCTACAAAGTCTCACGGGTCTGGAATCAGTCAAAGAGTCCGTCAGAGGCTTAATCGATATGATCAAGACCAATTACGAACGAGAGCTTAAAAAATTGCCTCCTGTGGACACATCACTCAACAGAGTATTTCTAGGCTCTCCAGGCACAGGCAAAACCACGGTAGCTAAGCTTTATGGTCGAATTCTCTCAGATCTTGGTCTATTGAGCAATGGGGAAGGTGAGTGATAACCTTGTAGTTCAATTTTCTTTATTAGCGGAGATCTAAATAGCCCGAAATCTGGCCCATATTCAATCTGTTCGAAAACTCAAATATTCTAATTCTATGAATCTTTGACTACAACCAAACCATTCAAGTGGATTGGAGATTGCAAATGATCCGAATAATACTCGGCAATCAAGTATTTTATTCATTTCAGACTGCAGTCTAGATTTTGCAAAGCCGACTCCTAAGACCAAATGACAGCCTTTTTATTTTCATACCCTGATTTAGATGAACAATTCTAACAAGCTTTAGTTATCACAAAGAATCCCGCAGATTTCATCGGAAGTGCCATGGGGCAATCCGAGGAGAATACTAAAAACATCCTGGCTAGTACAGTTGGAAAAGTTCTGATCATTGATGAAGCATACATGCTTTACTCCAGCTCTGATAAGGGTGGTGGCGGCACTGACATGTACAGAACAGCCGTCATAGACACAATCGTGGCTGAGGTGCAAAATGTACCCGGTGATGATCAGTGCGTGCTGCTTCTCGGTTACGAAGACAAAATGGTTGAAATGTTTCAGAACGTGAATGCAGGCCTTACGAGACGTTTCGCACTCAAAGACGCCTTCAACTTCGCAGACTTTAATGATCAGGAATTGGAAGAGATTCTCTACCTCAAGATGAAGACCCAGGGACTTGGAGCGACTCCGAAAGCTGTGTCAATTGCCATAGATCTCCTTGGACGAGCCCGAAATGGTCTGAATTTCGGAAACGGTGGTGAAGTGGAGAACCTGATTTCGCGGGCCAAACGCAATTACCAGTCTCGACAATCAAAGTTGCAAGCCAGTAAGCGATCAGTAGATTTTATTTTCGAACCACAAGATTTCGATCCGGATTATGATCGAGCTGAGGGTGCAGAGACAAATCTTAAGGAACTATTCAGAGATGTAATGGGCTGTGACTCCATCGTCGCTCAACTCAGTGGATACCTGAATTCTGCAAAAAGTATGAAAAAGCGCGGAAAAGATCCTCGATCTAATATTCCAATGAATTTCATATTCAAGGGTCCTCCAGGTATGTGCTACTCAGTATCTCAGATATATTATATTTTAGCTTATCGTGTTGATACTTGATCTTAGGTACCGGCAAAACAACAACTGCTCGCAAGATTGGTCAAGTCTATTATGACTTGGGCCTTCTTTCGGAAGCCAGAGTCGTGGAATGCTCTGCGTCTGACCTAGTCGGTCGGTATGTGGGGCAAACTGGCCCCAAGACTATTAAGCAGCTCGAGCTTGGGCTCGGCAAAATTCTTTTCATTGATGAAGCGTACCGACTTGGCCAAGGGCATTTTGGTCAAGAGGCCATTGATGAGCTGGTTGATGTCAGTGCTCTCTTTTCACTTATCATGATAACAATCTTCTACCTTCTGCAGCATCAGCTTTCTTCCATCTCCCCGAATCTTGAACTTTTAGTATTTACTAACAGAGCTGTGTCCTAGTCCATGACAAAGCCGAAATTCGCCAATAAAATGATTATCATCCTGGCGGGTTATGAAAAAGATATGAATACCTTGCTTAGCGCGAATGAAGGATTGAATAGCCGTTTTAGTGATGAGATGATATTTCCTGCTCTAGATCCAAAAGACTCTCTTCTTGTCCTCCAGAATACTCTGGAGAAAGAAGATATATTAATAGAGGGTTTGAATAATATACCCAGTCACCAACCTTTCTTGGACAGAGTAGCAGAGCTTTCAGCCCTTCCTGCCTGGGGTAATGCGAGAGATATGATCACATTAGCCAAGAGTATGATACGCGCGGCATACCAGTCGACCACAAACTCAGTAAACGATAGTCAAAACATTATTCTGCCATATGGTGAGGCATTAGCTTGCATTCAACACATGGTGGATGGAAAGAGAGGTAGGGCTACCGCCCAAGGGCAACCTAGGTTCAATTCTTCGACAAACAGCCCTGTCATGAGCGAGACTCAGGAACCACCTGCTTCTTCTATAATAGCCACCAAGACCGTTAATTCGATCAAGAAAAAGAAAATTGCGGAGGAAGAACAGCCATCAAGTTTACCAACAGAGTCTGAAATATCCTACGATGGAATTGCTCGTGACGCAGGAGTCCCTGATGCAATATGGGCTCAACTACAACAAGATAAAAGGGCGGCCGAAGAAGAAGCCCAGCGCTATGCAATCGAGATGCGAAGACAGCAAGAAAGGGTTGAAGCACTTCAAGAGGCGGAAAGAAAAGCCAGGGAGGCAATCATGCGGGAAATCAAGTCAAAACATGAAGCCGAGTGCCGAGAACAACTTCGATTGCGTGAAGAAGCTCGACTTCGCGAGTTGCAAGCAAAGGCTGAGAGAGAACGTATCGAGAAAGAAAGAGAGCGAAGAAGATTGGAAGAAGTAGAGAGAAGAAAAAAGGAGGCGCAGGCTCAGGCTAAATTGAAAACCATGGGGGTTTGTGTGGCGGGTTTTCAGTGGATTAAACAAGCTGGTGGATATAGGTGTGCTGGTGGAAGTCATTTTGTGACGGATGGTCAACTTGGAATGAGAGGCAATTGATAATATTGCGGAAAGTTATTGTTCTCATTGTCTCGCATAGCTTGGAGGACTCATCTATGATTTGAAGATGTTAGGAAGTTTAGTTTGGAGGTTTGTGGCTGGCTTCTTTTGCTTGTTACTCACATTTTTAGATTGGCCGTAATATTGCAGAATCTATCACCCATGACGTGTTTTTACCTTGGGTGCCTTTTATCTATCGGATCCTATCCAATGCTTTATCATCGTCATCGTATAGATCTTCAAACCAGCCGTAACCTTGCATTGGATGAAAATGTGGTTACAAGAACCACGGAGATAATCTACAACAATCACCCTCAAAAGTATCTCTTAACCAAATAAAAGTTCCTCCTGCAGGATTGCTCCTTTCCCACCTGAGCCTCTCCAAGGGGCTCGGTTAACCATACTAGTGAACGGAAAAATAGGCGACTCTGTCTAACCAACGAACTATATTCTTGTACTGTGTAGCGCTGTAATATTTGGTTTTTTTTTAGAATATTGAATATTTTAAAGTCGCCATATTGTATTTGAATAAATCGATTTACACTACATCTTCCCCACTTTCCACATCAATGCCTTTTAATAAAGGTTACACACAGGTATGAAACTTGAATATTGTCCTTTATCTCTAACCGATACTTTGTCACCATTAGCTCCTTTTACTATCATGAAGTTGGGGATAAAGCTTCAGCGTAGCTACAGCGGCCCTTGGTTAAACTTGCTGAGCCTATATTTTCTCTAATATTTTGTCTCTTTGAATGATTGACCCAAGGTCCGATAATAGGACTACCTGCAAGTATCTCATGTTACAACATCAACAATAATATAGTTAACCATGAAAATTTGCTCCTCATAAATACATAAAGAGAATCCCAGTCGGATACACCTCCTAACCATGATATTCTACAAACTAGCACGTCAAAATAACCGCTACCATAACGATCCCAAACCCGTGACATCAACAAATCTCACGGAAACTCAGTAATATTACTAGGAAGACTTTCCTGCACCAATATCAACAAAGCCGTCGAAGTAGCTAAACTCATATTTGGAACCGATAATGAAAATGGTGTCCAAGTAAATCTTCTTAATGAACGAATTCGGTGTTCCCTAAAGTGAGGAAGAGTTTCTCTCTGTGAGTTTACGGATCATTAATTTAGCGTAATATACGTATGATGCTGCCGATACGAATCTCGAGAAGAAAGATTAGGAGAATCATGGACGAAGGTTTTGGAATACTATGGTTTCTATACAAGGGTAAGAGGAGTGCATGAAGAATAGGGTGTGTGAGTCTTCATTATTTATATAGAATATAAGTACTAACAATATAAAAATATTACAGGAAACAAAAGCAGAAGGATTTTGGGCCTGGCTCGCTGTCTGATCCACAAAATTTAATCTCCGCAGCGAGATCTCCAAAGTAGTAACTGTAGTTCCTGCTTTTGACCATTATAGTCGATTTCGAAAGGAACTGTTTAGTGAAAAGTATGCATATAGATATATCGACGATATCCGTTTCGACTCTACTAAAGACAGGAAGATATATAACGAGCTAACATTAAGTCTAGTACCCTACTTTCCGGCCACCCCTAATTCCGGCCATCTTTTTACACCAAAAAATATCATTTTCAGCTATTAATAATTCAACAATTAATGAATAAAATCAATTGAAAACTTAGTCACAATATTTCTCTATAATTATAAATAGATTCTGAAAATTTCAGATTTTTCATGATTTTATTGATTGAGATTTTGAAGGTTGAAATTTTAATTTTCGATTTATATAGGATTTATATGTCACGAACCACGACTAATATTATTGTAACGATACTATACTGGAGGCAGCGGCTGCCTAAGGTTCGTCGGTTGGTAATTATGGGTTAAGGCTTTATCACTGGTATTCACTTGAAAGTGAATTCGTTACTAGATCAAGTAGAATGTAGGTAAACTAATTGATAACTAAGTTGAGCATGAAGCTCCTAAACTATGAAACTACTCTGACTATATAATGAACGATAAAGGGAGCCCCTAGGAGCTTTCTGGCTCCTCAGGGCTCCTTATCACGTGATTTCTGATGGTGCGTGCGCATACGATCTTCAGGTGACCAAGATCACATACTAATTCGATGAAATCTGATCGTGTTTGCACAAGGCCTAAGCTCTCCTAATTAATCAGTTTGCTACCATCGTAACACCATCAATCCTAATGGTGAATCGTGACAGTTTGCCCTCTAGATCACGTGGAAGTGCTCTAGGCTCTCGAGGTGGTTTATAATGTCACACTCAAGAATACTGGGTAAAGTATCTTGTATTAGAAAATACTAAGCTAAGGAGAAAAGAAGAAGGAAAACAAGAGTAGAGATTGATTGATTGATTGTGTTTATCGTCATAGGCCGTAGGCCCACGCGCCTTGGCGCGTGATAACCTTAGCCATCTATTCCAGTTTTGGACAAATGACGCTCAGAGGAGAAGCCTCTGAGTGGTTTACTAGCTAGCTAGGGGGAGTATTTTTATACAATTTAAAGGGGGCTAGGGCAGGGTTTACATGATTGCCTTCGCAGGGGGGGTTTGGGCCGGTAGGCCTTTTGGGGTTGTAATTGTGGTCATCCTCGTCCACTAGATCACTACCTCTTGATCTCTCTCCCTGTCTCCTCGTACTTGTTTTGGTTGTTCGTATGCATACTTGTTTTTTTTTTTTTTTTAATGAAAGAAAAGGGAAAGATGAAAGAGAGGAAAGAAGAGGAAGGAAAAGCACCCTTAGAGACCTATTAACTCCGTTTGAATCCAATGAAAGAAAGAAAGTTTTTTTTTTTTTTTTTTTTATCTTGCACCTGTGTGCCACGGGCAGATTTTTGTGTAGAACTTGGTGTATTCTAGCCATTCGGCTAGTTTGGCTATACCGGTGGGATTTCTTAGAAGCCAGGGGATAGCTTCGAAGGGGGGGCTCTTTGTGAGCGCTTTGAAGGCTTTTCCTTTTTTGCAAAAGAAAAAGTGTAATGGAGTTTTCCTTTTATTGCACGAGCAATGGACGTGGGCTATAGTGTGATTGAAGTGTTCATGGTATGCTGCGAAGTCGCTATGCTGTGATCTGATAGCGAGAATATGGTGGAGTGTGGCTCTCTTCAGAGAGAGGGTGTCTGTATTAGAAGTGTGGTTGAATTGGAGATCTTTGTAGTATTGTGGGCTGACTGTATTCCATAATTGTTCGTCTGCTTTGTTGGCCCTTGTTCTGATCATTCTTTTTAGGGATGCTAGCGTACAGATCGGGTTGAGGGGAAAGGGGAGTTTTGTTCCTTCCTTAGCGGCTTTGTCAGCTATTTCGTTGCCAGGGATATCCAGGTGCCCTGGGACCCATCGGACGCGGATTTTCCCGGGGGAGGTGTGTGGGAGCCTTGGTCTAACAGCCCAAGCTTGTGTGAGCTTCAGAAAGTCTTCAAAGACTCTCTGTGAGGAACCATTGAAGTGGGATCCTAATCGGAGAGCATCCTCGTGGTTGTCTAAGAAGATCCAGAGATCTGTGGCCAGTTTGGTTGATGCTAGAGTGAGGGCTTTTGCTGCCCCTGCTACTGCGGCTGTGGCTTCTGCATCGAACACTTCTGCATTTGTGCCTAATGAGAAAGAATGGTGTGCTATCTGAATATCGAATTGTGAGATTACGAATCCGCCCCCAGTTGCGCCATCCTTGCTTTCACTTTTTGAGCCATCCGAGAAGATTTGTATATCGCTTCTTGGGATCTTGGCGTGGAAGGCTTTGAAGTCTTCGGCTGCTTGTGCCTTCGTTCTGCCCATCGGACCATTGATGCGGGCCTCGGCCTCTGCCCTCGACTCTCTGATTTCCCAGGGTGGGAAGGCCAAGGGGTTTATGTGTTCAGTCTCCGGTAATGCTGTGATGAGCCTTGCGAATCTTGTATCTGGGGTGCGGTTATATTCTCTGGCTTTGGTTATGTTCTCTGCTCTGATCCTGAGAGGATGGTAAAGGTCTAGTCTGGTGGTTCGTGCCGCATATAATTGTGAAATCAGGTTTAGCTCGATCTCGGATGGTCTGAGTTTGGCTTCCTCGTAGAGTACTGCTGTGTTTGTGGTTTTGTATACTGGGAGGATTGCCCTTGTACAGGTGATTACCACTTTGTTGAGTAAGCTTAGATGGCTGTCCACTACATTTGAGATCGAGATCGGGTTGTTTAGGGCATTCTTCTTTGTTCTGGTTCGGCCTGGCCACCACGTTTCCGAGGCGAAATAGCACTTTTTGAGTATGCAGGCTTCAGCCACTTTCCTGGTGAGATATGGGGGTATCCCTCGGTGTGTATTGCTGAGGGATCTCAGTGCGTTGGCTCCCTTGAGGGCTTTGGCTGCGAGGATCTGGACATGTGGTTTGAAGCATAGTTTCCTATCGAAGTGGACTCCGAGCCATTTGAGCGGGCCAGGTTTGACCTCTATATTCATAGATCCGGTGTGTATTGCAAGGGTATCCGTTAGTGTTCGGTGTCCTTTATAGAAGTGTATAAGCTCAGATTTCTTGGGGTCAAAAGTGATACCTTCGGTTTTTCCCCATTCGAGAGTTTCTTGCATATCCATTTTTAGAGAATCGCAGTTTGTCTGTAGTGAGTTTGATGTCGCTAGTATCGCGATATCGTCTGCATATCCGAATCTGCTCTGTGGTTTGCCCATCCAGAAGAGAGGCGCGATGTAGAGCATGAACAGGATCGGGGAGATCGGTGAACCTTGAGGAAGACCGCATTCTAGCTTTGTTTCCGGGCCAGTCTCGCCGTCTAGTCGGATCTTGATGGATCGATTAGTGGCGAAGGACTGAACCCATCTAACCAGGTTGTTTGGCCATCCTTGTTCCCGAAGGCGATTCACTAGTCTTCCTGGTAGCACTGCGTCAAAAGCACCTTTTACATCCATTGTGAGCAGGGTGGTCTTTAACCCTTGTTTTAAGGATGCCTCAATGTCATGTGTAACGCAAGTGGTGAGGTCCACTGAGGATCGCAAGGGTAGGGCTCCGAGCTGCTGATTCGCTAGGACTTGGTAGTTTAGAGCAAGCCATGATACCTTCTTCGCAATGAGTCTTTCGAGGCCTTTGCCTAGGACCGAGAGCAAGGCAATTGGTCGGTATGATCTTGGGTTGGTATAATCTGACTTGTTGGGTTTAGGGATGATTACGATGGTAGCTAATCGAAAGCATTTTGGGTGGTGTCCTAAATGTAGACAGTCTTTGAAAAGGGATAGGGTTACTTCTTTTATTTGTAGCCATGCGACTTGTAGGATTTTTGTTGGGATTTCGTCTGCACTAGGTGCTGTGTTCCCTGCTTTTAAAATGGCCAGCTCTATATCTTGTATAGCTATATCAGGGAAGGTGATAGATCTGCTTGGGGCTGTAGGGGTATCGAACGGGATGTCGTCAACCTCGGCTAGGTTTGTCAGTAGGTTGTTGGCGAAGGTTTCCCTTTTCTCTTCGATAGTATTTGCAATGGTTTGTTTTGATAGATCTGCTAAAGGAGGGGTACGGTATATTCCTGTGGATTGATGCCATTCGCCCATTCGATATACATCGTTTATATCTTCTACTTTATCCACTTTCGTAATATAGAAGATGTGTTTTGCTTTTCGGACTGTTTTCCGAAGAGAGCGTTTGGATGTAGGTGTATTGGTGATTCTATATTTATACACAGCCTTTATACAGTCCTTGTTCCACCAAGGTTGTTGAAGGGGCCTGTTTATGGATCTTCTTGCAGATCCTGTATAGGCTTTTGTAAGGGCTTGTGTAAGGGATGATGCGGCTTGATCTAGGTCTCTTAGAGAGGGTGTCCTGGGGATAGCTGCAATGTTGGTGAGATTAGTTTCTAGTAGGTCTTTAAAGAGCGTTTCATTCAATGTATTTAGCTTGAGTTTCTTTGCAGGCTTTTGGCTTCGGTAATTCCAGTGAAGGTAGGTTTTTAGGGTGCTGTGATCTGAGGTGCACTCTAGTTGTTCAGCGAGGGCGGTATACGCTGTATAGGGCCCTGAGAGGAAGGTGAGGTCCAAGACGTTTCCCTTTGAGTGAGTAGGAGTTCCGATTGGGGAGATGAGGTGTAGATTCCGGGAGTTTGACCATTCTACAAAGGGTTCGGCTAGCGTTGAAGGGGATGGATGGAGGGGATTCCAGTTGGGGTGGTGGAGGTTGAAGTCGCCTAGTAGGATGGCGTTGTTTGGGAAGTTTTGGAGTTCAAAGAGTGCCTTGATGGCTTGATTGCCATTTGTGCATTGTGTTGGAGCGTTGTAAATATTTATAATGGTAAATATTGTATTATTTGTAGATATTAATTGTATAAATATTAGGTCTCTGGAGATTATCGGTCTGATTTGGTTGATCTGAATTCCTATTTCTTTTTTGATATAGGTGAGGACACGAGGGTTTTCCTTCCAATCGTCTAATGGAGTGAAGATTTCGTAGGAGGGGTGAGTTTTGGTGATTTTTCTTGAGGTATCTTTGTATATATATGGCTCCTGGATCGTGATGATATCAATTTGATCTATATTTGCTAGATTGGAGGACGAGATCGTATGAGATCCCTCCTTTACCTACATTGGTTTGGGTTATCGTAAGCGGGTTTATAGTTCATTAAACGGGATAGGGGTTGGGTTGGCGATTGTTGCAAATCGATTAGCGGAGCGGGTGCTGAAGAGGGTTGTGGAGTGAGTGGAGCCGAATAGGCGGGTGGGGGTTCTTGGCCTAAGTTGGTCCGAGGGGGAGGGAGGGGTAGGGGAGTCGGCCATTTGTGCATCGGATGATGGCTTTGAGCATCCAGCCTTTACACAAACAGAGTTTCTGTTTTCGAGGTATATCTTCCGGATTGTCTGGCGTTCTGATTTTGATTTCCTTTCTCTCCCTTGTGGGCGAAGGGGGCATTTGGGGTCATCTACGGGGTGGGGGCCGTTGCAGTGAAGGCATTTGGGTGGGCATACGTGTTCAGTACCACAACTGGTAGTATGATTGCTCTCTGTATGCTTTCCCGAACCGCATAGGCGGCAGATTTGTGATTTGAGGCATGTTCTTGCGTTGTGCCATTGAAAGCAACGATTGCATTGAGTGATCTTTGGTTTTTGTACTAGGAGGGATGTGCTGATGTTGGCCCCTAGAATCTTCAGGTTCTTTTTGAGTGGTTCTGCTCCTGTCTTGAAGCTTATTATCCATGTTGAGTAATACTCATTAGGTGAGGGGTTCGTTTGGGATTGGATAGCGTGAGTAAGCACCTGACCAGAGTATTCCTTTATAGCGTCGGAGATCGTATCTTTTGTAACTAAAATGGAGTCTATTTTGAATTGGTCATTGAAGATGGTGACTTTCTTGGGGACGTAGTTTAGACGGTAAGTGGTCCATTTCTCTTGGGCCTCAATTTTGCAGTCTCCGATTGCGGATGATATAATGGCTTTCTGTTTTTCAAGGGCTAATAGATTGGCTGTTGAGCTGGTGCAGAGAGCGAAGCCTGTTTTGACCTCTTGGACCTCCCTTAAAAGGGAGGCGTTTGGTCCGAGGACTTTCTTTAGGGCTGTGAGGATTGCAAAAGATCCAGCGCTTCGGGCTGGGTGCATTTGGTTGATTCGTACGAATAAGCGGTTATCGGAGGGAGTCTTGTTTGTGAGGGCAATGGTTGGAGTAGAGGCTTTCTGAATGTAGGAGGGCTTGGGGCCTATAGGCATTGTGGGTGTACTTGTGTGAGTGGTGGTCGGGGGGGAAGGAGGGGAAAGGGGGGTGACAGGCGGAGTAGTAGCTCTCCTAGGGGGGGGATGACCAGTAACAAAGGCGTCGAAGTGCTGTTCGATGGTTGCCTTAAACTCAAGGCAAAGGGAGGTGAGGAGTTTTCGTGAACTCGGTGGGAGAGCGCGGACTTCCTCAGAGCCTAGGTGGGTATCTAGGAGTTGGGTAACTGGGTTGAAGATGGGATTGAGCATCGTTGACCTTATTGAGAAGGTTGCTGGCCTTGTCGGAAAGTGTTTTAGAGAGGTTTGGGGGGCTTGGGGTAGCCATCAACAAGAGTAGAGAGTTTTCCTATGATTAAATACAAACGGGGCATGCCACGTGAACAAGAGTAGAGAGTTTTCCTATGATTAAATACAAACGGGGCATGCCACGTGACCCGGAGGTGTGAGGCGTCACATATAACTAGGCGTCAAGCAGGGACTTAAGTAATGACAATGATGCAATTCGTAACTAATAGTAGAGTATACTAAATGATTGATCTTGATCTTGAGCACGAAGCTCTATACAAAGGGAATCCATCTTGATTATATAGACCTTCGTGCCTATGGCTAGTCAGGACCGCCAGCGCTCCTCAGCGGTCCGTAACGTGACTTAAGGTCACGCTACACTAAGTTAGTCATGTGACGCGGCGTTTGATGATAGCCGTCGTAACATATAAATCCTATATAAATCGAAAATAGAAATTTCAATCTTCAAAATCTCGACCAGTAAAATCGCGAAAAATCTGAAATTTTCAGAATTTACTAATATCTATATAATAAATTCATAACTAAAATTTCATCAAATTCTATTGATTGTAAAGTTATAAAAGTCGATTCTCGTCATTTTTGATGAGGAAAAGTGGCCGGAATTAGGGGTGGCCGGAAAGTAGGGCACTAGACTTATTATCCGAAAACGGAAATCCAGGTGTCGAAAAGAGACACAAAACATTTCTCAGCAAAGCAAGGAGTTCCATAAATAATGCCGGTTTTAATGCTCATACGGGTGATGGATATAGTTCTCGTATTATAGCTGCAGATACAATTTTACTCGAATATATAATTTTGCGGAAAATTTGTCTGGAAAAATGTTTTGTTGGACCTGACTACCTACTAAAGAACTCCCTCGCTTGGCGAAAATGTATTTTCATCTTATGAAAACGAAATCGGGAGGGGGGTCACGGAAGGCAGAAAAAGTTTTTAGGCGTTAGATAAAACGCGTGGAGAGTTCCTGGTAGAGATTTCTCCTCAAAACACACTGACCGCCTGCTAGGTAGCGATGTAAAATGTTGGTTATAATACTTCAAGAGCTTGAAAGTCAACCAAAGAAACATGATGTATTGAGGAAGAAATGGGAGAAACTAGTATATGATTATGGAACATTAGAAAGATGTTTAAGGAGCATGCGAGGTATCATTGCCAGCTGTCCGTACAGACGAATCTGCAAGAGAGATATCGGGGACTTCACAAACTGAGTCTAGGAGTCGTGGATCTAGTCATGGAAATCATTATTCTTCATCTATTCTATAACATCATGAAGTCTTTCGTAAGAAGTCACTATTCTATTTGATAATTACCATCTAAGAATATAGAAGAGATCGCATTAGAAATTTTTAGTCCTTTTGATGACTGTGGGTTTGAGAATAAATTATATGATAATCGAGATCAATGACTGACTACCAAGAGCTGTTCGAGAGATTGAGATTCGAGCTGAGGTTCAACTTCCGAGACTACTCGAGTAGTAGTAGTCATGAGGATAGTATGTAGCCAAGAGTAGTTTCAAAGTATCCGAAAAAGTGCCCATTCTAAAAGATACGATGATGCGCAATTGGTATTGTGTCTAGCTATGGATGTCAGGATTCATACAGGAAATCTTTTGTATGGACTTGTACACCCCTTCTGTCTCAGACTAAGACATGGTAGATATGCAACGAAAGTCAAATGAAATCTATTCTTGGAAGAATTGAATGGAGTATATGAATACCATGATTTCAGATCTCCCCTTATAGAAGTTTCTTCCCTTAAGAACGTGGAACTCGTCACGCGATGCTTTTATATAACAATATGGTATTATCGAATTGTTCGCTACCCACTCCTTTGTTTTGTTCGTTCAAAAGACGAACGAATGCCCATATAGCCACACGATGCAAGCCCTCAATACCCACTAGTGATAACGCCGAGTATGTCCCACATACTCCTTTATACCAAACTGGCCATGTAACGCCAATACAAGATGCCACTAGAACATGCAACCAAACGCCATGTCCCCAAAAGCTGACCCTTAAGTCAAGGTTGACCCTCAAATCTACTTCTTTTGAACTTGCTCATTGAACCATCCCCTTCCAGCCTCCTTCCTTTAGGATGGCCTCTTCTTCATACACATCCATATCGTCCTCTCCACTTGGTCGCTCGTCTCGTCCCATAATTTTAT